TTGATGTGGTAAGAATGGAAAAATCGACAAAAGAAAAAACTTATTGGGTTATAAAATCCTTGGGTTTTCATTTGCATGTCATCACAGTCTTACAGCAAGAGAACAGCGAAAACATGCCACGCCTGACGGAAGCCAAACGCAACAACGCCATCGACCAACTGCATACATGATAATCATCTTCAGCTGTAGCCAGGTTTATCCACGTAGCACCAAGCACCATTACAAGACTGGAACCGTTATCAGACACCAGGCAACACGTGACCTTCCTTGATCCGATCGAATACGTGTGACTACTGGAGCACAGGTAGCACAGGTATTCGCTCTAGTCGTTCGAGGTGTCATTTTGAGGGACCTGCATAGTCGGCTGCAACGTCAAAGGTGTCAAGGTCACAGAGTATGGCCACAACCGCGATTGGAACACGTTTGGTTTAGTCACGTTTTATGGTTAGCCGTGCTGGTGGCAGACGTCGTGTTTACAAGCGTGGCTGGGAACGTTATGCACGAAACTGCAGACTTGGTGGTGGTAGTGTAATGATAAGGGCGGGTATCTACACTGGTAGAACACACTTGGTGCAAGTTATGGCGAATTTATGGGCTCAACGTTACACGGATGAGAGTTTTCGGCCACACGTCCTTCTCATTATGCAATATTGTGCTATATGAAACCCACATCAATGAAAATGAGGTGGGCCAATTTTGAACAATAGATTGTCACTTGTTGATTAATTATAAGATATATAAAATAAACATCTAAAATCACTTTTTCGTTGTATTTTGGCAGAGTTGATAATTTAAAAAAACAAAGATATCTATTATTACCAATAAAATGCCTCCATGTCGTGTCAGTTTAATAGTGATAAATATCTATATCTGACATAGGGCAATAAAAGAGGCTTTGTAAATTCGTGATGCGTTCAAGCTGTGCGGTTTTATACTCTCTTTGTGTTTAAAATACATAAGTAATATCGCATTTGACATATTTTAACGCAACCGCCTGATAATCTTGAATTAATTTGATATGTACCGCAGCATGTTAGTTCGAAACGAGGACATGAGTATCAAGTCACAACTATAACTGCCATGTAGGAATGTCTGATCAGAACAAATCGCCAGTGCCTCCTAGATGCTGTTAGAGTGAGTGAGTGAGTGAGTTTAACGCCGCTTTTAACAGTAGTCCAGTTATATCACGGCGTGTCAGCTTAATGTGGGAGGAAAACCCGAAGTGATGCAGGTCTCAGACGTTTACCACTTCGGTGAAACCCACGAGCTCGGGTATGATGCTGACAAACCGGGATTCGAACCCACAATCATAGGTTTCTGGCGTGCCCAAGGGACGCACAGCGAATCGCGGCGCCTTAGACGACTGGGCCATCCGTGCCCCCGACATGGTGTTAGGGGCGTGTATAATAGGGACCTATTGTCGTCTACGCTGTGGGTGGGGGGTCGTAAAATCGTACCCGCTCACTCATTCAGAGTATGTCGCTGGGATATTGCTGACCGATATGCTTAACACACATTCGCTGCCTCACACATTTATGTGATAAGGGTCAGCTTCTGTTGAATAATGTACAAGGTCTGTTGCCGATGCTAATGAACCTTTAGAAGCATTATCAATCGTGCCTGTCAGACATTCATTGAGGCGAACGAGGGGAACGTACTGACTACTAATATTTTAGTTGGACAGTTACTTGCAAATCACTGGTACCTCTTCCTTTAGTAATAGTTAGTTTAAACCAACAGAACTATTTAACATACCTGCAGCTATGTCTGTAAGTGAAGCATCAACGGCGATGTTGAATACACTCTGAAAATTGTATAGATATCAAGCCATGCGTTACACATACGTCCCGAGCGCTAAATGAGCCCTGAGGTGTCATGCTGATGTGATATTCATGCCCATTTCCTCGTCACTTATCATATCTTTATGACTGAACAAACATTGCTCATCCAGGCATCATTACTGTTGCAGCTGTTCTCAGCCTGGTAACAACACACGCACGCACGCACGCACGCACGCACGCACGCACGCACACAATCTTTGCCAAAAAGCTGTATCCGTACTTTGACAAACCATACACTAAGCACGAGCATAGGTATGGTGCTTGACAAATCGTATTCATTCGAACCTAAGTGGGGGCGGTGGGGTAACCTAGTGGTTAAAGCGTTGGCTCGTCACGCCGAAGACACGGGTTCGATGCCAGCCGGTTTCCCCCGCCGTGATATTGCTGGAATATTGCTAAAAGCGGCATAAAGCCATACTCACTCACTCACGCAAACCTGAAGTCTTCGGGTTTTGGCACGCGTAAGGAACACAACGTAGCAGACGACTGCACCTCGGCTTCGCTACAATAACGTCAACATGAAATATGCGTTTGACAAACCGTTTGGTAATGATTAAAAATAGAAAATAACTGCAAGCAAACTTGTGTCTTTCTGATATTGATAGAAGACGAGTGACACTGACTAGCTGATGTAGATGTAAAGGTACAGTTGCGAGAACAAAAGGGCTAGGTGAATAAAAAAAGGCGTCTAAATGTTTCAGAACACAGCCAACTATTCGAGCCCCACTACTACAAACGTAATGTGAATAGTTTATGTGTCTCAACTTGCCTCTGAAATCACAGGAAAGCACAGCCTTAGCGTCCGTGCATTGATGTATAAAGTATACTCTTCAAAAAAAGAAACTTGACACTGACTTTCAAAATGTAATATAATGCGATTGTTTCAAAATAGGACAAAGAAACCATAATTGAAACACTGTTTGAAGATCAATGTACACAATGTTCAAAACCTAGACCTAGACACACCTAGACAAACACACGTAAACGATACAGTTACTGTCACAGGGGTACAGAAAATGACAGTATCGGTTGCATCCACCACGTGCATCAATCACTGCTTGACACCGACGACCCATAGATGCAATCAAGTTGTCAATAACAAGCTGTTGGATGTGCTGCCATTCATGCTGAAGTGCATCAAGAAGCGCCGGAAGTGTTTTGGGCGGTGGATTCCTTCTGCGAACGCGTCGATCCAACTCGTCCCACAGATGCTCAATCGGGGACAAATCTGGTGACCGGGATGGCCAAGGTAATGTCTGGATGTTGTTGTGCTGTAAGAAGTCCTGACAAACACGTGCAATATGCGGTCGAGCGTTGTCCTGCTGGAACTGTCCGCCATGAACGTTGACGTGAGGAAGAACGTAAGGCTGTAGGATCAAGTCTTTGTAACGCACACCTGGGACTCGTCAGTAAACAGTACATTTCTCCACCTTGCACGTGCCCATCTAACACTCTGTTGGCACCAAGACAGACGGTCCGCCAGATGACGTGGGGTAATACATGACGTCGAACAGGTCTTCGTGCAATAAGTCCAGCCTCCCTGAGTCTGTTGCGTACCGTTTGATCTGATATTCTGCGTACCCCAGGGATCTGTGTGGTTGTAGACGTGGCTGTGGTAGTGCGGTCTCGGAGGTGTCGCAGCCGGATGTATCGATCTTGTGCTTGGGTTGTCACCCTTGGTCTTCCTGACCTTGGTCTGTCGTCAACTCTGTTGGTGTTGTTGTATCGGGTCCACAGTGCGGAGATTGTCAGTCTGGATACGCCAAAGTGCCTGGCCACTTCTTGCTGAGTTGCTCCAGCTTGTAATCTCCTAATGGCGTTGTTCCGTTGAGCCGCATTCAGTCTTGGCATTCTGTCACCGCCTCTACTGCCGTTATAAGGACTGTATGAACAGCCGTTGATTTGGATTTTTATACCCATTCAGCAGGGGGGCCTGCATGCCTAAATGCAGGATCCTGTGCTGCACGTTTTTTACAGGCGGTTGCGTTTGGATGAAGCTGTAAAATTGATCCCCAAACGCCACGTTTATGTGCTTTGCATGTGTTTTCGCGAATTATAGACACATCATCTTTCTGCTTTGGTTCTCATTTAATGTAATTATTTTAGATATTTGTCAAAAAGTGGTTTTACATCTATGTCAAGTTTCTTTTTTTGAAGAGTATATATAACTGCAGTGCTGTGTAACCCAAATGACACACACCCTTTGGACCTTCAGCTGTGCTGACACTGATGTAATCAGTCGTTGTAATTTTTTTATGAATAGTTACTGTCGTCAAGTAAGGAAGCAGGACATAGTTGAGTTTCACAAGGGAAGATTGTTAATCTTTTTCTTTTGAAATTCGCGTTTGCTATCAAGTTGTAGTGAATCATTGAGTATGGTTTCACGCCGCTTTTAGCAATAATACAGCGTCTTGAAACGGGAAATTCGCGTCTTGAAACAGGAAATATTACGTTTATAGAAAGAAATACATTGTTTGGAACTGAGTTGAAATTCATTCTCGGGACATATTTTGCTACGTTCTGTCAATCTTTTATACACAACGTAGAAACAAATGTATTCACAAGCGGATAGAGGTTTATTCAACAAAATAAAATTACCGACAGGAAATATTGTAATATTACTATTTTCTCTTTTGGAAATGTTTGATCTGGCGTATATATACCCTTAACAATGTAGGGGATCATGTAATATAAATGTTAATGCCAAGTATTAGAACAGAGTTACAAGCATCCTGTGCAAGAACGTTTGTGTCTGTAAAATTTAACACCCAAACAGATCCTACAGTTTGCACATGCCTCACAGCTCTACACACTTCTGATTTTAACACGTTCAAGGAAGGTCAAAAAATCTCTAGGGATCATTGTTTCTGTCAATGTTATTGATACTACTTATCAAACAGTTATAATTTACTTCATTTAATTCATTTTTTGTGCATGAACTAGCGATGCGGCGTCTTGAATGCGCGGTGCGTCTACGTGCTATTGGCATGTTAGAAATTGGCATAAGTCAGCGTCCAGTGGCCAATACGTTCGATGTCTTCTGACATCTCCTCCATATTATTTTTATCATTTCGCCCCTCAAAGTTTTTATTTTGCTAATTGTATAACGGCTAATATAATACTGCTTAAAATCATGTTAAATGTCATTGCTCAACAGGTTCATCGTTGCAAACAACGCCGGAGACGCATCCAGAATAACTGTCTGTCATCCTCCTCGACAGGCCACGTGATGTAGGTTGTCGTCTGCAGCAGTGCATACAGCGATGACGTCATGTTCCGGGCGTGTATCTCCTCAAGCAGCACCACCACGAGGTACCCCTCATCTTGCTCCAGAGAACGTTTCTGAACCAGAGTCAGCTCAAACTGGCACCATGGACTCTGACTGAAACTGTCGGACAGTACCAAGGCGATGTTTCTGCTGTTATCCAAACTGTTAACAATGTTGTCAACTATGTAACGCCCAGGAGTGAAAGCTCTCTAATGAATGGATAACTTTAATTTGTCATAAATTTCAATTTTTTGGCAGCAGGTTACTTCCGTATCTACCCAGAATCATCTTCACAATACAGAACAAATGCATCATAGATGAATCTTTCCTCTCTTTCTTCTATTCGCTGTCTCTGTTTACATCTCATCATGTAAACACAATAGCGGATGTGCCAACTTAAGCTATAGACAATGGAGATAACGACTATTAACACTATTGAAACTATGGAAAAAAACAGAGATTACGGGAAACTGATAAGGTGAGATCCGACACGTCTCTTCAGACACATCAACTATATATTCCCCAGGAATAAAGTCTCTCTCGTGGATACACAGCTTAAAGTTGGCTTCGTCTTCAATCCTTGGTATGATATTATTCCTTACCCATCTTGAATCAGCTTCACAATAAACCACAAAAGCATCATAGATGTATCTCTCTTCATCAGCTGTCTTCCTCTTTTTGTATCTCAACATGTGGATATAATAGCGAATGCGCCAACGTAATTTATAGGCAATGGAGATAACGACTATCAATACTACTGTAGCAGTGGAAAGACCATAGGCAATGGGAAAAACACGTGGGATCCGACACGTCTCTTCGGAGACATTAGCATCAATCAGAAGCGTTGATTGGAGGTTCCATGGATATCCACATCGATATGACTCTGGGAAGTTAGTAAATTTACTTTTATCTGCCTTCACCCATGTAGCAAACCAAAGACTAGCACAAGTACAGACAAAATCTACGCCTTCGTGGTCTAGTGGAAGAGTGTCCGCCCGGAGAGCGGAAGGTCCAGGGTTCGATCCCCGGCCGCGTCATACCAAAAGACGTTAAAAGATGGTACTTGTTGTTACCCTGTCTGGCGCTCGGCATTAAGGGGCTAAAACAAGGACTGGTCGGCTCGGAGTCAGTATACTGTGTCTGAGTGGGGTATTCATGTTAAACTGCGGCATGGTATCTCAGTGGGCTAGCACTATAAATCGGCATCTGTCCGGACTAGTACAAGCAGCTACACACACACACACACGTGCATGTACGTCGCTATATAAATGCAATATTCTTGGACGCGACGTTAAACTCAATTACACCTCACCTCACCTACAGACAAAATCCTTAAAAGCCAAATACACTTTTGACAATTGCTCTCTGATTGGTATAGAAAATACAACTTCACTGACGACCTGGATGGCATTTTGTGAGAGGTTCAGAGTTTTGAGTTTTGTCAAGCTATTGAACACACCAGGATTTAATGACACAATTCTGTTTCCATGAAGATCTATATATGTAAGTTGATGGAATGTAGATATGACACCTTGGCATTCTCAGAACCTTCCGTGTTTGAAGATCACAAAGAAGTGTGTCGAAAAAGCTATCGTTAAAGTTCATCATTGTATTGTACGATAGGTCCAAGTATGTAAGTTCCGTGCATCCTCTCAGTGTGTTTGGGTGAACAACATCCCCAAATTAAATGAATTTAGCAATGCCTGCGAGGTAAAGTGCTTTAAAAACACTGTTATTAAATGCATATGCTTCTAGTCGTGCGTTGTTTCTGAAAACTTTGTTTAATGAAAGAACACTAATGTTTGGTAATGACGAAAAAGTATCTGTCTGAATCAAAATCAATGAATTACCAACTAGTATTAGGTATTTCAAGGCTGTAGGACAATTCAAACTACTATTTGACAAAGAGACGTTGTGATAAATGTCTATATGTTGAAGTTGTGAATGATTGGTATGAACACGAAACATTTGGGATCTCTGTCAGGAAGTTTGAATGTAAATAAATAGACTTCAGGTGTTGGGGTACAAGAGCTGGCACCCAAGATATGTAGTTATTAGCAAGACGTAGGACGCGTAATGAAAACACGTAAAAATACAAATGTCTGATTTGACAAAATTCAATATTTAGACTGTTTCCATTCAGTTGGTTGGTTGGTTTGTTGTTTTACGCCGCACTCAGCATTATTCCAGCTATATGACAGCGGTCTGTAAGTAATCGAGTCTGGACCAGACAATCCAGTGATTAATATCATGAGCATCGACCCACGCAATTGGGATTGATGACATGCATCAACCAAGTCAGCGAGCCTGACCACCCGATCCCGTTAGTCGCCTTTTACGACAAGCATAGTCGCCTTTAACGGCAAGCATGGGTTGCTGAAGACCTATTCTACCCCGGAATCTTCACGGGTTGTTTACATTCAGGCGTGTATGTCTACGTACAAAATCCTCTGTGATATTGCGAACATTTATGTTACTTGACACGTCAAGTATTCGAATTTTACTCTGTAAACTGTAAAAGCATTCCTGAAGAACATCTTCAGGGACACTGCTGTATCTTAGGTCGAAAGGTCCAGCCTTAACATGTCTTGGAACGCATCACCAGAAATGTATGTGATACTGTTGTTACGAAGAAATAGGATTTTCAACTGTGTGATGTTTCGAAATGTAGCTCCTGTTATCCTTCCCAGATAGTTTGATGTATAGTTCAGAAACTCTATTGTAGGGTTTAAATTGGGTATCCTTGTGAGTCTCCTTCCCCTATTTGTGCAACTGACACAATAACAATAATTATAAAGAGAACCCTTGCACAAGGTTTTGAAACACTCTGTTGTCACGTTTCCACTTCTTCTTCAATGAATTTTGTTTGCGGTATAGTAACGCCGAGTGTACAAACTTTAATCCAAAGAACGATCCTACAGCCATGTGTCATTGTGTGTCCACAGCTGTCTATAAAATGAGAAAAGTATTGTCATATCCAAACATTTACCCTGTGAGTGAGGTTTAGTTTAACTTCGCTTTAAACACTATTTTCATTTTATCAGTGGGTGATAAAAATATAAGAAATTAACATCACATAGGCAATATCTCGGTCATATGGCGACGCTTTTAGTTCTCACGGTGTGTCTCTATGTGGGGAATTCCTAATACAGAATAGAATCCTAACGACCACCGGACCATTACAAACACACATCGAGTTGCTGCACCAAGATAATTTGGTTCATCCTTGTTCCTACATTTATCAACTAATAGTTTGAACTAGTAAATAACGTATTTATAAAATAATCCAAAATAATCTGAAACCACGTGTCACTGACAATTAACGAAGTCACTCGATCTTGACCATTGTAGATGCGATCAATGTCAACCTACATGAACCTAAGCACGTTAAACATTCACATAGCAGGCGTATTGTACTTAGTTGATGGCTCCAAATAATACTTTGTATCACTTGAAGTGCACTTTATCATCAACGGTGTCTTTGTGCAATAATCTTATTTCACAAGCCATTTATGTTACCCTGTGCCAGGTAATATATTACTGTTGAGTGATGGGTGTTGGCTTATTTTTCATCTTAAAAAATGCAGAAAACGTGATAGATTCAGCACAATTTATTGAGATGAAGAACAAATAACACAATTACATACATGCATGGTATAAACCAAAAATACTAAGCTAAAACTTTAAGGATTTAAGTAATTAAGTCGGATTAGGAAAATCGGTCCTAATCGGTAGTCCTTCAACCAAAGCGGCGAGCCAAGACTGGTATTTGTGTCTCTCAACAAACTTTAATCCGATGCTAGGGATAAGCATTAGAATTAAGATGAGTAAAAGGACCACCGTGATAAGGTGCAGTGTTTGCACTTCAAGAAGACGTTCTATATACAATAAAGGCCCAAGTGATAATTTAGTTACCACCTAAAAGGTAAATATAAGATAGCTACGCGACAAATCGCAAAGAACAATGAAGAACGAAACGTGGTTTATTTCACGATAAACCATTGTTCTATAATGACGTCATTTCTGGAGATTCGAACATGCGCGCGCGACTTGATGACGTCGTAAACTGGACGACGTTATTTTTGAGAGGAAATAGTCTTATGAGTTGTTCCCCATAGATGTAGCTGGACAGCGCAGATTAATGCAATGGCCACACGATCGCACCCAAAAGTGGGAGCGATATCACACTGGGAGAAAAGGTGCAGCTAATCGACGTGAAAATTGTGAGAATACCAAACTTACCCCCCTCTACACAATATGGAGCTGTCCGACATTGCCGAGGTCGGATTGTATTCGGGGAGTCATCATTATTTTAAAACATGTAAATATTTTTAAAGCGTGTACAATTTACTGACATCCTCGAAAGAGTTGTACATAGTATTGATATCTCATCGTTGTTTATCATACAACAAAACACTGCAGGGAGAATAAACCACTCGGGGCTGCGCGTCTCGTGGTTTATCTCCTTGCAGTGTTTTATTGTACGACAACTCACTCCCACTCGTCGTTTATTTCTAAAATTACAACCCGAGGGAAGAAAACATTTAAGGTACACAAACAATACAAATACGAGGGAGCAGTCCCTCAATCTGGACCTCTAATAATTTTCAGTTGCGTATGTACATTGTTTATGCGCAACATTTATTCCAGAAACTCCACCCTGAGGTCAGTTACCCCTTGGAATATCTCTCTGTATATATACACGAATATTACCACGTTTTGGTGATTCGAAGTTTGTTAACCATATGTATATTAGATGTACAGGTGCAGAGAATGTTAGAGACAGAATCGTAAGTCAGTTAAAAACAATTTTAACATAGAAAAATATTAATCATCAGTGATGAATTAACAGAGCATTTATTCTTTATACATCTTCTTAAAAGATTTTTGATTTATAAAAACTATCTCTGCAAACATTGTTTAAGTCGCATCCAGAATACATGTCTATCTTCCTCCTCGTCTGGCCACGTGATATAGGTAGTGCTCTGAAAGAGGGCATACAGTGATGACGTCATGTTCCTGGCCTCAATGTTTTCAAGCAGCACCACCACCACGTAGCCCTCGTCCTTCTCCAGAGCTTGTTTCTGGATCAGAGTTAGTTCAAACTGACACCATGGACTCAGAATGAAATAATTAGACAGCACCATGATGACGTTTCTGCTATTATCCAAATTGGTTACTATGTTATCAACTATATATTTCCCAGGAACAAAGTCTCTCTCGTGGATACACAGCTTAAAGTTGGCTTCGTCTTCAATCCTTGGTATGATATTATTCCTTACCCATGTGGAATCATCCTCACAATAAACCACAAAAGCATCATAGATGTATCTCTCTTCATCAACTTCCTTCCTCTTTTTGTATCTCAACATGTGGATATAATAGCGAATGCGCCAACGTAATCTATAGGCAATGGAGAAAACGACTATCAACACTATTGAAACTATTGAAAAACCATAGACTATGGGAAACACATAAGGTGAGATCCGACACGTCTCTTCTGAGACATTGGCATCAATCAGAAGCGTTGATTGGAGGTTCAATGGATATCCACATCGATATGACTCTGGGAAGTTAATAAATTTACTTTTATCTGCCTTCACCCATGTAACAAACCGAAGGTTAGCACAAGTACAGACAAAATTATTAAAAGCCAAATTCACTTTTGACAATTGCTCTCTGATTGGAATAGAAAATACAGCTTCACTGACAACCTGGATAGCATTTTGTGAGAGGTTCAGAGTTTTGAGTTTTGTCAAGTTGGTGAACACTCCTGGAGCTAACGACATAATTCGGTTGCCATGAAGATCAATTTCTTTAAGTTCCCGGAAGTTCGATATTACACTTGGAAAAAAGGATAACTGACACCTTGGCATTCGTAGCACCTCTATTTTGTCAAGGCCAGAAAGGAGTGCTTTTAGATAGCTATTGTTCAAATAGATCATAGAGTTGTAGGACAGGTCCAACCACGTAACGCCCGTACACCCTCTCAGTGCCTTTGGGTTAAAAATGTAATCCAAATAACCAAATTTAACAATGCCTGCCAGATAAAGCTTTTTAACAGCACTATTATTAATTGCATATTCCTCAAGCACCTCATTGGTTGAGTATATTCTGAAAGCATTATTAAAAGAAATGTATTGAAGGTTTGATAATGATGAAAATGTATCTGAATGAATCCTTAACAGAAAATTGTTTTCTAAACTGATGTGTTCCAAATCTGTGAGACATTTCATACTAACATTTGATATATATCCTATGGCATTTGTACGCAAATCTAAAAATCGAAGTTGTGAATAATTCGTATGAACACAAAATCTGGGAAGCTCTGTCAGGGAGTTTGAAAGGAACGAAATGTTAGTCAAATACCAGGGAACATCAGCTGTTGTCCAAGAAATGTTATTATGAGAAACATTTAAAACACGCAGTGACTTCAGGCGAGATATCACTGAAAAATTCAATTGTCGGATGTGAGCATGCTCGATTAAAAGAATCTTTAATTTGAGTCGCGAAAGCCCACGCACAAAATCGTCTGTAAGATTCCACAAATATCTGTTATTTGATACATCAATAAGTCGAACTGTATTTTGCAAACTGTGAAATGATTTCTGAAGAACCTCTTCATGCACATTGTTGTATCTAAGATCAAGAACCTCCAGCCAGTAATCCCACTTAGATAGTTTGAAGAAAAGTTCAGAGATGTTATTGAAGTTTGTAAATCCGGAATACTTGTAAGATTTCTTCCCCTATTTGTGCAAATGACACAGTTTGGAGAACATTTACACAGATTTTGGAAACACTCTGTAAACACCTTTCCACATGATACATACTCTTCTTCATCAACATTTGTTAGCGATGGAGCTGTACAAATTGTTATCCAAAGAACGATCCAACAGCCATTAGCCATGATGTGTAGAAGTGTCTCCACTTATACCCTGTAAAAAAAACACTTAAAAGTAGTTAAATGTAAATAGCAGTAAATATATGATATAGTGTTGCCGACAGCAATACACATTTAATACCAAAAATGAAATGAATTGTTTGATAGGCATTAATGAATTTGTCATTTGTGCATTGTTTGGGTTTCATTAGTGTGGTAAGAATGGAAAAATCGACAAAAGAAAAAACTTATTGGGTTATAAAAACCTTGGGTTTTCATTTGCATGTCATCACAGTCTTACAGCAAGAGAACAGCGAAAACATGCCACGGCTGACGGAAGCCAAACGCAACAACGTCATCGGCCAACTGCATACATGATAATCATTTTCAGCTGTAGCCAGGTTTATCCAAGTAGCACCAAGCACCATTACAAGACTGGAACCGTTATCAGACGCCAGGCAACACGTGACCTTCCTTGATCCGGTCGAATACGTGTGACTACTGGAGCACAGGTAGCACAGGTATTCGCTCTAGTCGTTCGAGGTGTCATTTTGAGGGACCTGCATAGTCGGCTGCGACGTCAAAGGTGTCAAGGTCACAGAGTATGGCCTCAACCGCGATGGAAAACACGTTTGGTTTAGTCACGTTTTATGGTTAGCCGTGCTGGTGGTAGACGTCGTGTTTACAGGCGTCGCGGGGAACGTTATGCACGAAACTGCAGACTTGGTGGTGGTAGTGTAATGATAAGGGCGGGTATCTACACTGGTAGAACACACTTGGTGCAAGTTATGGTGAATTTATGGGCTCAACGTTACACGGATGAGAGTTTTCGGCCACACGTCCTTCTCATTATGCAATATTGTGCTATATGAAACCCACATCAATGACAATGAGGTGAGCCAATTTTGAACAAAAGATTGTCACTTGTTGATTAATTATAAGATATATAAAATAAACATCTAAAATCACTTTTTCGTTGTATTTTGGCAGAGTTGATAATTTAAAAAAACAAAGATATCTATTATAACCAATAAAATGCCTCCATATCGTGTCAGTTTAATAGTGATAAATATCTATATCTGACATAGGGCAATAAAAGAGGCTTTGTAAATACGTGATGCGTTCAAGCTGTGCGGTTTTATACTGTCTTTGTGTTTAAAATACATAAGTAATATCGCATTTGACATGTTTTAACGCAACCGCCTGATAATCTTGAATTAATTTGATATGTACCGCAGCATGTTAGTTCGAAACGAGGACATGAGTATCAAGTCACAACTATAACTGCCATGTAGGAATGTCTGATCAGAATAAATCGCCAGTGCCTCCTAGATGCTGTTAGAGTGAGTGAGTGAGTTGGGTTTAACGCCGCTTTTAACAGTAGTCCAGTTACATCACGGCGTGTCAGCTTAATGTGGGAGGAAAACCCGAAGTGATGCAGGTCTCAGACGTTTACCACTTCGGTGAAACCCACGAGCACGGGTATGGTGCTGACAAACCCAGAAACATGATCAGGGCGAACCGGGATTCGAACCCACAATCATAGGTTTCTGGCGTGCCCAAGGGACGCAACTCTGCACAGCGAATCGCGGCGCCTTAGACGATCCGATCCGATACCTGGGCCATCCGTGCCCCCGACATGGTGTTAGGGGCGTGTATAATAGGGACCTATTGTCGTCTACGCTGTGGGTGGGGGGTCGTTAAATCGTACCCACTCACTCATTCAGAAATGACAAATGAAAATGTTGCGGAACTTTCTGTGTGTCGCTGGGATATTGCTGACCGATATGCTTAACACACATTCGCTGCCTGACACAATTATGTGTAAGGGTCATCTTCTGTTAAATAATGTACAAGGTCTGTTGCCGATGCTAATGAACCTTTAGAAGCATTATCAATCGTGCCTGTCAGACATTCATTGAGGCGAACGAGGGGAACGTACTGATTACTAATATTTTAGTTGGACAGTTACTTGCAAATCACTGGTACCTCTTCCTTTAGTAATAGTTAGTTTAAACCAAAAGAACTATTTAACATACCTGCAGCTATGTCTGTAAGTGAAGCATCAACGGCGATGTTGAATACACTCTGAAAATTGTATAGATATCAAGCCATGCGTTACACATACGTCCCGAGCGCTAAATGAGCCCTGAGGTGTCATGCTGATGTGATATTCATGCCCATTTCCTCGTCACTTATCATATCTTTATGACTGAACAAACATTGCTCATCCAGGCATCATTACTGTTGCAGCTATTTTCAGCCTGGTAACAACACACGCACGCACGCACGCACGCACGCACGCAATCTATGCCAAAAAGCTGTATCCGTACTTTGACAAACCATACACTTAGCACGAGCATAGGTATGGTGCTTGACAAATCGTATTCATTCGAACCTAAGTGGGGGCGGTGGGGTAACCTAGTGGTTAAAGCGTTGGCTCGTCACGCCGAAGACACGGGTTCGATGCCAGCCGGTTTCCCCCGCCGTGATATTGCTGGAATATTGCTAAAAGCGGCATAAAGCCATACTCACTCACTCACGCAAACCTGAAGTCTTCGGGTTTTGGCACGCGTAAGGAACACAACGTAGCATAGCGAATTGCACATAGCTTCAGACGACTGCACCTCGGCTTCGCTAGAATAACGTCAACATGAAATATGCGTTTGACAAACCGTTTGGTAATGATTAAAAATAGAAATAACTGCAAGCAAACTTGTGTCTTTCTGATATTGATAGAAGACGAGTGACACTGACCAGCTGATGTAGATGTAAAGGTACAGTTGCCAGAACAAAAGGGCTAGGTGAATAAAAAAAGGCGTCTAAATGTTTCAGAACACAGCCAACTATTCAAGCCCCACTACTACAAACGTAATGTGAATAGTTTATGTGTCTCAACATGCCTCTGAAATCACAGGAAAGCACAGACCTAGCGTCCGTGCATTGATGTATAAAGTATACTCTTAAAAAAAAAAGAAACTTGACACTGACTTTCAAAATGTAATATAATGCGATTGTTTCAAAATAGGACAAAGAAACCATAATTGAAACACTGTTTGAAGATCAATGTACACAATGTTCAAAACCTAGACCTAGACACACCTAGACAGACACACGTAAACGATACAGTTAATGTCACAGGGGTACAGAAAATGACAGTATCGGTTGCACCCACCACGTGCATCAATCACTGCTTGACACCGACGACCCATAGATGCAATCAAGTTGTCAATAACAAGCTGTTGGATGTGCTGCCATTCATGCTGAAGTGCATCAAGAAGCGCCGGAAGTGTTTTGGGCGGTGGATTCCTTCTGCGAACGCGTCGATCCAACTCGTCCCACAGATGCTCAATCGGGGACAAATCTGGTGACCGGGATGGCCAAGGTAATGTCTGGATGTTGTTGTGCTGTAAGAAGTCCTGACAAACACGTGCAATATGCGGTCGAGCGTTGTCCTGCTGGACCTGTCCGCCATGAACGTTGACGTGAGGAAGAACGTAAGGCTGTAGGATCAAGTCTCTGTAACGCACACCTGGGACTCGTCAGTAAACAGTACATTTCTCCACCTTGCACGTGCCCATCTAACACTCTGTTGGCACCAAAGCAGACGGTCCGCCAGATGACGTGCAGTAATACATGACGTCGAACAGGTCTTCGTGCAAAAAGTCCAGCCTCCCTGAGTCTGTTGCGTACCGTTTGATCTGATATTCTGCGTACCCCAGGGATCTGTGTGGTTGTAGACGTGGCTGTGGTAGTGCGGTCTCGGAGGTGTCGCAGCCGGATGTATCGATCTTGTGCTTGGGTTGTCACCCTTGGTCTTCCTGACCTTGATCTTCCTGACCTAGGTCTGTCGTCAACTCTGTTGGTGTTGTTGTATCGGGTCCACAGTGCGGAGATTGTCTGTCTGGATACGCCAAAGTGCCTGGCCACTTCTTGCTGAGTTGCTCCAGCTTGTAATCTCCCAATGGCGTTGTTCCGTTGAGCCGCATTCAGTCTTGGCATTCTGCCGTTATAAGGACTGTATGAACAGCCTTTGATGTGGATTTTTATACCCATTCAGCAGGGGGGCCTGCATGCCTAAATGCAGGATCCTGTGCTGCACGTTTTTTACAGGCGGTTGCGTTTGGATGAAGCTGTAAAATTGATCCCCAAACGCTACGTTTATGTGCTTTGCATGTGTTTTCGCGAATTATAGACACATCATCTTTCTGCTTTGGTTCTCATTTAATGTAATTATTTTAGATCTTTGGCAAAAGTGGTTTTACAGCCATGTCAAGTTTCTTTTTTTTAAGAGTATATATAACTGCAGTGCTGGGTAACCCAAATGAAAAACACCCTTTTGGACCTTCAGCTGTGCTGAAACTGATGTAATCAGTCGTTGTAATCTTTTATGAAGAGTTAGTGTTGTCAAGTAAGGAAGCAGGACATACTTGAGTTTCACAAGGGAAGACTGTTAATCTTTTTCTTTTCAAATTCGCGTCTGCTATCAAGTTGTAGTGAGTGATTGAGTATGGTTTTACGCCGCAATGATACAGCAATATAACGGCGGGGGACACCATACATGGGCACTTTCTACCCATCTGAGAATCAAACCCGGGACTTCGTATTGACGCTTAAATCACTACCCGTTCATCCTGGAGCTACTGATCAAAGTCAGGTCACCAGAATCTGAAATCAATCAACAGCAACACGTGATGTCCAGCACCCTTTTTCATCACTACTGGTATCAATTTATTAAATAGGAAAAGTAGGATACATTGAAAAGTGTGTACATGGCAACTTTAAAGTGGTGTGGAATGTTGGTTCATATTTTATACACTAAAGGTGATGAGGTGAGGGGAAATGGGGTTTAACGTCTCGTCCAAGATTATTGCACTTATATAATTGAGTGAGTGAGTGAGTTGGGTTTAACGCCGCTTTTAACAGTATTCCAGTTATATCACGGCGTGCCAGCTTAATGTGGGAGGAAAGCCCGAAGTGATGCAGGTCTAAGACGTTTACCACTTCGGTGAAACCCACGAGCACGGGAATGGTGCTGACAAACCTAGAAACATAATCGGGGCGAACCGGGATTCGAACCCACAATAATAGGTTTCTGGCGTGCCCAAGGGACGCAACTCTGCACAGCGAATCGCGGCGCCTTAGACGACTGGGCCACCCGTGCCCTTTGCACTTATATAACGACGTGCATGCACGTGTGTGTGTGTTTGTGGCTGCTTGTACTAGTCCGGACTAATGCCGATTTATAATGCTAGCTCACTGAGATACGATGCCGGAGTAACATGAATACCCCACTCAGACACAGTATACTTACTCCGAGCCGACCGGTCCTTGTTGTTAGTTCAATCCCCTTAAATCCGAGCGCTAGACAGGGCAACAACAAGCACCATCTTTTAACGTCTTTTGGTATGACGCGGTCGGGAATGGAATCCGAACCTTCCGCTCCCCGGGCGGGCGCTCTACCACTAGACAACGGAGGCGGTCTATACACTAAAGTGTTATTTAATCGTAGCAACGTTACAAAGTCATACAATGTGAATCACTTTATTTCATCCGTGTGACGCAATGCTTATGTAAATTGAAGTATTATCGCAATATTTTGATAAAGGAACAGGACAGGTCCAATGCGGTTAAACGTGAACACTGAATGTAGCAAAGCCGACTGGATCGTCTTATTCGACTCAATTCGCAAACACAACAAGCTGTTTCGCCCCACTTGGTGTTTTCGAGGAAAACACTCTTTTAGGTCCGCAGTTTCAACTTTCAAGGATAAAGGCCGTACACGTGTTTAGGAATTAAACGTAATTGAGTCAGTGTGTGAAAGCGCACGAACACACGGTCCAGTCGTCTGTGTAGTGTTGTATGAAGTGTATAACTGCAGTATGCATAATCATGACCCAAATGACTAACACCGACTGAACCACAGCCCTCATTTCTCCGTGGATGGAGATATACCAGATATACTATGTGCACAACTATATGAAAAAAGTCAAATGTGCCTCATGGCGTGGGATAATGATAACGCTGTTTTCTTGTTAGTTACTGCTGTGATGAAAGGAAGCGGGACATGGTTGAGTTTCAGAAGGGACGACTGTTAACCCTTTCATTTCAAATTCGCGTCTTGAAACAGGAAATATTACGTTTATAGAAATATATACATTGTTTAGAACCGAGTTGAAAATCATTCTCGGGACATATTTCGCTACGTTCTGTCAGTCTTTTATACACAAGATTGAAACAAGTGTATTCACAAGCGGATAGAGGTTTATTCAACAAAATAAAATTATTATAAAAGTATTGTAATATTACTATTTTCTATTTTGGAAATGTTTGATCTGGCGTATATATACCCTTAACAATGTAGGGGATCATGTAATATAAATGTTAATGCCAAGTATTAGAACAGAGTTACAAGCATCCTGTGCAAGAACGTTTGTGTCTGTAAAATTTAACACCCAAACAGAGCCTACAGTTTGCACATGCCTCACAGCTCTACACACTTCTGATTTTAACACGTTCAAGGAAGGTCGATTAATCTCTAGGGATCATTGTTTCTGTCAATGTTATTGATACTCCTTATCAAACAGTGAGTGAGTGAGTGAGTATGGTTTTACGCCGCTTTTAGCAATATTCCAGCAATATCGTGGCGGGGGACACCAGAAATGTACCCATGTCGGGAATCGAACCAGGGTCTTCGGCGTGACGAGCGAACGCTTTAACCACTAGGCTACCCGACCGCCCCACTTATCAAACAATTATAATTTACTTCATTTAATTCATTTTTTGTGCATGAAGTAGCGATGCGGTGCGTCTACGTGCTATTGGCATGTTAGAAATTGGCATAAGTCAGCGTCCAGTGGTCATTACGTTCAATGTCTGACATCTCCTCCATATTATTTTTATCATTCGCCCATCAATGTTTTAACTTTGCTAATTGTATAACGGCTAATATAATACTGCTTAAAATCATGTTTAATGTCATTGCTCAACAGGTTCATCGTTGCAAACAACGCCGGAGACGCATCCAGAATAACTGTCTGTCATCCTCCTCGACAGGCCACGTGATGTAGGTTGTCGTCTGCAGCAGTGCATACAGCGTTTCTGAACCAGAGTCAGCTCAAACTGGCACCATGGACTCTGACTGAAACTGTCGGACAGTACCAAGGCGACGTTTCTGCTGTTATCCAAACTGTTAACAATGTTGTCAACTATGTAACGCCCAGGAGTGAAAGCTCTCCAATGAATGGATAACTTTAATTTGTCATAAATTTCAATTTTCGGCAGCAGGTTACTTCCGTATCCACCCAGAATCATCTTCACAATACAGAACAAATGCATCATAGATGAATCTTTCCTCTCTTTCTTCTATTCGCTGTCTCTGTTTACATCTCATCATGTAAACACAATAGCGGATGTGCCAACTTAAGCTATAGACAATTGAGATAACGACTATTAACACTATTGAAACTATGGAAAAAAACAGAGATTACGGGAAACTGATAAGGTGAGATCCGACACGTCTCTTCAGACACATCAACTATATATTCCCCAGGAATAAAGTCTCTCTCGTGGATACACAGCTTAAAGTTGGCTTCGTCTTCAATCCTTGGTATGATATTATTCCTTACCGATCTTGAATCAGCTTCACAATAAACCACAAAAGCATCATAGATGTATCTCTCTTCATCAGCTGTCTTCCTCTTTTTGTATCTCAACATGTGGACATAATAGCGAATGCGCCAACGTAATTTATAGGCAATGGAGATAACGACTATCAATACTACTGGAGCAGTGGAAAGACCATAGGCAATGGGAAAAACACGTGGGATCCGACACGTCTCTTCGGAGACATTGGCATCAATCAGAAGCGTTGATTGGAGGTTCCATGGATATCCACATCGATATGACTCTGGGAAGTTAGTAAATTTACTTTTATCTGCCTTCACCCATGTAGCAAACCAAAGACTAGCACAAGTACAGACAAAAGTTACGCCTTCGTGGTCTAGTGGTAGAGCGTCCGCCCGGAGAGCGGAAGGTCCAGGGTTCGATCCCCGGCCGCGTCATACCAAAAGACGTTAAAAGATGGTTCTTGTTTTTACCCTGTCTGGCGCTCGGCATTAAGGGGCTAAAACAAGGACTGGTCGGCTCGGAGTCAGTATACTGTGTCTGAGTGGGGTATTCATGTTAAACTGCGGCATGGTATCTCAGTGGGCTAGCACTATAAATCGGTATCAGTCCGGACTAGTACAAGCAGCTACACACACACACACTCACACACGTGCATGCACGTCGCTATATAAATGCAATAGTCTTGGACGCGACGTTAAACTCAATTTCACCTCACCTCACCTACAGACAAAATCCTTAAAAGCCAAATTCACTTTTGACAATTGCTCTCTGATTGGTATAGAAAATACAACTTCACTGACGACCTGGGTGGCATTTTGTGAGAGGTTCAGAGTTTTGAGTTTTGTCAAGCTATTGAACACACCAGGATTTAATGACACAATTCTGTTTCCATGAAGATCTATATATGCAAGTTGATGGAATGTAGATATTACGCTTGAAACGGCGTATAAATGACTCCTTGGCATTCTCAGAACCTTCAGTTTTTGAAGATCACAAAGATGTGTGTCGAAAAAGCTATCGTTAAAGTTCATCATTGTATTGTACGATAGGTCCAGGTATGTAAGTTCCGTGCATCCTCTCAGTGTGTTTGGGTGAACAACATCCCCAAATTTAATGAATTTAGCAATGCCTGCGAGGTAAAGTGCTTTAAAAACACAGTTATTAAATGCATATGCTTCTAGTCGTGCGTTGTTTCTGAAAACATTGTTTAATGAAAGAACACTAAGGTTTGGTAATGTCGAAAAAGTATCTGTCTGAATCAAAATCAATGAATTACCAACTAGTATTAGGTATTTCAAGGCTGTAGGACAATTCAAACTACTATTTGACAAAGAGACGTTGTGATAAATGTCTATATGTTGAAGTTGTGAATGGTTGGTATGAACACAAAAATTTGGGATCTCTGTCAGGAAGTTTGAATGTAAATAAATAGACTTCAGGTGTTGGGGTACAAGAGCTGGCATCCAAGATATGTAGTTATTAGCAAGACGTAGGACGCGTTATGAAAACACGTAAAAATACAAATGTCTGATTTGACAAAATTCAATATTTAGACTGTTTACATTCAGTTGGTTGGTTGGTTGGTTTGTTGTTTTACGCCGCACTCAGCAATATTCCAGCTATATGACAGCGGTCTGTAAGTAATCGAGTCTGGACCAGACAATCCAGTGATTAATATCATGAGCATCGATCCACGCAATTGGGATACGGTGACATGCATAAACCAAGTCAGCGAGCCTGACCACCCGATCCCGTTAGTCGCCTTTTACGACAAGCATAGTAACCTTTTACGGCAAGCATGGGTTGCTGAATACCTATTCTACCCCGGAATCTTCACGGGTCGTTTACATTCAGGCGTGTATGTCTACGTACAAGGTCATCTGTGCTATTGCGAACATTTATGTTATTTGACACGTCAAGTATTCGAATTTTACTCTGTAAACTGTAAAAGCATTCCTGAAGAACATCTTCAGGGACACTGCTGTAACCTAGGTCGAGAAGCTCCAGCCTTAACATGTCTTGGAACGCATCACCAGAAATGTATGTGATACTGTTGTTACGAAGAAATAGGATTTTCAACTGTGTGATGTTTCGAAACGTAGCTCCTGTTATCCTTCCCAGATAGTTTGATGAAAAGTTCAGAAACTCTATTGTAGGGTTTAAATTGGGTATCCTTGTGAGTCTCCTTCCCCTATTTGTGCAACTGACACAATAACAATAATTACAAAGAGAACACTTGCACAAGGTTTTGAAACACTCTGTTGTCACGTTTCCACTTCTTCTTCAATGAATTTTGTTTGCGGTATAGTAACGCCGAGTGTACAAACTTTAATCCAAAGAACGATCCTACAGCCATGTGTCATTGTGTGTCCACAGCTATCTATAAAATGAGAAAAGTCATGTCATATCCAACATTTACCCTGTAAGTGAGGTTTAGTTTAACTTCGCTTTAAACACTATTTTCATTTTATCAGTGGGTGATAAAAATATAAGAAATTAACATCACACAGGCAATATCTCGGTCATAAGGCGACGCTTTTAGTTCTCACGGTGTGTCTCTATGTGGGGAATTCCTAATACAGAATAGAATCCTAACGACCACCGGACCATTACAAACACACATCGTGTTGCTGCACCAAGATAACTTGGTTCATCCTTGTTCCTACATTTATCAACTAATAGTTTAATCTAGTAAATAACGTATTTATAAAATAATCCAAAATAATCTTTAACCACGTGTCACTGACAATTAACGAAGTCACTCGATCTTGACCATTGTAGATGCGATGAATGTCAACCTACATGAACCTAAGCACGTTAAACATTCACATAGCAGGCGCATTGTACTTAGTTGATGGCTCCAAATAATACTTTGTATCACTTGAAGTGCACTTTATCATCAACGGCGTCTTTGTGCAATAATCTTATTTCACAAGCCATTTATGTTACCCTGTGCCAGGTAATATATTACTGTTGAGTGATGAGCGTTGGCTTATTTTTCATCTTAAAAAATGCAGAAAACGTGATAGATTCAGCACAATTTATTGAGATGAAGTACAAATAACACAATTACATACATGCATGGTATAAACCAAAAATACTAAGCTAAAACTTTAAGGATTTAAGTAATTAAGTCGGATTAGGAAAATCGGTCCTAATCGGTAGTCCTTCAACCAAAGCGGCGAGCCAAGACTGGTATTTGTGTCTCTCAACAAACTTTAATCCGATGCTAGGGATAAGCATTAGAATTAAGATGAGTAAAAGGACCACCGTGATAAGGTGCAGTGTTTGCACTTCAAGAAGACGTTCTATATACAATAAAGGCCCAAGTGATAATTTAGTTACCACCTAAAAGGTAAATATAAGATAGCTACGCGACAAATCGCAAAGAACAATGAAGAACGAAACGTGGTTTATTTCACGATAAACCATTGTTCTATAATGACGTCATTTCTGGAGATTCGAACATGCGCGCGCGACTTGATGACGTCGTAAACTGGACGACGTTATTTTTGAGAGGAAATAGTCTTATGAGTTGTTCCCCATAGATGTAGCTGGACAGCGCAGATTAATGCAATGGCCACACGATCGCACCCAAAAGTGGGAGCGATATCACAATCCACGTTGGGAGAAAAGGTGCAGCTAATCGACGTGAACATTGTGAGAATACCAAACTTATCCCCCTCTACACAATATGGAGCTGTCCGACATTGCCGAGGTCGGATTGTATTCGGGGAGTCATCATTATTTTAAAACATGTAAATATTTTCAAAGCGTGTACAATTGTACTGACATCCTCATAAGAGTTGTACATAGTGTTGATATCTCATCGTTGTTTATCATACAACAAAACACTGCAGGGAGAATAAACCACTCGGGGCTGCGCGTCTCGTGGTTTATCTCCTTGCAGTGTTTTATTGTACGACAACTCACTCCCACTCGTCGTTTATTTCTAAAATTACAACCCGAGGGAAAAAAACATTTAAGGTACATAAACAATACAAATACGAGGGAGCAGTCCCTCAATCTGGACCTCTCATAATTTTCAGTTGCGTATGTACATTGTTTATGCGCAACACTTATTCCAGAAACTCCACCCTGAGGTCAGTTACCCCTTGGAATATCTATATATACACGAATATTACCACATTTTGGTGATTCGAAGTTTGTTAACCATATGTATATTAGATGTACAGGAGCAGAGAATGTTAGAGACAGAATCGTAAGTCAGTTAAAAACAATTTTAACATAGAAAAATATTAATCATCAGTGATGAATTAACAGAGCATTTATTCTCTATACATCTTCTTAAAAGATTTTTATTTTTTTTAAACTATCTCTGCAAACATTGTTTAAGTCGCATCCAGAATACATGTCTATCCTCCTCCTCGTCTGGCCACGTGATATAGGTAGTCGTCTGAAAGAGGGCATACAGTGATGACGTCATGTTCCTGGCCTCAATGTTTTCAAGCAGCACCACCACCACGTAGCCCTCGTCCTTCTCCAGAGCTTGTTTCTGGATCAGAGTTAGTTCAAACTGACACCATGGACTCAGAATGAAATAATTAGACAGCACCATGATGACATTTCTGCTATTATCCAAATTGGTTACTATGTTATCAACTATATATTTCCCAGGAACAAAGTCTCTCTCGTGGATACACAGCTTAAAGTTGGCTTCGTCTTCAATCCTTGGTAAGATATTATTCCTTACCCATCTGGAATCATCCTCACAATAAACCACAAAAGCATCATAGATGTATCTCTCTTCATCAACTTCCTTCCTCTTTTTGTATCTCAACATGTGGATATAATAGCGAATGCGCCAACGTAATCTATAGGCAATGGAGAAAACGACTATCAACACTATTGAAACTATTGAAAAACCATAGACTATGGGAAACACATAAGGTGAGATCCGACACGTCTCTTCAGAGACATTGGCATCAATCAGAAGCGTTGATTTGAGGTTCGGAGGGTATTCACATTGATATAAATCGGGGAAGTCCGTGAATATGTGTTTATCTGTCTGTACCCATGTAATAAACCAAAGGTTAGCACAAGTGCAGAGATAATCATTTTTTGCTAAATTCACGTTTGTGAGTTGATTTCTGATTGGTACAGGAAATACAGCTTCACTTACGACCTGGATGGCATTCTGTGAGAGTCTTATACGTCTGAGTTTTGTCAAGTTGGTGAACACTCCTGGATCTAAAGACGTAATTCGGTTTCCATGAAGATCAAGTTCTTTAAGTTCCCGGAAGTTCGATATTACATTTGGAAAAAAGGATAACTGACACCTTGGCATTCGTAGCATCTCTATTTTGTCAAGACCAGATAAGATTGTTTCGAAAAAGCTATCGTTAAAGTACAGCATCGTATTGTACGAGAGGTCCAACCATGTAACTCCGGTACATCCTCTCAGTGCCTTCACGTTAACGATGAAATCGAAATAACCAAATTTAGCAATGCCACTGAGATAAAGCTTTTTAACAGCACTGTTATTAAATGCATATTCTTCGAGTCTTTCTTCAGCTTCGTAACTTCTAAAAGCATTACTTAGGGCAATAAACTGAAGGTTTGGTAATGATGAAAATGTATTTGAATGAATCTTCGTTATTAAATTTTCTATGAAATTGAAATATTTCAATTTTTTTAGACATTTCAGACTAACATTTGACATGTATCTTATGGCATTTTGGCGTAAATCTAATGATTGAAGTTGTGAATTATTGGTATTATCACAAAATCTGGGAAGCTCTGTCAGTGAGTTTGAACGGAACGAAATCACAGTTAAATACCATGGAACTTCAGCTGTTGTCCAAGCAATGTCATTGTAAACAACATATAGAACACGTAGTGAGTCCAGACGAGATATCACAGAAAAATTAACGTATTTCAGATGACAAAAACCCATTTTCAGACTTATTATATTCAGTCGTGTAAGCCCGTCAACAAAATCTTCTGTAATATTCCGCAAAAACCTGTTATGGGAAACGTCAAGAGTTCTAAGCGTGTTATGCAAACTATGAAAAGATGCCTGAAGAACACTTACAGACACACTACTGTATCTGAGATCAAGAACCACCAGCATTAGCATGTCTTGAAAGGTGTCTCTGGAGATGTTTGTAATACTGTTGTTGCGAAGAATTAGAACTTTCAACTGTGTTATATTTCGTAACATATCTCTTGTCAGCTCTCCGAGGTAGTTTGATGAAAAGTTCAGAAACTCGGTTGTAGGGCGTAAGTCCGGAATCCGTGTGAGATTTTCCGCGTTGTTTGTACAACTCACACATTTATCAGAACACCTACACAGACTTTCAAAACATGGTCTATACACCTTTCCACACAATACTACCGCTCCTTCTGTGTTTGACGGCAATATCATAGCGCAAGCGATTGCACAAATTGTTATCTCCAGAAGACGTGCCATGATTTTTTCAATAACCGTCTTAAATCCTCAGACTCTAAGTATCGTACATGAATAAATCTGAAATGGAAACAAACGCCATGATAATTTAAGACTTCCAGGACAACAACCATTGATACTACTGATACGATGTTAAGTGATTATATTCTATGTAAATGGCTAAGCAGTGTTCAAGGTGTAATGTTCTACCATTTTACGTTTTGTTTACTGCGTTTTGAATCGCTGTGAACTGTGTTGTTATCCAGATGATAGGGTACCAATGAAATTGTTCAAACACTGACACCAAAGAGAAAAAAACATCTCATAGAGATGATATGTGCACTGTTTTGGGACGTAACAGATTGAAATCATGCGTGTGCAGGCTTAAAAATCTCTAAATAACATAGCATGATTGTTAATATAAATTGGGTATTAGTTTGGCATACACTTTAACTTTCAGTCAAAAGCGTTATGTCTGGCAGAAGTAACGACCAATAAATATGTCGAAAGTAGGAATATAATACTAACCTCAAGCAATTTAGTAGATGCAGTTGTAGCGGCTGAAAAATAGCTTATGTCTGGTTCATCATGTGTTACAGTCTCAAGTGAACACTCCCGGTTGTCATGCTGCGATATTTCCTCTAATAAACTCAACGTCGAAATGAGGAGGTCAGATCTCTGATTAACGCCGACAGCTTTCGCCGATCCATGCTGCTCGTTATTGGTTTTAGTAGAATAGCTATGTTACAGTAATAAAATACTTTCTTCATTTGAATTCATTTGTGCGTGTGCGTGCGTATGTGCACCTGTGTGCGCGCATGCGGTTGCGGGGACACTCTACAAGCCTGTGTAGCCGTGTTAAAATACTTTCTTGATTTGAATTCATTTAAGCGTGTGCGTTTGTATGTGCGCGTGTGTGTGCGCATGCCATTGCGTGGAACTCTACAAGCCTGTGTAGCCGTGTTAAAATACTTTCTTGATTTGAATTCATTTGAGCGTGTGCGTGTGCGTGTGCGTGTGCGTGTGCGTGTGCTTGTGCGTGTGAATGTGCGCGTGTGTGTGTGTGCGCATGCGGTTGCGGGGAAACACTGCAAACCTGTGTAGCCGTGTTAAAATACTTTCTTGATTTGAATTCATTTAAGCGTGTGCGTGTGTATGTGCGCGTGTGTGTGCGCATGCCGTTGCGTGGAACTCTACAAGCCTGTGTAGCCGTGTTAAAATACTTTCTTGATTTGAATTCATTTGAGCGTGTGCGTGTGCGTGTGCGTGTGCGTGTGCGTGTGCGTGTGAATGTGCGCGTGCGTGTGTGTGTGTGCGCATGCGGTTGCGGTTGCGGGGAAACTCTGCAAGCCTGTGTAGCCGTGTTAAAATACCTTATTGATTTGAATTGTAAAAAAGAGATACTTCAGTTCAGCAACTAAAAACGTGTTGTTGGCAGAGAGGTTTGTGTATTTATTAGAAGCATTACAATGGTCGTCGAGAACAGAGACACGAGGATGTTTATCCCGTTTCCTATTAAGTGAGAGACGTGGTAACGGACACATTTCCTTCTCTGTTTGATGACGCATCACACAACGTTAACAAGGCTATACATGGGTTGCCCCGCCACTTTACATAATGTATGGTGTGAATTAAAAGCAGTTGTAACGATACCAACCAAACTACTTCAGTCTGACGGTTCAAAATGTAAACTTAGTGCCAGAGGGAGAACACCCACATGGTTTCTTGCAGTGTTCCACCCTGAAAGCTTTGTTTGTCATGGTAGTTCTATTAACGTAGTATTGATGATGTCTTTCATACTGGGCGAAAGGATTCATGTAGCTTTGAGGAGTACAGCGTTTGCTCGTCACGCTGATGACCCGGTTCGATTTCCCACATGCGCACAATCTGTCAGACGTCGTTATATGGCTGGAATATTGTTGGAAGCAACTTCAAACCCAACTCACTCACTCACTCTTTCATCCATGTTCGAGCAGCACAAACGATTAACCGGAAGCAGTCACTGTATCATAGAGTGTTTGAAAAACAAAGTTCCAATGAATACTTTTTTCTCGATATTGACCTTATTTTCGATCGAATTAAAATCGTCTATGTTACAACTCTCAACTCTCATGTGTTATTAGTCTTCAATGTATAGTTCTAATATGAAAAAATAATGTACATGATATACGGCCTACCCGAATAGGCATTCACCTCTATGAGTGAGTGAGTGAGTGAGTGAGTGAGTGAGTGAGTGAGTGAGTGAGGTTTTACGTCGCTTCACACATTGTGGTTGCACACATTGTACCCATGCGGGGACACACACACACACACACACACACACACACACACACACACACACACACACACACACACACACACACACACACACACACACAGGTTCAAGAAGAATGTACTTATATGATATCAAACGAGCAGTCACAATAACAGTGCAGTGGAACCTTTATTCACTCAATGAATAGTTTAATATCATCATAACATATCACAGTCATGCTTTAAAATAAACACGTTGAGTTATCAAGTATATTATATTTTATGTACGCTTCTGACAGAAAATCAAGGATTGAAACTGGAAAGTGCAGGTTTACAATAAAAACAGATTCATTCTTTGTATTATGCATTATTTGTATTTAAGATGTGTTGTTGTCACAATGATATACGAGGATAATAAAACATGGACGGTCACCAAGAACCCCATAATCACATTTGAAAATGTTTCTGACACGAATTCAGTTATTAGAACTGTAAAAATTGACTCAGTTCTCATATTGAACAATAGTTGACCAAGCGTAATATCTATATATATGTTCAATACAGGAGGAAATAAATACAACGTGCAATAAACACAAAGCAAAACAATGAAATTTTATACACTTGTGATTTTAGATCGGAGGCCCTAAAGAAATCTTTATCACATTATATATCGCAGAACACAAGGCTTGAAACTGGTAAATTTAGTGCATTTGGTTTTATTTCACACATTTATGAAATCATAAACATCGATACAGGGCGGCATACACACGAAAAGACACACGATGCTGTAAAACATAGATAGATTCGAATCTTCATCTAGGAATGTCAGTAATTCCTGTCGTAGTCGAAGTTGAGCATGTGGCGGCTGGAGGTTCCACCAGAAGAGGGCATGCTCTTCAGTTTGGTGACTGTCAGATAAACCAGGGCGACCACAGCGAGCGTTGCTACACCGCTGCCGAACCCGATACCTGCCGAACTGAGCAGCTTGCTGTTGCTTACACGGGGACGCACGACCGTAGTGGTCTTCATCGTCACAGGGTCCGTACATTGGCATGTCATTCTGCCGGACTGGTATGCCTCGATCTGGGAAGTATGAGATATTGCAAAATGTATTATGATATTTGTTATGTTGCAACTGATGTTGTATAATGTATAGCTGTATTAACGGGGAACGTTTGTGTTGGTAATCAATTTGGATGTTAGATATAAGAGAATGTGACCAAATGCTTAGATACATTAATTTTGATGAATGGTATCTTATTACGAGACTACAAGTTAGTCTAAACAGTAAGTTTCCCAAACACCTTTTAACTGTACAATCACTATCTATTTTCATAGCTCCATGATGAAATATATGTTTGCTGGTCAGTAAAGAATGTTTTAATGTTGTAAATGAGAAAACATATCAATCAAATTTCTTAAGCACGTGCTTTTTTATGCATACATTACATATATATGTTACAGTCAATGTCTATAATCGGGCAATATTAATATTGACTAAATCAATCGGGCAATGTACATATTGGCTGAAATTGTCAGTCAATATACATATTGCATGACATATGAGCCTGGACTTTAAACATATTGACTGAAGTGACTCCTTAATTTAAACTCATTTTAATTTGGATCTACGAAGATCAAAGTAATTCAAAGTTTACTCAATATATTGGAATCAATCTGATGTTAACAAACTATATATCTTTGTTTTCTTTATAAATAAAAAGTAAAATAGATGAGAATAGTTAATTAGACAAATAAGAGGTAAGAAATAGTATACAGGTGATCCTCTGCACCAGCAATAGTGTTATAAACTTCAAGATTCAATTCAATAGCAGTATATTCCTTAATATAAGAAAATGATCTAATTATCTTTACTTCTAGTGTTTATTTTACTCCAATAAGGCTCCAATGTAAATAAGTGTGGTCATCGTGATCATGTGAAATGAAAAGAAAAGAAAACACTCACCATTTGCTGTTTAGCTATAAACAAAAGTACATAATGATTTTATTTAGTAAGGAAATTATGGTTTTTATTCATTTGACACTCTTGCGGAGAAGTATATACATTCTAGTTGTGTAAGATTTTTTATTTGTTACACGTTTAAAGCCTCCATGAAATATTGAAAAGCTGTTTTATCTTGAAGCGAACAAACATCAAAGTGTCATTTTGAATCTACATGACAATGGGGTATAGTACTTACTGGCTCCAGTACATTGCTTGGCCGGTTCTGTGAGGTATAAACAAACAGGACGGTGTTTTAGATATTTCGATTAGAATTATACATACATACAGACAGACAGACAGACAGACAGACAGACATACATACATGAATAATTGCGGATATGAATAACCCTTTAGAGTTGTTTTCTTTGTTGTTTTACGTCTCAGTCAGTGATGTTATATTTACTCATAATACAATTCAGCTATCTCATTGGTCAGTCGCTGTCCTTTGATATCCCATACAGGGCCAGCTTGTAGGAAAATCTTGACGTCATAATGTTCCATATGACGTCATTTACTTGTCACATCAACCATACTAAAGTCAAGGCGGTCGTAAGGTCTACACACAGATTATAGTATCTGTACTTGTGAACACGAATGGTTAGTTGGTTACAAGTTTAACTAGCAGGTTGTACATGTTTTGTCGAGCTTAACATCCGTGTGCACCTCCAACCTTCGATCTCATGGTATACATGCCCACTCTGATAAGCAATGGGACTGTATTGGATTTGAATGCTTTTAAACCATAACATATGATGTCCTACCGTATAGGAATTGGTAGTGCATGTCAATGCTTGGAACCAGTCATAACAAACCCTCTCCAAGTACATATATTAACGCCACAAATATCCTCTGTACATGATTCTTAAATCAATTATATGTTTGATTATTGCTTTATCACGCAGTTAACCAAACCGCCGGGCAAAAAAAAGTATACACCCGTGTTTTATGGTGATCAAAACTATAAAAAACAAGAAATGTTTAGGTATTTGATACGGGTTTCATAGTTGTGTTTTGGACCTTAAGTTTGCAGCGTTTTGCGACTGTTTTCAAACTTGTAAGATATTCGTAACGTTTGTACTTTGTTGGTCAAATCCAATTGTCAAGTGTATATTTTCTATTGATCGGCAGTTTATTCCCACCTATATCATGGTGGAGTGTTATTAGCAGAATGTGGGACATGCAGACATGTGGATGACAGCATGATCAACGTTCCATACCATTGGGATACGATGACCGAGTCTGACCATCCGATACCCACTGGCGGTTCTTATGTCAAGCATGAGGAATCTAATCTGACCCGGAATGCAAACAGTGTCCTTTTTAAAATATTAAAGATACACTATAGGTACATTACCTGGGGTTTGAGCAACCACATCTACATCCATGCATATGGTTAGAACATCATTACTGAAAAATGAACACGATATATACACAATGTATTATATGTGCTAAATGGTAGTACTGGACATTGTGTTATAGACAGAAACTGTCAATAATAAGATTATTATTGTAATGCTCGCTTGAAACAGTGAGTGAGTGAGTTGGGTTTGATGCCAAATTTAAAAGTATTCCAGTTATATCACGGAATGTCAGCTTAATGTGGGAGGAAAGCCCGAAGTGATGCAGTTTTCATATGTTATCAGTTTGGTGAAACCCACAAGTACGGATAAGGTGCTGACAAAGCTAGAAACATAATCGCGGGGAACTGCCCAAGGGACGCAACTCTGCACAGAGCCATATCTAAGCCTAATGTTGAATGAAAAGTGATGAAGCTCTCAGACGTCTCAGACGCTTTGGCATAATCCACGAGCAGGGGTCAGATGCTGATAAACCAAGGATACTAATCAAGGAGGGTCTGGTATTCGAAGCAAGGGTCATACGACCCTCAAGGTCTAACAACAACAGGTCTGTACAGCGAACTAAGACCCACTATTCCAGGGAGGAACAACCTGTACCATTCCCTACTAGTTTCGTCGTGGAAAAATGAGCAGAGAAAAATAATTTTATCGATGTCCATTATTGCGATGCACTTATTTCAATGGCAATTTATCGTTATTTGCTTCATGGCCCTGCACACGTTTGACAAATATAAAACTATCCTTGTTTACTGTACATAATTATATAAGTGAGTGAGTTGGGATTAACGCCGCTTTTAACAGTATTCCAGTTATATCGCGGTGCGTCAGCTTAATAACGGAGAAAAGCCCGAAGTGATGCAGGTCTCAGACGTTTACCACTTCGGTGAAACCCATGCCCACAGGTATGGTGCTGAGAAACATAATCGGGGCGAACCGGGATTCGAACCCACAATCATAGGTTTCTGGCGTGCCCAAGAGAAGCAACTCTGCGCAGCGAATCGTGGCGCCTTCGACGACTGGGTCATCCGTGCTCTCTCTCTCTCTCTCTCTCTCTCTCTCTCTCTCTCTCTCTCTCTCTCTCTCCCCCCCCCCCCCCCCCCCCCCCCATTTATACAATGAACTACAAGAAAGTCATCTTCAACAAGAAGACCTTGACATCCCCTACCCTTTTCAATTTTACTAAATTCACTTTATAGTCGTAACAGTGAGTGAGTGAGTGAGTTGGGTTTAACGCCGCTTTTAACAGTATTCCAGTTATATCGCGGCGTGTCAGCTTAATGTGGGAGGAAAGCCCGAAGTGATGCAGGTCTCAGACGTTTACCACTTCGGTGAAACCCACGAGCACGGGTATGGTGCTGACAAACCTAGAAACATAAACGGGGCGAACCGGGATTCATAGGTTTCTGGCGTGCCCAAGGGACGCAACTCTGCACAGCGAATCGCGGCGCCTTAGACGACTGGGCCACCCGTGCCCCAATAAATGTATGGAAGTCAATATTCTGTAGTTTCCTCACCTGTCAGAGATGCTTTCAGCCTGAACACAGACATGCTGGTGGCCGGGGACTGTGGCGTGGTACAGAACCGGCTGGATGGACTGGCTTCCACTAAGTATAGGCGGCATGGCAGGTAGACTGGGACTTTGTTGTAGTACCCTACACAAATAAACAATAGTCATTCATCTTCCGACAAGACATTAGTCGTAGAATTCTATCACGTTCTTAAAACACGGAGACACGGGTCATCATGGGCCTAATAATATAATGGGTCCTACCATCCTGCGGCTTGTAAGTATAGGGTTCTTGTTTAGTTTACATATTAGTGATAAAGGTACGTTATGATATTGAGAGTAATATTATATACCTGTCTGGCTCTGTAACAATTGGAATCGGACACTGCGTTCCCAATGTGCAAGTGACATGTGTTGGTATGGCTGGTTTAGGTTTTGCTCCTGCGAAAAAGTCGGAGATAGTTGTTGATATCACATGACAATCCATTATCCTACCAGTTACTGGCTACTCAGATAGGTAAAAAAATAACTACTTACAAAGATTATTTCAATGATTTTTCAATCAAAAATAACTTCTGCATTTATGACGTCCTTATGTTTTCCAATATCAAGTCATAAACGTTGGAATAACAAATAAGACTAACTTCCAATTACTAAATATGTCATTTAATAATGATAATTCATAACTCCTGTTGCACTGATCGTAATAGCACTGTATGATCACTGTATGCTGCGTTTTGTTTCAGTAAAATGTTGCACCATAGCATAAATTTGGATTAGTAATAGCATACCCATCACTGACAAATACAAATTGAAATAGCTACAAATGGAAATTTAGATAGGCGGCCTACGTACGCTCAACGGTCTTACTGGATATGTGCCTACCTGGTGGAGATACGCTGCCACTGGGGTCAAGCTTCGTCTCCACCTTAATGCACATAGTTTGTGACACTAAGCTGAAAGACGGAAAGAACATCACGTGTTGAGTCAATATATCACTCATGTAAGTTTTGAAACAATCAATAGGACTACCATACCTATATCACACGTATTATAGATAGTTTCAGAATAATGACAAAAACGTCAACGCCAGAGAATACCCTGTCTCGATAGTCTGCTGAAACATATTCCATGGGGTGTAAAAGGCAAAATACTGATGAAACTGTGAATGGATCACTACAAATCAGTGAAGACGAAAAGGATACACATATCCTTCCCTACCACAGCGTAAAAGAATCAAACCGTTTATCGTAGAATGTATAAGATTAAAGCATACATGTATTTGAAAGTGTAGCAGTTTGAATTTAAGCAAACGTACCTTACTCCTGCACTGGCCTTCATGCAAACGTTCTGGGATCCGGGAGCTGATGGTCCAATCTGAATCTCAACATCTTTATATGACCCCACAGAGCGGATCGGACCATTGCTAAACTGACTTGTACCAACCGGGTTAACCGAGATCGGGTTTCTGATGGAACATATTACATTTTGCAGCATGCATGCAGATCAAAATGAATAATGACTGAACATGGTAATTTATTTTAGGTGTTCTCTGTAGATACTGTTAAAGAGACTTGCTCCATGAATGACTCGACATTCAGCTGCTGATAACCATCAATTGATGACACAAAGCCTCTTCCAGTTTGTATAGTAAACGGTGTAACAGTAAAGATCCTGTTGTTTTTGTCAATCCTTATTAGGTGTATATAAGTCTGTAGTGTGTTGTCTTACTCCACTCTTGCTTGACAACGGTATCAGGATTATTACCGAAATGTCGAACCATAACAGAATGTCATCCATAAAATATCTTTTTACGTTACTTACTTCTACAAATGCCTTTCCAACAATTCAAACGGTTAACGCCGCTCTGGAAACTATTTCAGTTATATCACGGTTTACAGCTTAATGTAACGTCAAAAGTATAGGCTGCCCTAAACAGGTACCATATGACTGAACTTCAACTGTCATGGTACTAACAGAACACAGGTTAACAGCTGCAGGTTACATCTTCCCGAGGCAAGAGAATTGACTGACTGTAAAAGTCCAGTGTCCACCTTTGCCGAACTAGCCTGGAATTATGGAGTTATATTTTGGCTGGACTAATGAGTCTATGCATAGTCCAATCAAAATCGCGTAACGAAATCGACATCTGGTTTGAAAACTACCGTGCAGATTTAGGTCGATTGCAGGAGTTGTAAAAGCATGTGTAAGCATGTCAGCTTAGCGTCAACAGATATTTTGCAAATCTTTTCATGTTTTCAATCAAGGTGCCAACGTGATTTGATGCACTTCGCGAAGTAAGACCCATTTTATTACAAATAGATCTTGATTATCGATCAGATCGTCTTAACTGGGCGACGCCATTTTATCTGAAGCAAATGCAAGTGATCTGAGAGGTGGTATAAGATTGGTCAATGGGAGGGAGATAGAAGAGACAGAAATTCCAGCGTAGTTCGTCAAGGGTGGAAACTGGACTTTTACAGCCGGTTAACTCCCTTGCCTCGGATGGCAGGTTACGTCGCCCGCTATCATCATACACTACATACACACCCTTTTGTATTGGTACGTACGTTGTAACGCATGATGGCGGTTTGACCAGAACGTGAATGCTACATTTGGAAGAGGGGCACTCTACGGATGATGCGGCTCCGACGATTTCAGGCTGACGGAAACAAAGAGATCATTGAAAGATATATTATATACTGGTATTGATCATCAGAATAACATTTCATAAGAATACGGAACGATAACGCTGACCAAAAAGGACCGTCCAAATCATGTTCATTGGTGATGTTAATGTGTTTGCGGAAAATAGTCGGTCCAAAAACGTTTTGAAAAATACTGCTTTATATATAATTACACTGAATTTTCCGAAGACAAAATCCTGTTTCTTTTGGCGAAACGTCCAAACAATAACCTTGTGTCCCCAATACAGGCTTTTAGGGACTAAAATGGTCTCCAATCGGAAGACGACGTTGGAACAGTGTGTATTATATTCCTAGTTTGCAATTAGAGAATGTGGACATGAAGATGTTACTCACATGATCATTAGGCCCGCACGGCAGATTTGTGGCTGGAGATAGAAGACACAGACATAGCTGACTGATATTCGTGTCTAAGCCAGTGTTCATATGTCAGTAAAGGTAGTGTAACATCTAAGTAATAAACATAAACAAAGAGCTAGTGACAGCTCATGAATTATGGACATATGTTCCTTAACAACAAATTGAGATATCAAGACATGTTTGTTATATTAAGATAAGTAACACAGAAACTTTGTATACGCACTGGTCGGCTGATGTGTCTTCGTAGGGTCTTTTCCGAACGTATCTGCAAAGAAGTGTTAACTTTGTTGGTACATGGCGCAGGACGACGAAATGGTGTGCCTCGCGAAGAGATACTTCTCTGGGTGAAAATGAATTTATCATCCAAACTCGTAAAATCATTATGAATTCGCACCACAATCCTATGCAGACCATTGTGACGTTTACGGCTACCATGGCGAGAGAAGAGAGAGAGAGAGAGAGAGAGAGAGAGAGAGAGAGAGAGAGAGAGAGAGAGAGAGAGAGAGAGGCACATTGATAACTTGTACGTACTTGGATTGGGAGTGACTTTTATCGTGTAACATTTTCTGTCGTTGTTGGTTCTGGAATTAAAAGATAATATTTAACAATGCAAAAGTTAACTCGGAGGCTCGAAAGTATCATGCTGTAAATTCTGGAAGTACACTGTGTCTTATTTGACTGAAGCTTGGAGCGGAGCATAGAGGACTGGAGGGTTCTGGAGCGGACTGGAGTGGTGCGATCAAGTCTTCTTTAGCTCCGTAGTTCGTTGTGTAGATTTGCATTCTGTAGGCGTTCTGGGATCCTGGTATCCTTGGTTGGAAGTTTTAAATTCGTTTGTTAACCTTGACTTGTCAAGCCTATATCAGTGCTCGTCAGTTTCACAAATATTACTTCTTAGCCCGGCACGTTGAGCATCTCAAGTATTAATTGACATATTATAGCGGCGTTAAAATCCAACTCACTTGTATTGTTCTCCAAAATACTCACGTAGTTGCACACACTGTATGTTCTCCAATGTCTGTTTGGGAGGGGGTAACGGACAACGTGTGTAGATCGGGGTCCGTTGGGTCAGTTGTGACACTGGCCGGGATCGCCCCGGTCGTTGGCTGAAATCTGTAATGAATACAATCATAACAAGTATGCCGCTGACAAACATCCACAAAGCAAATGTCAGGAGTACTTAAATAGGTGTCTGCACATGAACCTGTATCTCAGGTTTTGAACTGAAATCAATTTGAAACACATAGCATTACTGAAATGCGATAACGAAGATTAACCGGTATTAATAAAACTAAACATTTGAGAACTTCGCTCGTAGTCTTCGATGACAGGGACCTAAAGACATGTTAACGGTTGTGGTGGAGGTTGAGAGGGTCAGCAAAACTGAGACAGTGATATGTGATGGCAGCCTAAAAGCACGGCTTGGGTAAGTCGACAGCCAGATAACAACATCCCATATACATTGTAATAACCATATGGTATTGTATTAAGAACTAGGGTACTTCGGTCCTTATCTGCCCGTAAAAAAACATTTTTGATATGGAGAATACATATGTGAGGCTCGAGGTTGTTTTTTTCCAAGAAGTAATATGATACTTTCAATTCTTCTGTGAACTCACCTAGTACCAGGAGTGGTTTTCATGTCGACGGAGCAGGTGGTGTCAACCGTGCATGTGATGACGGAGTTGTCAGGGAGTGAAGTCGAGACGATTTCCTTCGGAAACAGAAAAAAAACCACGTGCAAATGTATTCAGATGTCAATTATATGAGTATATGAGCAGGTTGGCGTCGTTCACGTCAATATCCAAGTTATAACACTGCGGCCTGTAAATACTGGAGCAAACCTGTGACTAGTTTACCTCTTACGAGCAGCAATGGAATGCTGGGGACAAAAACAACCCAGGTCCGCACGGAGTTCTATAATGATAATGCTCTACTTGCTGACATTTGAAACTTATATTCATATGGTCCTGGGAGAAAGGCGAGTGGATGATGATTGCAATTTGCAGCTATTCACGAAGGGTAGGAAAGCGAATGTTATCATTCTTAATTGTTCTGTTTATGAAGAAGTGATTAGCGTTGTCTAAAAGAAGCTTACCTTTGGTGTCACACCAAGTGACGGCTTTGGTGCTAAAGTCAGAAAGAAGCGTTAAAACAAATCTATATACACATGTACATGTGTGTCTATGTTCTCAAAATCCAAAAGTTATTGGTAATAACATCTATCTTCAATATAATTCTTTCTTATAATTGATTAAAATACCGATAATTAAGTAGTTGTAATCAGATGTTTTAACTGATCAATGTACAATTTTACTCATAGAAGCTATAGTTTACGTAATCCTTATTCATATTCTTTATTTCCTAAGAAATCGATCTCCTGCACGACAAACATTAAGACAGGTTTTATGAACAGTGACAGGGAAAAATAGTGTTAAAGTAAATCTTACTTGAAGCGTGGGGTGTCGGATTAACATTTGCACACCATTCGTTCCCTTCTAGTCTGTATGTACAAAAGACAGCAAGATAAATATTGATATGTAGAGACACGTTACATCAAAAACACGATTATGGCAAACATCGCTTGAAATCACGTTTGAAGACACGTTTCTGATTACAGTGGAAGAGAAACGATGGAGGAAACATAGAAGGTGGTTGAAAAAGGGGTATAGTTACAAGTGTTCATCTTAGTCAGCAAGGGCATTCCTGGGCAGAATAAGCTTGTACTATTGCTACTGAGAGTGCTGGGTTTGGTGGCTTCGTACATCATGGGCAAATTCTCAGCTTAACCTGGGTGAATTTGGGTTTCACTACGTGGACGGTGTTCTTGGTCTGATTGCAGATCTACTTAACACAAACGTAACATAGTTTAAACCCATTACAGGTTGCCTCGAATCAGTTTGTTCTAATGATTTTTAATCGAATAGGTAAACATCTATTACCTGTGTCACTAAGGGATTTCCACCTACATTAATCGCACACGCCGTGATATAACTAGTTTACTTACACACATATGCTGCTCAACATTTGAAGGGGGCCATGTCTGTATGCACAGAAATGATAGAAATGTCTCCACAAAATGTTGAGTAACAAATAATTTTAGATAATACTTACGATGTCAGTTTATTCCTGACTTTGAAACACACGGGCTGGAGAACGTGTTTAGTACTATCCGGTATTATAGGGACTTTGATGCTGAATTTCCCGTCTGGTGTCTGCGTTATTGTTGGTGTTGCTATTGGTGGACCTCTCGTTTGAACCACCTCCACGCCGCTGTTGAACATATATGCACTACATTTCAAAAGTAACTTTCCCGCCACTATTGCGGCTCTAACGCGGAATTATCGCGCCACTTTTGAGGCCAATTAACGCGAAACTATTGCGCCACTATAGCCTCAGTGCATTTTATTAAAATGTTGTATGTAAGAAGCATTCGTGTAATTAATAATGTTACTTGCTGCAGCTTTATTGATATTTGAATTTATGAAGGGACACAACTGAGTCATTTAGCAATATTTTCATATGTGACTAATCCATCGTTATTCACTTTTATAAGTTGGTAGGCACTACAGCTAGGGTGTTGAGGGTGTTCCAAATACAGCGTTATGGTCAACTTAAACAATATCTGTTACTAAGATATGTCTTACCCTTGTGGGTTCGTCCCCGGTTCCACGAGAATGGAAACGTCACAGCTGGTCGGACACGGTATTATTGTTCCACTGGTCAAAGTCGGTCGGAGAACATGAGGCTACATTAAGTGAAGATACATTGTGTATATATCCAGCGATAACGATGTACAGTTTTTAGTTTGGTTTGGTTTGGTTTGGTTTGTTGTTTAACGCCGCACTCAGCACTATTTCAGCCATATGACGGCGGTCTGTAAATAATCGAGTCTGGACCAGACAATCCAGTGATTGACATCATTAGCATCGTTACACGCAATTGGGATACGATGACATGCGAGGCTGACCACCCGATCCCGCCTCTTACGACAAGCCTTGTCGCCTTTTACGGCAAGCATGGGTTGCAAATTTTAGCCCGGATCTTTACGGGTCGCTATGTACAGTTGGATAATGTGCAGTAACATTACCTTCACCTAATACTGTTACCTTCCTCTGGTGACTGAGTCAACTTAACGTAATTTGACAGTAGACTCATTTTTGAAATAAAATGTAAGTAAAAAGTTATAAAATAAACACACTGGAGTTTCACTGTTAATAGTTTGTACATGAAATGTTTATTGTTCAATTTGCAGATAACCAACATAACATATGTTTATTTCCACTTTACGATGACAAAACTGATACCAACTAGTTGGTGTTAGTGATGATGATGAATGGCGTATTGAAGTGGGTTGTCAACTGGAATTGGAACACTAATAGTAGCCTATACACAAAGTATGTCACAGTGTACTCAAATAATGCCATTAACACCAACGTACTTGATTTGCATATATCAGAGGCATTGAATGTGTGTAGTTCAGCTACTTCGTAACTTTTGTTATGCCTAAAGGCAATAAAGCAAGCCATGGGAGGTTTATCTCTGAACGGAAAATCTTTATTATGATCATTGATCATCGATTATTACAACGCAAATGATATGAAGTCACAGTCATATCTAGAAAGCATCTAATTCCAAGCTCTGTATACCCATCATAATACACTCTCTTTGTCATCTTCCCGAGGCAAGGGAGATAATTGGCTATAAAAGTGCAGTTGAAACTGGATTTTATAGTCAGTTAACGCCCTTGCCTCAGGAAGATGTCTCTTAGTGGAATTCTATCACGTTTTCTGTCTGGAATGTATTGCCACAAACATATACACATCTTTTAACCTACAATTGTAAATACCATTATCATCAGAGGTGGTTACTCTAATTTGAAACCTCTGACTTACACATCAGAATTGACCAAGTCACAATAGAATTATCATGAAATGATTTGTCTGGACATGGATGATGATTTAAGCCACCTACCTTGCTTGCGTCAACACCTAGTCCAGATAAAGTGCCTGGAAAAACACATATCATTTTGATTATATAGAATAAATAAAATAAATATACATGTACATAATTTTATTTCCAAAATAATATTTGTTAAATCACGTTTTTTTTATACAGTTGCTTTTCCCCGTAAAATGGCCTATTAGACCACTGCCCATAGTTATGTTCCCTTTACACGATGAGCAACGAGTGGCCATGTGCACCGATTCCATACAGATGTATTACGGAAACAATGTGTTACATATCTACCTGATAGAGTGCCGGGCTCAGATGTAGATGCGCCCACTCCAGCCCCAGGTGTCGCTGTTACGCCACCTTCAACGGAGATTTATTCATTTATAAATAAATTGCGAGTGATTTCATGGTATTTGATTGGCGAACAAAGCAATATTATTTTGTGTTGATTTTTCAAAAAGACTAAAAACAATGAGGACTCGCTGTCTAACGCCCAGTCATCTAAGGCGCCGCGATTCGCTGTGCAGAGTTGCGTCCCCTGTACACGCCAGAAACCTTTGATTGTGTGTTCGAATCCCGGTTCGCCCCGATTATGTTTTTAGGTTTGTCAGCACCATACCCGTGCTCGTGGGTTTCACCGAAGTGGTAAACGTCTGAGACCTGCATCACTTCGGGCTTTCCTCCCACATTAAGCTGACACGCCGTGATATAACTGGAATACTGTTAAAAGCGGCGTTAAACCCAACTCACTCACTCACTCACTCACTCATCCAGAGACGTATGATCTGTTGTACATGGAGTCTGAACTGATTACCTGGACTCTGAACCTTGACTATGTAGCATCGTTTTGATGACCCGTCTTGGCTGGAAGTAAAACAAGTTTCAATGAATTGATAACACCCGACATCCATCCATGTTCTGTATCTATACTCAAATGAAACCTCTCGTGAAAATGTGCACCATCTGTACTTGAACATTAGGTTACCTATTCAAAGGTGTCCTGCAAAGAAGTTAAATTATCCAACTTTTATAAACTATCAGGGTAATCCTGTGACGAAGATGTATACAGTTCTCTACGTTGGATTATGTCCCTTAGCCGTGCCAGGATTCTGTGGGTTCGTATCCTAGATTTGAAACTGTTGATGATTCTTGGTAAACGTTTAAGATCTGTATTACTATCCTCACACATTAGGTTGACGCGCTTTCATTTGATGTAATGATGTTAAAACCGGCGTGCATCCCAACTCACTCACCTTCCCATATATTCTAAATAGCACAATCATAAACGTGAAATACAACGCTCGGACGCGCATACATGTACTGTTTGATATTGTTATCTCAGTAACCTTACGGGGTCACGGGTGGTCAAGTCGTAAAACGCCGCAATTCGCTGTGCAGAGTTGCGTCCCTTGGGCACGCCAGAAACCTATGATTGTGGGTTCGAATCCCGGTTCGCCCCGATTATGTTTCTAGGTTTGTGAGCACCATACCCGTGCTCGTGGGTTTCACTAAAGTGGTAAACGTCTGAGACCTGCATCACTTCGGGCTTTCCTAACACATTAAACTGACACGCCGTGATATAATTTGAATACTGTTAAAAGCGGCGTTAAACCCAACTCACTCACTCACTCACTCACTCAGTAACTTACGTTTCCACACACACGTTGTTATCGCCGATGTTTTTGTCAGTTGGTGATATTTTAATTTTTGTTTCCGTTGCAGGAGTTAAGCCAGGTTCAACGATATAGGGTATTGTGGTGGCAATAGGTGTTTTCAGGCTTGAACAGAAAAAAGATACATACATTGCAAAACATTGTGGCATATAAATATGTTTGCCACAAACGTAAGACATAAATATGAAAAATAGTTTTGTTAAAATGACTGAACTATTTCAAATCAGGCAAATGATTATACTAGCTGAACGGTACACATGTATATGTAGTTCTACTTGTATATGTTTCAATGAACATTACTCAGAACGTGGATGCTCATGATGTCAATCAGTGGATTGCCTGGTCAATTATTAACAGACCACCGTCATATAGCTGGAATATTGCTGAGTGCAGCGTTAAACAAACAAACAAACAAATAAACAAACAAACAAACAAACAAATTTAGAGAATAACCAACGAACTACTTGGGATTAGTCATTATCCGTCCAAAGGGAATGAATTCACACCTGATACATTGTCTAGATCTGATATATATTTTATACATTATCATTTTGTTTTAGAAAATCTTGAAAATGGCTGTTTGTCGATAAAGGTAGAGATATAAGCTCAGTCAAATTATTTTATCGAAATAATTTTATTGAAATATATTACTGAAAGCGACAAAATAAGAAATCTCTGCCAAAAGCATGAGCATGTGTCGACGAATCAATGGTGATGATACCAGGTGTTTGGGGAAAAGGTGAGTCTATATGTGAGATATATATTAAGGCTCATGATCGTTGTTCTCCGAATGCACGAAAACGCCCCGGAAACAGAAAAAAGCAGTTTCTGCTTTCATATAAATTTAAGAACCTAGGTATATTTGATTTCTAACCATTTGTTTGTTACGATTTCATTACAATGCGCTTGAAACAGACACTATACTAAACAGTTTACAAAAAGAATGTTTAATAGTTTTAGTATTTTATGTTTTACAATACAATCGATTGCTCCAAAGTAAAGAGCATGTGTACTTGGCTAAAATGCATTGACCAATGGGGATTGCGGGAAAGGATATATGTCCCCTGCAACATATGCATGTCGTAAGAAGCTCGGTGGCATGTCATCGTATCCTAATTGCGTAGATCGATGCTCATGTCAACCACTGGATTGTCTGGTCCAGACTTGATTATTTACAGAGGCTATGATATAGACGAAATATTGCTGAGTTTGGTATTAAACAACAAACAAACATAAATCATGTATTCTCCCCTCACGAAGAACTACACGTAAAAACATTGTTCCTTGACACTTCGCAAACTGACTGTGCATCACCTCGAATAATGCTTAATTCAGCTACTCGATGTCACGTCCACTCACTTGTGTCCCGGCCGAGCAGTGACAGGGAGGGTGCAAGTAGTTCCTACAGTGCACGGGATCACTGAACCATCTGGTATTGTAGGGCTGGAGAAACCATCCTGAAAACGTGGAAACTAAATATTATACCAAATAACACTTTCAACCCTTAAATACAAATACGTGGGTGAACATAGTGAAATAGTATTATTACGTCGATTAGTTGGGTTTTTAAATATAAATAAATCATCAAGCAGATTTCTAAAACGTCAGATTTGTCTGTTTTTGGATCAATTGATGTACACTAAGGAATTAAACTTTCATACGATTTATTCTACTTAGTTCAACTCACTGTTGTGGAACTTGAAGCTGGAAGAAACAATTGATGAACTATGTTATAATGTGTCAATGTTTTTGTCTGGAATCTAAAATAAATATTTGCCATAGCAATAGTCTTGGAGATAGCTCACATCTGTTTCAATAGGAAATGCATGGACCACACTGGCATATCTTTCGAATTTCCCTATGTTTCACATATATAATTTTCTTCGTTGTCAATCACTGAAATGATTAAACGTTCTAAGGCTATTTTACGAGGTCTAAATCAGATTTTCATAATTGCATGAACATGCTGTGCACTTTTCTTGAAGTCCACTTACTGACTCACCCAGAACCTGTGTTCTGATGTAATTATACATGCATAAGAAATTATGAACTTGCTATTCGAATGAAATGCTATTGGATACGCGTCAGCGTATTTGGTATCTATGTTATATAAGGTATACTTCGATACAAAAAAGTCAAAATATGATGACATACAATAAATGTTGTTACTTACATCCTGGAGGTGTATGCTTTATAACAACACACCACGGTTCGCTCTTTACCCTAGAAACGCAAAATATAGGAAAACAGTGACAGGCGGAATCTCAAAAGTAAGCATCGTTGCATAATAAGGCACTGAGGAGATCATTACTTCATTATTACAAAGTGACATTATTGTTCGGCGTTAAAGAACACACACACACACACACACACACACACACACACACACACACACACACACACACACACACACACACACACACACACACACACACACACGCACGAAAGCATTCAAATACAGGCCAAATGGAGACGAAACCCAGCTGAAAGCTTGGACTCACCCTGAGCTGGACTCTAGCTCCACGCAGTGGTGTGTTTCACCTGGTAGTGTTGATGTTGGAAGAGGAATATCTACTTTAAATGCACCCTTTCCGTCTGGAACTGGAATTGTGCCACTACTGAGTCCATCCACGACAGGTGCTTTCAAGGAGCTGTACAAAACCGTTAGAATCATAGTTCAAATGAAAATGGAACTTGCCTCACATGTTAGTTTAACTATGAACAACACTATGCAATAACAGTATGTGCAATCGACCGACAATGTCCTTGCATCTAATGTCAATGATGTTCAATGACAGGCATCTACGTTCAGAGACTCACCTCCCAGTATTCCCAGCGCTGGCAACAACAGGTATTGTGCACGGTTTGCCAATCTCACAATTAATAACAAATCCGTTCGTAACTGTTGGCTCCAGTATATGAGGCTGTGGGATAGAAAACAAAATGGTTTCATACCAATACATCTGTTTTCACAGTTTCACTGATGGACGATTATTCAATGAGATGGACACAGCTAACTATATCAACTGTTTAGATGTCTACTATATGCAAATGATAGTCAGTAGTGATAGGGCTTATATCAAGGAAATCACGTACTGATCAATTAGAAATGTGAAAAATGTTCAGGTAGATCAAGATTGTTGATGACGAATAATCTCTTTGGCATCCAAATGTCTTTCATTTTAGGACAAATGCGTCAAAGGCATTTTGTTAGACATGTAAGAATTGTCTCACTTCGGAATTTCCTCTAACATGAAGCCGTCCCATTGTGATACAACTGAAATGACAACCCTCTTTATTTAACTCTACAAAAGAATATTTTTCCTAAGCAAATACCTTTTTGTCGTCAATACCAAGCGTTTGGAGAACAGCTGCAAAAGAATTGCTTGCATTAAGAACCAAACCAAAACAGATAAGCAGACAAAGTAAGTGTGAGTAGGTGTAGTCTTTTTTAAGTAAATGAAATGAAGGATGGATTATTTTAGATGCAATATTTTATGACAAAATATGTATAGAGTATATTTTTTATTCATGTACACATATGTTTTCCATAGAGATAAAACAGATTCTCTGTAAGATCTTTATTGTGATTTTGGACAATAGTATCCATCATGGAATATATGTTTCTATGGCACCTACATGTTTGACACTTGTCATCTGTGTATCCAGTATCACAAACACATTCTGGCACAGTGTTCTGATTCAAACAGGATCCGTGGTTGCTGCACTGTTCTGTCACGCATGGATCTGACAACGAAAGGCACTTCAACTTTTCAGAGCAAAATATTATGAAATGTTGTTGATTATGAAAACAAACACTGACGTTTACTCTGGTAAATACTTGGACCTAATTTTAAAATACAAAGGACAATATGCTTGATAAAGGTTTATGCTGGTATAGTTTGTGTTAACTGTGCAACTGAAACCGTTGTTTAAGAAGTAACGAAAGTTAACGACATGTTTTAAATTCAATCAATCATTCTTCCGACAAAAATACAATATATGTCCATTTGTCAAAGATACAACGTTTTATGTCAAACGACCGTTCGCTTATTACTGCTAAGGCAATGTGAGTAAAGCAAAGTTCTTTGACAATGACGTCACTCGATATTACTTCGTCTGTGCATGACGTTAATGTCAATAATGTCCAAGTCACTTAAGGGTGAATGACGCTTGATACATATGAATGAATTTTTTCTCTGTCAAAACTACAATCATTTTAAGTGAATTGTGTTTGGCGTTTTTGGTGAAAAATATGACTGGATAGAATCCCATAACAATATTTCTCAAGGTTTCTTATGATTACGGAGGGGCGGTCGGGTTGCCTAGTGGTTAAAGCGTTCGTTCGTCACGCCGAAGACCCGGGTTCGATTCCCGACATGGGTACTATGTGTGAAGCCCATTTCTGGTGTCCCCCGCCGTGATGTTGCTGGAATATTGCTAAAAGCTGCGAAAAACCAAACTCACTCACTCGCTCACTATGATCACGGAAAAGGTTTTGTCACTAATACTTTATTCACTTTAGTAAAAGGTATGTAAGTTGCACAAATAACACACCATTCGAATCGTATTATAATGTATGTACAAAATAGGTAAAAAATATAAAATAAATCCACAGACCTGTAGATGGAGAATTTTTCACCTCATAGCATCTGTGTTCACCTGAAGGCCTACAAATAGATGGATATTTATTTTGTATGTGGTGTAGTTCAAAGGTTAATGGACAGTTGAACGACAATAAATATTTAATGGTTAACTCCTTTACTTATAACATTGACTTTAATGGACAAGAATGTGTTTTGAGAAATAAACATTCATAATCATATGATATGAGCGTTGAAATTGTATTGTGAAATAAGTACTGCAGCTTACCCTGCATCAATGCACAATTTCTTGTTTGTACTATCTGGTTTGTAAAGGACATCGGTGACACAGTCGCTACCGTCTTGAGTTGTTTTAAACGCCGTTCCCGTAGTCGATGTAGGTGTGACTTGTTTACTGAAATAATGGAGACACTTTTTTAATTTACGTGGTACTCTTACAATTCTTCTGTATCTGTGTTCAACATCATCCAGGTTACATGGCAATACAAGTCATACTGTTCGAACCTTTACATTGCATCATAAAACGTTCAACTTCAAATTATCTTTATATTGGATACATTCATTCAAGTTAATTACAACTGTGACTTTACAGAGACTGGTATATAAAATTCATTAGAAACAAACGAAAATTAAAGGTTATGTATTACCAGTCTCTGGAAGATGGATCCAATGTACTGTGAACCAGGACGTGACATTCACTTTCACATGTTATTGAGCTCCCATCCGGTAGTGTAGGGACAGTGAAAACCGACTGAAACACAATCGTTTAACTTCAGTTATACATTTGTAATTTGAAATGGCAATGTAGCAGCATTACCACACTTTAGAATTACATTGTAAGATTACATTAAAAGCTCACCTAAAATGCAACGCTTTGAATCAAATAACTATCGTCAAGAAACCACATCTACTACAGCTGTTGATAGTTGTTCATATGAGGATAACTAATGAATAAGTTCGAAATATTAAGTTAGATACACCATAATCCTCGTCTGCCTAACAAGATCGGGATATTGACAGACATTTATGACAGGAGAGTAATGCGTTTTCAAATAGCATAAGCATATCTAACAATCTTCTCATCATGTTGTGAGCTCTGATGGATAACAACTTACTCCTGTAGGAACTGGAGCTGTAACTCCGCCGTCAGTGACATCTACGTTGTAACACACTGAGTCAGCTCTGTAACAAGTAAAACATGGAAACAGACAAAAAAGGAAACCAGTGTGTGAAAGGAAGGACATGAATTACAGAATTGTATTATCGTGAATATCGGGATTTCTACTGTTAAATATCTATTAAACCTTCCTATACTGAAATGGACGACGCACTTACGTTGCAGATGTTAGCTTGAAGCAAACTCTCTTTGGTCCTTTGTCGGGAGCAGTCAGAGTAACTGGCGTCGAGTACAGACCAGGCACACCCGTTGTAGTTTCCAATTTGGGATTCGGATCCACCGTCACAGCCACATTACCAGAGGTTGGTCCTGCCTTAAGTGTTGGTACCTGAAGACTTTTCAAAACATAAATGTGCACTTATTATCGATATATGTATTACACATCTTTACGTCTTTTATGCAAAGGCTCACATTCAATTGACCTGAATACAATTGAAGAAAATTTCATCAATAAATAAATCTTGCTTAATTTTCTATCCATTTTTGTTAATGACCGTCATGTGATAACGAAAACATATCTTCAAACATATCCCGGGTTATAATTTACATATAGTTCATACATTCTTAAATATGTCAGCTACAAGTCTTTACAGTAAAACAGGAATGATATGTCTACGTATATTAACTTTCAAAAGTACCTTCCATCAGGGACTTGTGTATGCACTGGAAAGACACAAGGTGTGCCCTTCACACACTTTATTGTGCCTCCATTTTCCACATTGTTGCCTGCATATTTTGGCTGTTAAAGAAATCACAATGTAGTTATATGCCGACAGAGGTGTCGAACATTCGTTAAACAATCCTCAGACAGTGAATGAATGATTATTAGAAATCTATCTTGGTAACTTAGGATTTTCTACGTTCAATGAAAATCATTTCTTAGAAACGTATGTCAAACTTCTAAAGGAAACCTGGTTCACCACTTGGATGCGTTATTTAACATACTGTAGGAAGAAATCACACCATAAAATATAAACTTACAGTGGTTCCCGTGTTATGTGTTGGGCCTGCAAGAAAATTTATTGACATCAATATTTGTGTATATATGTAATACAGAATAAACAGGATACGGCATCCTACTATTTACTATGGCCAAAAACACCAATGCACAAGACAGAAAGTCGATAAAAAGTCCTTAGTCTTTCAAAAGCACACACTAATATCTGTGATACACATTCTGCTATGCTTTTTTCTGTATATGCACGAACCAATATGCGACAGAGCAATCATTATCAAATGAAAATTATGAGTTAACAAAACATTCTCCAACCTATATCACAGGTAGTGCCAGAGTATCCTAGGGGACAATTGCAGGTGCTTGTTGCTGTTTCGAGTTTCCCTCCATTACTGCAAGGAATAGTCGTTGCTGCTGACAACAAAAATATACAGTATTCTTCAAAGTTACGTTCCAGTGCTATGCAGTCATTCATATCCGTGTTTTATCATTTTAGGTTAAATGAGAATTGTTTAAAACATAATTCATTAATTCATTCAACTTAACGCAATTCATCAGGAACATGTAAGATATTTGCAGGAAACATGATTGGTGACGTACGGTTTTGACACTTTGGGCCCGTGAAACCAGTCTCACATACGCACTCTGCTGTCGTGGGTTCTTTGAAACATGAGCCATGGTTATTGCAGGTTTCAGTCGCACAAGGATCTAAAGGGCAAACATATATACTTTATGTAAATAATATCCAAGTCAGTTTAGGGTGCACGTGTACGACGTTTAATATATGTGTATAACTTTTGACTCTGCCAAAACTACAATCATAATATTTGAAATATGTTTGGCGTTTTGGTGACTGAAGACAAGGACACAGTAGTTCACACACTTCTACCTGAGTGCGTATTTTTCATCCCAATGAAACAAACCCACGTGTCGACAAATGTGATTGGATAGTATCCTGTACCAATATTTCACTTCCCAGAGATTTATCATGACAATGGAAAGAGGTTTGCTGCTTTTATTTTTATTTCTCACTTTGATAAACAATCTAGACGTTGCATAAATACCACACCATTCGAACTGTAGTTTACTATATGAACAAAATGTATCACAATAACAAAATAAATCCACAGACCTCTAGATGGAGACTTTTTCACATCATAGCATCTGTGTTCACCTGAAGGCCTACAAATAGATGGATGTTTATTTCGCATGTGGTATGTAAGTGTAGTTCAAAGGATCAACGTGTCAGGAAGTGTATTTCCACCTATTTGACATGAATGACTAACATTCACAACTGCATTTGTAATAGGTAGTGTCATCTTCCGTTAAAGGACAGTTGAACGACAATAGATAAATGGTTAACTCCTTCACTTATAACATTGATTTCAGTGGACAAGAATGTGTTTTGAGAAATAAACATTCATAATCATGTGATATGAGCGTTGAAATTGTATTGTGAAATAAGTACTGCAGCTTACCCTGCATCAATGCACAATTTCTTGTTTGTACTATCTGGTTTGTAAAGGACATCGGTGACACAGTCGCTACCGTCTTGAGTTGTTTTAAACGCCGTTCCCGTAGTCGATGTAGGTGTGACTTGTTTACTGAAATAATGGAGACACTTTTTTAATTTACGTGGTACTCTTACAATTCTTCTGTATCTGTGTTCAACATCATCCAGGTTACATGGCAATACAAGTCATACTGTTCGAACCTTTACATTGCATCATAAAACGTTCAACTTCAAATTATCTTTATATTGGATACATTCATTCAAGTTAATTACAACTGTGACTTTACAGAGACTGGTATATAAAATTCATTAGAAACAAACGAAAATTAAAGGTTATGTATTACCAGTCTCTGGAAGATGGATCCAATGTACTGTGAACCAGGACGTGACATTCACTTTCACATGTTATTGAGCTCCCATCCGGTAGTGTAGGGACAGTGAAAACCGACTGAAACACAATCGTTTAACTTCAGTTATACATTTGTAATTTGAAATGGCAATGTAGCAGCATTACCACACTTTAGAATTACATTGTAAGATTACATTAAAAGCTCACCTAAAATGCAACGCTTTGAATCAAATAACTATCGTCAAGAAACCACATCTACTACAGCTGTTGATAGTTGTTCATATGAGGATAACTAATGAATAAGTTCGAAATATTAAGTTAGATACACCATAATCCTCGTCTGCCTAACAAGATCGGGATATTGACAGACATTTATGACAGGAGAGTAATGCGTTTTCAAATAGCATAAGCATATCTAACAATCTTCTCATCATGTTGTGAGCTCTGATGGATAACAACTTACTCCTGTAGGAACTGGAGCTGTAACTCCGCCGTCAGTGACATCTACGTTGTAACACACTGAGTCAGCTCTGTAACAAGTAAAACATGGAAACAGACAAAAAAGGAAACCAGTGTGTGAAAGGAAGGACATGAATTACAGAATTGTATTATCGTGAATATCGGGATTTCTACTGTTAAATATCTATTAAACCTTCCTATACTGAAATGGACGACGCACTTACGTTGCAGATGTTAGCTTGAAGCAAACTCTCTTTGGTCCTTTGTCGGGAGCAGTCAGAGTAACTGGCGTCGAGTACAGACCAGGCACACCCGTTGTAGTTTCCAATTTGGGATTCGGATCCACCGTCACAGCCACATTACCAGAGGTTGGTCCTGCCTTAAGTGTTGGTACCTGAAGACTTTTCAAAACATAAATGTGCACTTATTATCGATATATGTATTACACATCTTTACGTCTTTTATGCAAAGGCTCACATTCAATTGACCTGAATACAATTGAAGAAAATTTCATCAATAAATAAATCTTGCTTAATTTTCTATCCATTTTTGTTAATGACCGTCATGTGATAACGAAAACATATCTTCAAACATATCCCGGGTTATAATTTACATATAGTTCATACATTCTTAAATATGTCAGCTACAAGTCTTTACAGTAAAACAGGAACGATATGTCTACGTATATTAACTTTCAAAAGTACCTTCCATCAGGGACTTGTGTATGCACTGGAAAGACACAAGGTGTGCCCTTCACACACTTTATTGTGCCTCCATTTTCCACATTGTTGCCTGCATATTTTGGCTGTTAAAGAAATCACAATGTAGTTATATGCCGACAGAGGTGTCGAACATTCGTTAAACAATCCTCAGACAGTGAATGAATGATTATTAGAAATCTATCTGGGTAACTTAGGATTTTCTACGTTCAATGAAAATCATTTCTTAGAAACGTATGTCAAACTTCTAAAGGAAACCTGGTTCACCACTTGGATGCGTTATTTAACATACTGTAGGAAGAAATCACACCATAAAATATAAACTTACAGTGGTTCCCGTGTTATGTGTTGGGCCTGCAAGAAAATTTATTGACATCAATATTTGTGTATATATGTAATACAGAATAAACAGGATACGGCATCCTACTATTTACTATGGCCAAAAACACCAATGCACAAGACAGAAAGTCGATAAAAAGTCCTTAGTCTTTCAAAAGCACACACTAATATCTGTGATACACATACTGCTATGCTTTTTTCTGTATATGCACGAACCAATATGCGACAGAGCAATCATTATCAAATGAAAATTATGAGTTAACAAAACATTCTCCAACCTATATCACAGGTAGTGCCAGAGTATCCTAGGGGACAATTGCAGGTGCTTGTTGCTGTTTCGAGTTTCCCTCCATTACTGCAAGGAATAGTCGTTGCTGCTGACAACAAAAATATAAAGTATTCTTCAAAGTTACGTTCCAGTGCTATGCAGTCCTTCATATCCGTGTTTTATCATTTTAGGTTAAATGAGAATTGTTTAAAACATAATTCATTAATTCATTCAACTTAACGCAATTCATCAGGAACATGTAAGATATTTGCAGGAAACATGATTGGTGACGTACGGTTTTGACACTTTGGGCCCGTGAAACCAGTCTCACATACGCACTCTGCTGTCGTGGGTTGTTTCAAACATGAGCCATGGTTATTGCAGGTTTCAGTCGCACAAGGATCTAAAGGGCAAACATATATACTTTATGTAAATAATATCCAAGTCAGTTTAGGGTGCACGTGTACGACGTTTAATATATGTGTATAACTTTTGACTCTGCCAAAACTACAATCATAATATTTGAAATATGTTTGGCGTTTTGGTGACTGAAGACAAGGACACAGTAGTTCACACACTTCTACCTGAGTGCGTATTTTTCATCCCAATGAAACAAACCCACGTGTCGACAAATGTGATTGGATAGTATCCTGTACCAATATTTCACTTCCCAGAGATTTATCATGACAATGGAAAGAGGTTTGCTGCTTTTATTTTTATTTCTCACTTTGATAAACAATCTAGACGTTGCATAAATACCACACCATTCGAACTGTAGTTTACTATATGAACAAAATGTATAACAATAACAAAATAAATCCACAAGACCTGTAGATGGAGACTTTTTCACATCATAGCATCTGTGTTCACCTGAAGGCCTACAAATAGATGGATGTTTATTTCGCATGTGGTATGTAAGTGTAGTTCAAAGGATCAACGTGTCAGGAAGTGTATTTCCACCTATTTGACATGAATGACTAACATTCACAACTGCATTTGTAATAGGTACATGTAGTGTTATCTTCGGTTAAAGGACAATTGAACGACAATAGATAAATGGTTAACTCCTTTACTTATAACATTGATTTCAGTGGACAAGAATGTGTTTTGAGAAATAAACATTCATAATCATGTGATATGAGCGTTGAAATTGTATTGTGAAATAAGTACTGCAGCTCACCCTGCATCAATGCATAATTTCTTGTTTGTACTATCTGGTTTGTAAAGGACATCGGTGACACAGTCGCTACCGTCTTGAGTTGTTTTAAACGCCGTCCCCGTAGTCGATGTAGGTGTGACTTGTTTACTGAAATAATGGAGACACTTTTTTTAATTTACGTGGTACTCTTACAATTCTTCTGTATCTGTGTTCAACATCATCCAGGTTACATGGCAAAACAAGTCATACTGTTCGAACCTTTACATTGCATCATAAAACGTTCAACTTCAAATTATCTTTATAATGGATACATTCATGCAAGTTAATTACAACTGTTACTTTACTGACACTGGTATATAAAATTCATTAGAAACAAACGAAAATTAAAGGTAATGTATTACCAGTCACCAGAAGATGGATCCAATGTACTGTGAACCAGGACGTGACATTCACTTTCACATGTTATTGAGCTCCCATCAGGTAGTGTAGGGACAGTGAAAACCGACTGAAACACAATCGTTTAACTTTAGTTATACATTTGTAACTTGCAATGGCAATGTAGCAGCATTACCACACTTTAGAATTACACTGTAAGATTACATTAAAAGCTCACCTAAAATGCAACAGTTTGAATCAAATAACTTTCGTAAAGAAACCACATCTACTACAGCTGTTGATAGTTGTTCTTATGAGGATAACTAATGAATAAGTTCGAAATATTAAGTTAGATACACCTTAATCCTCGTCTGCAAAACAAGATGACAGGAGAGTAATGCGTTTTCAAATAGCACAAACATATATAACAATCTTCTCATCATGTTGTGAGCTCTGATGGATAACAACTTACTCCTATATGAGTTGGAGCTGTAACTCCGCCGTCAGTGACATCTACGTTGTAACACACTGAGTCAGCTCTGTAACAAGTAAAACATGGAAACAGACAAAAAGGGAAACCAGTCGGTGAAACAAGGGACATGAATTACAGCATAGTATTGTCGCGAGCATCGGAATTTCTGTTGTTAAATGTCTATTAAACCTTCATATACTGAAATGGACGACCCACTCACGTTGCAGATGTTAGCTTAAAGCAAACTCTCTTTGGTCCTTTGTCTGGAGCAGTCAGAGTAACTGGCGTCGAGTACAGACCAGGCACACCCGTTGTAGTTTCCAATTTGGGATTCGGATCCACCGTCACAGCCACATTACCAGAGGTTGGCCCTGCCTTAAGTGTTGGTGCCACATGACTGTTCGAAACATAAATGTGCACTTATTATCTATATATGTATTACACATCTTTACTTCTTTTATGCAAAGGCTCACTTTCAATAGACCTGAATACAATTGAAGAAAACTTCATCAATAAATAAATCTTGCTTAATTTTCTATCCATTTTTGTAAATGACCGTCATGTGATAACGAAAACATATCTTCAAACATATCCCGGGTTATATTTTACATATAGTTCATACATTCTTAAATATGTCAGCTACAAGTCTTTACAGTAAAACAGGAATGATATGTCTACGTATATTAACTTTCAAAAGTACCTTCCATCAGGGACTTGTGTATGCACTGGAAAGACACAAGGTGTGCCCTTCACACACTTTATTGTGCCTCCATTTTCCACATTGTTGCCTGCATATTTTGGCTGTTAAAGAAATCACAATGTAGTTATATGGCCGACAGAGGTGTCGAACATTCGTTAAACAATCCTCAGACAGTGAATGAATGATTATTAGAAATCTATCTTGGTAACTTAGGATTTTCTACGTTCAATGAAAATCATTTCTTAGAAACGTATGTCAAACTTCTAAAGGAAACCTGGTTCACCACTTGGATGCGTTATTTAACATACTGTAGGAAGAAATCACACCATAAAATATAAACTTACAGTGGTTCCCGTGTTATGTGTTGGGCCTGCAAGAGAATTTATTGACATCAATATTTGTGTATATATGTAATACAGAATAAACAGGATACGGCATCCTTCTATTTACCATGTACAAAAACACCAATGCACAAGACACAAAGTCGATTAAAAATCCTTAGTCTTTTAAAAAACACACACACTAATATCTGTGAAACACATACTGCTATGCTTTATTCTGTATATGCACGAACCAATATGCGACAGAGCAATCATTATAAAATGAAAATTATGAGTTGACAAAACATTCTCCAACCTATATCACAGGTAGTGCCAGAGTATCCTAGGGGACAATTGCAGGTGCTTGTTGTTGTTTCAAGTTTCCCTCCATTAGTGCAAGGACTAGTCGTTGCTATTGACAACAAAAATAAAATGTATTCTTCAAAGTTAAGTTCCAGTGCTATGCAGTCCTTCATATCCGTGTTTTATCATTTTAGGTTATATGAGAATTGTATAAAACATAATTCATTAATTCATTCAACTTAACGCAATTCATCAGGAACATGTAAGCTATTTGCAGGAAATAGGTTGGTGACGTACGGGTTTGACACTTTGGGCCCGTGAAACCAGTCTCACATACGCACTCTGCTGTCGTGGGTTCTTTCAAACATGAGCCATGGTTATTGCAGGTTTCAGTCGCACAAGGATCTGAAGGGCAAACATATTTACGTTATGTAAATAATATCCAAGTCAGTTTAGGGTGCACGTGTACGACGTTTAATATATTGTATAAACGTTTGACTCTGACAAGCCTACAATCATGATTTTTTAAATATGTTTGGCGTTTGGTGACTGAAGACAAGGACACTGTAGTTTACACACTTCTACCTGAGTGCGTATTTTTCATCCCAATGAAACAAACCCACGTGTCGACAAATGTGATTGGACATTATCCTGTAACAATATTTCATTTCCCAGAGATTTCTTATGACAATGGAAAGAGTTTTGCCACTTTTTTATTTTTATTTTTCACTTAAATAAACAATCTAGACGTTTCGTAAATACCACACTATTCGAACTGTAGTTTACTATATGAACAAAATGCATAACAATAACAAAAAAATCCACAAGACCTGTAGATGGAGACTTTTTCACATCATAGCATCTGTGTTCACCTGAAGGCCTACAAATAGATGGATGTTTATTTCGCATGTGGTATGTAAGTGTAGTTCAAAGGATCAACGTGTCAGGAAGTGTATTTCCACCTATTTGACATGAATGACTAACATTCACAACTGCATTTGTAATAGGTAGTGTCATCTTCTGTTAAAGGACAATTGAACGACAATAGATAAATGGTTAACTCCGTTACTTATAACATTGATTTCAATGGTTAAGAATGTGTTTTGAGAAATAAACATTCATAATCATGTGATATGAGCGTTGAAATTGAATTGTGAAAAAAAGTACTGCAGCTCACCCTGCATCAATGCACAATTTCTTGTTTGTACTATCTGGTTTGTAAAGGACATCGGTGACACAGTCGCTACCGTCTTGAGTTGTTTTAAACGCCGTCCCCGTAGTCGATGTTGGTGTGACTTGTTTACTGAAATAATGGAGACACTTTTTAATTTACGTGATACTCTTACAATTTTTCTGTATCTGTGTTCAACATCATCCAGGTTACATGGCAATTCAAGTCATACTGTTCGTACCTTTTTATTGCACAAAAAAAGTTCAACTTCCAAATAAATTTATCATGGATACATCCATGCAAGTTAATTACAACTGTTACTTTACTGACACTGGTATATAAAATTCATTAGAAACAAACGAAAAGAAAGGGTTATGTATTACCAGTCTCTGGAAGATGGATCCAATGTACTGTGAACCAGGACGTGACATTCACTTTCACATGTTAATGAGCTCCCATCAGGTAGTGTAGGGACAGTGAAAACCGACTGAAACACAATCGTTTAATTTAAGTTATCCATTGTAACTTGAAACGGAAATGTAGCAGCATTAACACGTTTTAGAATTACATTGTAAGATTACATTAAAAGCTCATCTAAAATGCAACGCTTTGAATCAAATAACTATCGTCAAGAAACCACATCTACAACAGTTGTTGATAGTTGTTCATATGAGGATAACTTATGAATAAGTTCGTAATATTAAGTTAGATACACCTTAATCCTCGTCTGCATAACAAGATCGGGATATTGACAGACATTTATGACAGGAGAGTAATGCGTTTTCAAATAGCATAAGCATATCTAACAATCTTCTCATCATGTTGTGAGCTCTGATGGATAACAACTTACTCCTGTAGGAACTGGAGCTGTAACTCCGCCGTCAGTGACATCTACGTTGTAACACACTGAGTCAGCTCTGTAACAAGTAAAACATGGAAACAGACAAAAAAGGAAACCAGTGTGTGAAAGGAAGGACATGAATTACAGAATAGTATTGTCGTGAATATCGGAATTTCTACTGTTAAATATCTATTAAACCTTCATATACTGAAATGGACGACCCACTTACGTTGCAGATGTTAGCTTAAAGCAAACTCTCTTTGGTCCTTTGTCTGGAGCAGTCAGAGTAACTGGCGTCGAGTACAGACCAGGCACACCCGGTGTAGTTTCCAATTTGGGATTCGGATCCACCGTCACAGCCACATTACCAGAGGTTGGCCCTGCCTTAAGTGTTGGTGCCACATGACTGTTCAAAACATAAATGTGCACTTATTATCTATATATATATTACACATCTTTACTTCTGTTATGCAAAGGCTCACTTTCAATAGACCTGAATACAATTGAAGAAAATTTCATCAATAAATAAATCTTGCTTAATTTTCTATCCATTTTTGTTAATGACCGTCATGTGATAACGAAAACATATCTTCAAACATATCCCGGGTTATATTTTACACATAGTTCATACATTCTTAAACATGTCAGCTACAAGCCTTTACAGTAAAACAGGAATGATATGTCTACGTATATTAACTTTCAAAAGTACCTTCCATCAGGGACTTGTGTATGCACTGGAAAGACACAAGGTGTGCCCTTCACACACTTTATTGTGCCTCCATTTTCCACATTGTTGCCTGCATATTTTGGCTGTTAAAGAAATCACAATGTAGTTATATGGCCGACAGAGGTGTCGAACATTCGTTAAACAATCCTCAGACAGTGAATGAATGATTATTAGAAATCTATCTTGGTAACTTAGGATTTTCTACGTTCAATGAAAATCATTTCTTAGAAACGTATGTCAAACTTCTAAAGGAAACCTGCAGCTGGTTCACCACTTGGATGCGTTATTTAACATACTGTAGGAAGAAATCACATCATTCGATCTAAACTTACAGTGGTTCCCGTGTTATGTGTTGGGCCTGCAAGAGAATTTATTGACATCAATATTTGTGTATATATGTAATACAGAATAAACAGGATACGGCATCCTACTATTTACCATGTACAAAAACACCAATGCACAAGACAGAAAGTCGATAAAAATCCTAAGTCTTTTAAAAGCACACACTAATATCTGTGAAACACATACTGCTATGTTTTTTTCTGTATATGCACGAACCAATATGCGACAGAGCAATCATTATCAAATGAAAATTATGAGTTAACAAAACATTCTCCAACCTATATCACAGGTAGTGCCAGAGTATCCTAGGGGACAATTGCAGGTGCTTGTTGTTGTTTCAAGTTTCCCACCATTAGTGCAAGGAATAGTCGTTGCTACTGACAACAAAAATAAAATGTATTCTTCAAAATTTAGTTCAAGTGCTATGCAGTCCTTCATATCCGTGTTTTATCATTTTAGGTTAAATGAGAATTGTATAAAACTTAATTCATTAATTCATTCAACTTTACACAATTCACCAGGAACATGTAAGATATTTGCAGGAAATAGGTTGGTGACGTACGGTTTTGACACTTTGAGCCCGTGAAACCAGTCTCACATACGCACTCTGCTGTCGTGGGTTGTTTCAAACATGAGCCATGGTTATTGCAGGTTTCAGTCGCACACGGATCTAAAGGGCAAACATATATACTTTATGTAAATAATATCCAAGTCAGTTTAGGGTGAACGTGCACGACGTATAATATATGTGTATGAACTTTTGACTCTGACAAAACTACAATCATAATATTTGAAATATGTTTGGCGTTTTGGTGACTGAAGACAAGGACACAGTAGTTCACACACTTCTACCTGAGTGATTATATTTTTCATCCCAATGAAACAAACCCACGTGTCGACAAATGTGATTGTATAGTATCCTGTAACAGTATTTCATTTCCCAGAGATTTCTTATGACAATGGAAAGAGTTTTGCCACTTTTATTTTTATTTTTCACTTAAATAAACAATCTAGACGTTTCATAAATACCACACTATTCGCCCTGTAGTTTACTATATGAACAAAATGCATAACAATAACAAAAAAATCCACAAGACCTGTAGATGGAGACTTTTTCACATCATAGCATCTGTGTTCACCTGAAGGCCTACAAATAGATGGATGTTTATTTCGCATGTGGTATGTAAGTGTAGTTCAAAGGATCAACGTGTCAGGAAGTGTATTTCCACCTATTTGACATGAATGACTAACATTCACAACTGCATTTGTAATAGGTAGTGTCATCTTCCGTTAAAGGACAGTTGAACGACAATAGATAAATGGTTAACTCCTTTACTTATAACATTGACTTCAATGGTTAAGAATGTGTTTTGAGAAAAAAGCATTCGTAATCAAGTGATATGAGCGTTGAAATTGAATTGTGAAATAAGTACTGCAGCTTACCCTGCATCAATGCACAATTTCTTGTTTGTACTCTCTGGTTTGTAAAGGACATCGGTGACACAGTCGCTACCGTCTTGAGTTGTTTTAAACGCCGTTCCCGTAGTCGATGTAGGTGTGACTTGTTTACTGAAATAATGGAGACACTTTTTAATTTTCGTGGTACTCTTACAATTCGTCTGTATCTGTGTTCAACATAATCGAGGTTACATGGCAATACAAGTCATACTGTTCGTACCTTTATATTGCATAATAGAACGTTCAACTTCCAATTAAATTGATCATGGATACATTCATGCAAGTTAATAACAATTGTTACTTTACTGAGACTGGTATATAAAATTCATTAGAAACAAACGAAAAGAAAGGGTTATGTATTACCAGTCTCTGGAAGATGGATCCAATGTACTGTGAACCAGGACGTGACATTCACTTTCACATGTTATTGAGCTCCCATCAGGTAGTGTAGGGACAGTGAAAACCGACTGAAACACAATCGTTTAACTTCAGTTATACATTTGTAACTTGAAATGGCAATGTAGCAGTTTTACCACACTTTAGAATTACATTGTAAGATTACATTAAAAGCTCATCTAAAATGCAACGCTTTGAATCTAATAACGATCGTCAAGAAACCACATCTACTACAGCTGTTGATATTTGTTCATATGAGGATAACTTATGAATAAGTTCGTAATATTAAGTTAGATACACCTTAATCCTCGTCTGCCTAACAAGATCGGGATATTGACAGACATTTATGACAGGAGAGTAATGCGTTTTCAAATAGCACAAGCAAATCTAACAATCTTCTCATCATGTTGTGAGCTCTGATGGATAACAACTTACTCCTGTAGGAATTGGAGCTGTAACTCCGCCGTCAGTGACATCTACGTTGTAACACACTGAGTCAGCTCTGTAACAAGTAAAACATGGAAACAGACAAAAAGGGAAACAAGTGTGTGAAACGAGGGATATGAATTACAGCATAGTATTGTCGTGAGGATCGGAATTTCTGTTGTTAAATGTCTATTAATCCTTCATATACTGAAATGGACGACCCACTCACGTTGCAGATGTTAACTTAAAGCAAACTCTCTTTGGTCCTTTGTCTGGAGCAGTCAGAGTAACTGGCGTCGAGTACAGACCAGGCACACCCGTTGTAGTTTCCAATTTGGGATTCGGATCCACCGTCACAGCCACATTACCAGAGGTTGGTCCTGCTGTAAGTGTTGGTGCCACATGACTGTTCAAAACATAAATGTGCACTTATTATCTATATATGTATTACACATCTTTACTTCTTTTATGCTATTTTCGCTTTCAAAAAGGCTCACTTTCAATTGACCTGAATACAATTGAAGAAGATTTCATCAATAAATAAATCTTGCTTAATTTTCTCTTCGTTTTTGTTAATGACCGTTATGTGATAAAATAAACATAAAACAATATTATCCGGATTACATTTAACATATAGTTCATACATTCTTAAATATGTCAGCAACAGGTCTACACAGTAAAACATGAATGATATGTCTACGTATATAAACTTTCAAAAGTACCTTCCATCAGGGGCTCGTGTATGCACTGGAAAGACACACGGTGTGCCTTTTACACACTTTATTGTGCCTCCATTTTCCACATTGTTGCCTGCATATTTTGGCTGTTGAAAAAAAACAGAATGTAATTATATAGTCAAGAGAGATTTCGCAAATGGGTTAAACAATCCTTGGATGGTGAACGAATGCTTATTAAAAATCTCTCTTGGTTAATTAGGATTTTCTACATTCAACCAAAATGATTACTTAAAAAACGGATTCAAAACTTCTAATGGAAACCTGGTTCACCACTTGGATGCGTTATTTAAAATAATGTGGGTAGAAATCACACCATTCGATATAAACTTACAGTGGTTCCCGTGTTATGTGTTGGGCCTGCAAGAGAATTGACTGACATAAATATTTGTGTATATATGTAATACAGATTAAACAGGCTACGACATCCTACTATTTACCATGTACAAAAACCCCAATGCACGAGACACAAAGTCGATTTAAAAACCTCAGACTTTTAAACAATATATAACTAAATACAAATACTGCTATACTTTTCTTGTGCACGAACCAATATGCGACAGAGCACTCATTATAAAATGAAAATTATGAGTGGACAAAACATTCTCGAACCTATATCACAGGTTATGCCAGAGTATCCGAGGGGACAATTGCAGGTGCTTGTTGTTGTTTCAAGTTTCCCTCCATAACTGCAAGGACTAGTCGTTGCTATTGACAACAAAAATAAAAAGTATTCTTCAAAGTTAAGTTCCAGTGCTATGCAGTCCTTCATATCCGTGTTTTATCATTTTAGGTTAAATGAGATTTGTTTTCAACTTAAACGTTTATTTAACAATTCATCAGGAACATGTAAGATATTTGCTGGAAATATGATTGGTGACGTACGGTTTTGACACTTTGGGCCCGTAAAACCAGTCTCACATACACACTCTGCTGTCGTGGGTTGTTTCAAACATGAGCCATGGTTATTGCAGGTTTCACTCGCACACGGATCTGAAGGGCAAACATATATACTTAATATCAATCATGCTGAAACTTAATAAATAAATTGAAAACATGTCAGACTAGTTCACATGAACACGGACTTTATTGTTAATTTTAATGAGGTCGTATCCCATGAGTTTCGTTTATGGTTGTCTGTAAAAGTGTTCATTTTACTTGCTTTGGCATTTTATATAAATTGTCATGTATGAGAGGCGCTCATTACTCCTTTTTGAATTGTCACTAAAGTTTTTGTTTAATAACGAAAATGTTTCCTTCACCTGTCAGTGGAGCCTTAGTTACCTCGAAGCATCTATGCTCCCCAGGTGTCCTGGAAAAAAGGTGAATAATATTTTTTTAAGATTAAAAATCAACACATATTTTCATCTGATGTTATGAAACGGGTTCCTCAGAAAAGTAATTAATACGTTATTACAGCAGATATATAGATGTATGTGTCGTGGGTATTTAATGGACGTGCTTTCTTGCTTTAAATTTGGTCTGACATGTTGCATATTTAGACACATTTATAATCATTCCTATATTAAAACCAATATTTTCAATCTAGATGTACACATATTACTTATGAAATTATACACACATTCTAAATATAATAGAGTTAGATGAATCATACTCTGAAACACATAATGGTGTAATGTTTCATCTTGTAATTGAAGCAAATCTATTCAACATTGATATGGAAAGAGATATGAATCTGATGTTTAAAACACTGTGGTTGCAACGTAGCCCATTCAAGGAAATGTTTATGATATCAGTAAATGAGAGTTTGTTCATTGCATTCATGAAGAATAACATCTACATTAACGTTCACTTTTCAAACTGAGTGGTAACAATTATTAGTTGAGATGTATAAACAATGTGAACATTACCCGGCATCGACACATATCTGTTTGCTTCCAGACGGACCGGGAGTATACGCCAAATCAGTCACACAATCGGAACCATCTTTTTTTGTCTGGAAAACCACTGTACTGCTGGTAGTTGTAGTGACATGATCGCTGAAATATAAACAATACGCAATTACATGCATGTAAACTTGTAAACAAAATAATAAGTAAAATTATTGAACTCACAACTATATTAAGATGATAGTTAAAAAAAATATGGATATGTCACCATGATTGAATGCCTGTACTGTATTTTTATGAATCGCAATGATGTCAGGTTATTTCAAGCACAATCCTTTGCATGACAGTAAAATTAAGGAAGGATACATCGTCGATATATTTAAAAATGTAAAACGCAGCACCAGCTACAGCCATTACAACCTACCACATTGTAGTTGTCATTGGTTTTGTATGAATAAGTATATGACATTCAGTCCTGTCGCATACAAGTTTACTTCCATCTGGAGGTGTAGATTTCGTGAACGTCACCTTAGATATAAAAAAACCCAATAAGAATTAATTGCAACCAGAGCAACAAACATCATACTTTCTGTAACATATGCTCAGGACAGTTCAGATGGCAGGCGGGGAAATACATGTTACTTCTATATTTCTGTTATGGTGGTTGATACAGCAGCAAGAACTTTAGGGATGCAGGTGTGGCACTGACACGTCCAGGTTCATATTCGGGTTCAGTCAAGTATTTGAATCCACACAGTGAGGAACACAACTCTGGCATTATCTTTCGTACTCTTTTTTTTATCACGTCCAACTTTTAGCAGTCACTTGGTATGGGTTTGAACGACACTTGAATTTACATCCAACACTATCACATCACTTCGATTAGTTCATACTTACCCCAGTGGGTGGAGCCGTGGAGGGTTTGTTTTTAACTTCAACATTGTAACATACACTACCGTCCCTGGAAGGTAAAAACGGTATAGGAGTATTTAGAAAAAATGAAACATTTTCATGAAACATGATTCTACATTCCAAATTCAACAAATAGTGATGACACCATATATATATATATATATATATATATATATATATATATATATATTCGCGCGAAGAAAAATATATCCATTGACAAGACAGAACCTATTATTAAGAATTATGTGGGGTTTTTTCATTTCTATGATGGTGAAAAACTGCAATTGATAATTAAGGAGACATAAGGTGATTGAGGAGAACTGAAAAGATGTAGATGGCGTAAAATATGTACCAAATAACTTACACTGACGAGGTTAGTTTAAGGCACACTTTCTTTGTCCCTTGTGTCGGGGCTTTAATGGTAGCCAATGCTTCATAAAGACCAGGCACATCGGTGTTGGAGAGCAGGTGAGAGGGGTCAACTTGCACGTTAACATTGCCAGAGGTAGGACCAACGTCTACAGTGGGAGCTACATTTGGGCTGAGGATGTAATAACAGTAATCAGTGGTATTACTGATGACCTACACCATCTGCAAAGGACGCAAAGTACTTCATAACATTTCCTAATGTTTGAAAGGTATTCTCCAATTCTGTTGAAAACATTCAAGTCTTGTTTTGCAGATGCAAACCTAGATCAACTACATGCACAGCTATAAAACATTATTTGATAATTTTCGTGATGAGAGTCATATTTATTTGCAACTTTAAATGCTAGACCTAAATTTGTAAGACGTTGACAATTAATGGTAGATTCTTACTTGCTAGAAGGAGCCTGTGTGTGTACAGGAAAGGTGCAGTCTTTTCCTGTTTCACACTCTATCGTTCCACCATTCTTAATGTTGTTTTCGGCAAATGTTGGCTACAAGAGTGAATATTGGCAACATAGGAAAATAATATGATAAAATGTTATTAATGAATATGGATTAAACAATTATTTTTATCACAATTATTACGTATGTTAACTGAATGTGTTAAATCATAAACACTGATGAGTACATAAAATAGAACAATATGATAACATAGAAACTACTTTCTCTAGGGTTTACCTCTGTGTTTGTGTTGCCTGTGGATTCTAGAAGGCAAAGAATGTTGAAGTTAGATACAAATAATGTACAAATATTGTTTGATTGATTAATTAATGGGAGTGCAATGTCGATTATCTTTATGAAACACAAATTGATGTTCTTGCTTTGCAAAGTTCGGACTATAGTCCGTCAAAATGTCACAGATCGTGTACACTCAAAGTACTTCAATTTGTTCAGATGACAAATTACTTGTGCATATACTCTGATAGCCAAAAAGAACAACAGTTAGCTTCAGTGGCTAAACCTGGTTGTTTCTTTGAAAATGTCGTCATTGTTTGGTGATATCATTTCACTGACCTCATCTTTTTAGTTAACACGCCAAGCGACGGTTTCTATTTTGTGTAACGATGGCAATTTATCGACAATCAGCAGATGCAATGAATCGACTCTTACTTGATCCGCACGTGACGCCCGAATATCCCAACGGACAATGACAGATGCCCCCTGAATCTGCTTGACCTCCGTTGCTGCACGTACTGATTTTGTCTGCAATGGATAGCATACTACAACTAGACCAATGTCTCTCTATGTGCTGAGGCATGGGTCTTCTTAAGTTAATGGAACCTTATTACTTACTGATGTCAGGTCACGTCAGGTGAAAGGTGGTTTAAATGTTGTATTAAGGATGAATGCCCTTAAATAGCGACTACAATGCATGTGTGTGTGTGTGTGTGTGTGTGTTTGTGTGCGTGTGCGTGAGCGTGAGCGTGAGCGTGAGCGTGAGCGTGTGGTTGTGTATCTGTTTGTGTGCTTGTACTAGTTAGTGAGATAACATGGATACCTCACTCAGGCATACTGACCCTGAGCCGACCACTCCTTACTCCCCCACCCTTAATTCCGAGCGCCAAGCAGGGTTAACAACAAGTACCATGCTTTTAACGTCTTTTGGTATTACGTGGCCCAAGATCGAACCACCGACGTTTCCGCTCTCCGTCCGTCACGGAGACATTGCTTATTGAATCTTAATTGATTATTTCTGTTCGTACTGTTTTCCGACACTTGTTGCAAACAGAAATCTGAACATAGAAGAGAGACTACACATAAGCAACACAGATCTCACCATGACAGTCATCAAGAGGTGTGTAGCCAACATCACAAACACAACGACTGACAGTGTCAGTTCGCGTACAGGCGCCGTTGTTACAGTTTCGACCAGGTGAAGAACATGGATCTGGCAACGAAGTAAATTACACAAAATAAGAAAATAAGACAAAAAAGGCACGGTTAAGGTTTTCTGAGAAAAAAATATGGAAGAAATAACATGCTCACCTGGTCCCGTATTCACGTGTATTTGAAAACAACGTGTTTTACTAGTAGAGCTGCAACAAATCAGAAAGGCCACTAATTATTACAATGCCAGATATTATTCAGGATCGCTCGCGTGAATGCATATACTTAGAAGGTTTTGGAAGAACGACTATTTTGTGTTCTGTAAAGGTTTATTGCAAACGTTTGACATATTAGACGCCTTGTGGTAGTATATGCGGTATCATCAATATTTGATAGTGATTCATATACACACGCCTATGATAAAATCGGAATCGTACAGTGGACTCTGATTTTAGTAGAGATTTTATGGAAATGTTTTTGTCGCTCTTACTTACATTCATGTTACACTGAATTCATGCGAGTCATCTTTACTATTACAGTAAACTACGTTTATAACGAACTTATTTCTTAGTCCCAGCCATTTCCTGTATATATGCTGTATATATGCTTATAACGAACTACGGTTATAACGAACTAAAATTAGTGGTCTCTTCGAGTTCGTAATAGCCGTGGTTTACTGTTTATAAAATTATGTATACCCAGACGAGTACTGGCCGTGATCATAAAAACACATCAGCATCACCATCATAAAATACTAGTATATTGCCTAATTTACCTTCCTGTTGGACAGAAAATACTGGAAGCCTAAGCTAGAGGTACCATTTAACAATTAGATATGCAGGGAATTTCGACAATCATTTATGAAAAAAATTTAACCGTTCATGAACCGTTAGTGTTCATGTCCAGACCCGACTATTGACTTGTCACTGTACTATAGTTAAACTTCATCAACTAGGTGACTAATTAGGATGCACTATACCTGTCTGCTGCGGTTATACACACAGGACCTGGGTGGGACGGATCAGGGGTGATGGAGATGTCGGTTACACATGTGGTTGGAGCTGACGGCACATCCTTGGTTGTCGGGAACACGTGAGTGTCTGGTTTAGTGGTTGCTGCTTTGGTCACTGTGGGACTAATAGATAACAAAAGCGCACAATCAAGATATATTCTACATGAAATGTTTTAGAAGCATTATGTTATGATTCGTATAAATGTGTGAACATTACATACATTGTACTTGTGTGTTTAAATGACGAATCCTCAGATTACTTACCAAGTACCGCCCTTAGGTTTTGTGTACACCAGAACGTGGCAGTCTTTGAGTTGATCACACTGGAGGACGCTGTTCTCAGGCATCGTGGGCGACATGAACGGATCCTGTTTATAGCAGCGAACGTTTGGTACAATCTTTAAATCACACAATTAAAGTGTCCATCCAATAAAACCGTATTAATACAATATACATGTATGGAACTTATGTCATTACTTATGTTTAATGATCTCAGATGTCAAGTCATAGACTTACCTTGTTTGGAACAGTTGGTGTGCCTTTAAGAGAGAAAAACAGATTGAAATATATTGATGTAGAAGGTAAAATTTATGGATGTAGTTAGAATACATTTACGGTTATAACGCAGTCGAAGCGCAATATATTATTTCTCTAATATCAAGGGAAACGGGTAAATACGTAATACATTTACCTGTGGTCGGTTTCACATGTACTTTTACACATATCGTATCTGATTTCCTGAAAAACAAAATAATTTTAATTTTGTCATGTCGGAGATGAGGTAGTGTGCAGATAGGGTAAGCAGGTTTTGCTGATAGATGGATATACTTTGTATCTATTATTTTGAATGACTAGACTTGCTATAAGATAGCTAGGGCTGCCAAATTGGCTGGAGTCTCGTCCCAATTTAAATATAGCAAAGATAAATGACATCCTATGGTAAACATGTATATACATATCATTCGTAATTTGATTATTGGAATGACATACTAGTAAAATATCAACAAAGATCCAAAACAAATTAGAAAATACAACTAGTTTAAGATTTGCCTACCCCCCAGCACTGGTCTTTACACAGACGTCGTGGATGCCTGGATTAATCGGGGTGATTTGCACCTCCCCTTTCTGTATGCCAGTATTTGGTAAGCCTGGGTCGGGCCCTAGTGGCTTGGATATTGTCGATGTTGAAGATAGAGTGGTAGGACCTGGACTCAGTGATGGGGTGGATCTAGTACCCGGTCACAAAAACAAACATAAATACAGTCCTGATTTTAAGATGAAAATTCAGGGAGCATGTTCAAAACAACCCTTGAGTTATAAATACAGTTATTGTTAAGGGTGATATGGTCCTTTTTGGAATATTGATCGTTCTTACATGTACGCGATAGAGCGTTAACAACTATACCTTTTGGCAGATATTCAACACATTCCATAAGTTCCTACCCTGGGGTTTCTGGCCTAACGTATACAGGTATATGACAAGTCTGCCCCAGTTCACATTCCACGGTAGCTCCATTCATTGGGTTCGGCCCGGTAAACTGTGGCTTTGATGGGTTGGATACGGCTTAAGGACAAGAGAGAAAAAATACAACATATCAGTGTACATTTGAAACGTCCGAGAACTATACTACCCATGTATTGCATCTTTGGTATCAGTATCATAACTGCTTTACTGGATTAGTGTCATTTTGATACATAGTAGAATAAATGTAATCATTACTTGATATTGCATATTTTAAACTCACCTGTTTCGCAGTGCAGCCCCGTAAATCCCGTCGGACAATGACACGTCCCTCCCTCACTAATACCATGGTTTTGACAGGGATCTAATAAAAAGATAATCACACTGATGAAAACTAGTTCAATCATATAAAATGATTGAATGTCAACTAAAAAATCATTTTTTCAAACCTATATGTTCTTACTTCGAGATTGATCTTTAGTCATATTAAAATTGTACATTCAATCAAAGATAGCGTGAAAAACCTATTCATCACATCGTTATCTGACATGCACATTCTTACCACACGTAGGTTCCTTGAAGGGACTGTCACACAGACAGCTTGCTGTGTCGTCTTTCTCCAGGATACATGCACCATGAAGTTTATTGCAGCCTTTGGCCAAACAGACATCTGCAAACGAAAATGACGTAAATGAATATTTCGAAGATATTTGGGTCGTTTTGTACTTGATGATGTGCAAATATAATCCCAAAATAAAAGTCATCATGTTTCTAAAATACTTTGTAATACCTGTATGTTCATGGTAACACATTTAAAAATAAGGTAGATCTGCTTCAAACCTGTTGGTGGTGTTGGTTTGGTGGAATAGCATCTTGGTTGTTCTCCTTGCCTATTGAAGAAAAGGAAAATGTGTATGCCATAATCTATGTTCAACCAGTGGTCACACCATGATACGGCTTAAACACAGTGAAGACTAGGTGGTTGTCCCCATAAAACCGGCCCGATTCAAAGGGTTATATTTTAATCATGGATTCATGTAGATCAATGATATTCTGTACATTGTACTTTGGGCTGAGTCGTTTTGATTAATATAATTATTTTGTTGAAGGAACCCTTCGTGATTCAGGTGTTTGATTGAACGTACCTAGCTTTGAGACAGACTGTCGATGGATGCTGAGCAATCGCAGCAGGTACTGATACATCTGTGATACAGTCGGTCCAAGTTGTATCCTTTCTTGTAGGGAAGATATTTGCAGTGCTTGTATCTGTAGTGACTTGCGGGCTACATATGAACATACCAATATCAGCAAGCACGCGCTAAGGAGCATGTTATAGATACTCTCACTGTTCCGCTTTTTACATTTCATACACATGTACCTTGTGAAGACGAGGGACATAATAAAGGTTATTTTTTTCAAGTATACTTCAGGGTACAAAGGTCAATTTGGGATAGCTAAACAACGGAAGTGTCATTTCGTCTCGTTTGAAAGTCGTTTTGGTGAAGTGTTATCAAATGGGCAGCCAGGTGTATTTGAGTAAGTATGCTGGAACACGAGTGAGTGAGTTGGGTTTAACGTCGCTTTTAACAGTATTCCAGTTATATCGCGGCGTGTCAGCTTAATATGGGCAGGTCTCAGACGTTTACCACTTCTTTGAAACCCACGAGCACGGGTATGGTGCTGATAAACATAGAAACATAATCGGGGCGAACCGGCATTCGAACCCACAATCATATTAGGTTTCTAGCGTGTCTAAGGGACGCAACACTGCACAGCGCCTTAGACACAAGTTATAACATCGTTTATCGTCCTATTTTAATCATTAAGTGTTAGAGAAATGGTTGTAGCTTGCTGCATACATTTGCCTGCTATTGTCTATTAACACTGGAATTAAAGAAGCTACATACCATTGACCGCCATTATCAGGAAGTGTATGTACTATCATGTGACAGTCCTTCCCTTGTGAACATCGGATGGTGCTCCCGGAAACAGGGGTCGGGTCATGGAAACTATCCTGTAGCGTAGAGTACAACGTGATACAATGTACATTAACATACAAAGGAGAAAGAAGATATTTTAATAACGAAATCAAGATACTTTTGTGATATGATGTTGAAATAACAAGTTTCGGTTCGTGGAATAAATAGTGACCCAGCATGCATTCTACTTCCAATTGAACGCGTGGAAAACTCACCTTTGACACTGGTGTTGCTGTTCCTGAAACGCACAATTTATAGTAAATCATATGTAGGATCTTCTTGTATTCCTTTACACCAGTACGTTTAATAGCAAAACATTTACACAGTTTCAGATCTCAGATTTATGTTTTTTTCCGTTCAATGGACAAATCATTTCAAGGGGATCTCGACAAATTTGTAAAGTTATCTTTGAATAAGACTGTAACAGATGGACAATATTTTTTATTCTGATTGATATTCCAAATACAACCGATCACATTATTTAACTCTGTTATGACAAATACACTTAAAATGATACTCTCCTTCAATTACAGATACACCGTTTGCTTTACAAAATTCTCAAAACCTAAGTTTTTGTTATCAATATTTACATACCTACACGTTTCAAATGTATGTCTTGTATTGTATTTTGTTGGACGAGTATACTGGCTATTGTATTGTGTGACTTCAAACAGTCATAGTCGAATAATATAAATTGGATGCTTGTCTGTAATTCAATATACTATAAGTGACAATCGTTACTAATTTCGTTATAGGGGAATTGCATATAATTAGCATTGTTCGACACCATATAAATAAATCTTTAGTTACTATATACTCTTACCAGTGTCAGTAACGTGAAGATGGTAGCAGACTGTATCGGCATTTGCGCTGTAAAAATATTTAATATTAATAATAATCATAAATGTACACATTAAAGAACCAAACAAAATCACTGCAACTGTAACTTAGAGATTAGTTGTATTCACGCATTGTTTGCAATCTTCTGGAATCACTGTAGAACAAGGAATGCTGTCGTCAGAAGAATCCGTTACATCCATGGGCCTTAAAAGTGTCTCTACTTTAACGTCAAGAAATTCCTGTCAATTCATTAACAGTGGGCATTGACTGTACCTATCGACATCCGTAGTATCGCTTCCAGTTTTGACACACACTTTTTTCTCGCCAGCCTCGGTTGGTGTAATGTGCATCTGACTCGTGTATAGGTCTTGACGTCCTGGCGTGTCCGTATCCTTTGTTGGGGGATCTGGCGACTTGACGGTTAGTCCATTACTGTGAGGGCCAACCTTAATCACTGGAGCTGGTCTGGGGGAGAATAAGGACAATGATGCAAGCTTATACATTGGTATACTTGTCTTGATTAAGAAACTGATTGTGAAATATACTGGTACGAATGTTATACTGTATACATGTCATACACTGTTATAGACTGCAAACAATATGTGCGTCCCATTTCTGGTGTCCCCCGCCGCGATATTGCTGGAATATTGCTAAAAGCGGCGTAAAATAAAACTCACTCACTTATAGACTGCATTCTAAATTAGACGTGTATGGGAAACAGCCTCAATAATCTTAATCTCAATAAATCATTGTATCATTGCATTCATCATCCTTTCAGCGGGCATGGTGGCCAAGTGGCCTGAGGCGCCGCAATTCGCTGGCAGGGTTATATCCCTTAGGCGTGCCAGAAATCTATGAAAGTGGGTTCGAATGGCAGTGTCGTCCTGATTATGGTTTCTGGGTTTGTAGGCACCAAAACCATGGTTTCACCAACGTGGCAAAAGTCTAAGACCTGAGACATTTTGGGATATCCTCACATGTGAAGCTGACATGCCATGATATAACTGAAATACTCTTTAAAGTGGCGTTTAACCCAACTCACTCACTCATCCGTTTAGCCGCACACACACACCATCGCTGAAGCCTACCACCCCTACCAACTGATCCCACAATCAGACATAGAAATACCACTGTAGTAGTTGTGTTACCCTTGTCCTTTTGAAATGGAGAGTGGAATTGTGCAGGTCTGATCCTTTACACAGTTGAAAACTCCGCCATTTTCCATGCTTGGACCGGTAAATGTAGGCTTCATGAAATAGAATCAACCATGTTACAAAAGTATTCAGTTGTTTCATAAGGAGAGAGGATATAGGCTACATTAAACTTACTTACTACCTGGATGTAGCATAGTGATTGTTTCACGGGCAATTACATAATTGATTCTTTGTGCAACCAAGTAACGTAGCACACGCGGTATTGTTTTGAAAAAAATATTTATGAAAATGAAAGACATATTTACAGAAACTGAAAAAAATATATTACCTTCTGATGAAGAGGGACGTGTATGCCTGAAACAAAGTTTAAAAATATAAATAGATAAATATTCAAATATCAAATGATTCTGAACTGAAGCAGACATTACAGACAGTTAGTACCGTTAAAATGTAATCGTTGCAGATAAACGCTTACAAGTACATGCATGTATGAGTAGCTGAAAAATATTATTGTACAATTTCATTGAAAAATTATATGTTTGCCACACCCTCTTATACGATCGCTTAAGTGTTCTTGTCATGCAAAACAACTGCTAGTATGTACTCCCTGGAGAGCCTATCAAACTTGGACTTTTGAGCTGTGTACCTGTCTCACAGTTGACGCCAGTGTAACCTATGGGACAGTGGCATATCGGATTCTTCCCGTCGTTCTCACACGCTCCATGGTTCTGACATGGGGATGACTTGCAGGGCGTCTCTGGAGTGCACATTCATGTATACTTTTCACAAAATGTTATTCTTATTACCTTTTGGGTCTGACAAGTGCTTTTAAATTAGTTTATCATCTCGATGTACTCATTTCTTAGTTGCTGTACAACAGTTTTATATTTTCGTAACATATATGTAAATATAATGTAATATATTTACATGTTCATTCCATATCATATGTCACATATATACATAGCTTAGATACCTTTGTTACAACTGTCTCCCGAATGGACATCGTCACACAAACACGTGCTGGTGTGATCTGTCTCGACAATACACACCCCATGACCACACGACGTTACTGCACAAGGTTCTAGAACAGAAAATATAGAACATGTACCGGCAGTGTCTTTTCAATAAAGATACTCGTTCTGTTCACGTGCTGTCTTTACAAGAAACGTTCTTGCTGTTTGTACCTGTAACACTAATGAGATGGATATTTATCTTTGATGGAAGAGTGTTAGTTTGATCCCTTGCCTGACATTGAATTAACTTACTGGATGCGTCAGGATCAACTTTGAAACAGCGAGGTGGGTCACTCGACCTGAAAAAATAATCGATTTGTCTTAAATATTTTACAAGTGTTTAATCTTTCATATACTCTTACGTGACACGCCAGCAATGAAAAAAGCACTGAGAACATGCTATGGAATAAGTTCTCCACAGTCTGATAGTAAGCTGAACTGATTAAAACTGTAATACACTTGCATTTAAAATTCTTCGCAGAATGTCCAATAGCGGTTCAGAAACATCAGGCATGACTCCTTCCAGTACAAAGACTACTAATACCTTGAGTTTAGGCATATCTGATGATCCCCTGTCTTGGAGTCGGGTGTTATGAGGACATCAGTAGCGCACGTCCCTGTGAGCATCTTGGTAGGAAAGATATGTGTCTCTACACCTACCGTACTCCCATAACTAACCTGAGGACTGTAAACACCGAGTTGAACTGTTCATATTGTAATAAAGAGCACCAATAGTTACACCTTTCATTCAAGCTTTTTGGTAACTTTAAAACAACAAAATGACTTAATTTGGATTTCCAACGTTTAAATTCTTTTGACAAAGAACTATTAACATTCTTAGTAAATCGTCTATGTTATGCAATTAAGGTAATACATAAAACGAAAGGGTCTGAGTCTTAGATTCGTTTTTAACCATCAAAGAAGATACAATTTAAACATATTGGGCTCTCTCGAACCAACCTGTGTCTGGGCCAATATTTAGGCGATAAGTACAAACAAGAACATTTAATACAGCATGTAAACGTACCATTTGGTCCCTGTAGTTGGTTTGGAGTATACTAATAGGTGACAGTCGTCGCCAGCAGCACAGGGAACTGTGCTCCCATCTGTGGGAGTTGGAGCTTCGAAGTGGTCCTGGAACATACCACGGCTTAATTTGTATCCAACATGGAACACTATTAAATCATTTTACAATCAACGATGGATTATGATAAGTATTCTACAAATACCGCATCTAGGTTCGATGGTTGACAGTATAAGCAACGATCCATGCATTCGTGGTGCGATGACTCAAAATCAGCCAGTTCACACATCTCAACCATCCGATTTCTATTTTCCACGGCTCATAGAATGTATGTCTAGTGTAGGGCACTTGTCACCTGTACTGTCCCTGAATCATCAAGAGTGCTCTCATAGCTTTGACTTACTGTGCTTGAAGTTGTTCCCGATCCTGATCCTGAACCACCACCACCACCTCCTAAATTAAATTTAAATAGACGCTGGTTACTTGACGTAGATGAACACTAGTACAATGCTTATACATTTTAACAATAACCAGAGTCAGAGTTCCAATATTATACCACATCATTTATGTTTACTTGGAGGCATTAAAATAAAACTCAGAAACATGACACTGCATTTAAAGGTGATAGAAATAGGCGTCAATGACATCATTGATGCCCTGAATGCCGACAATAATTACCCAACGCAAAGTCTGATAATGGAAGATTGGCGAATAGCATAAAGTTTGATGACATGACGTTGTGAATCTCCGGTATTCAACGTGCTTATGGCCTGGTTGACAATTTTCGAGTAAGTCTATATCTGCATATATATAAGACTGGTAGTAAACTTCGTATTGCGATTTTGCATTTTGAACATAATGAGCCCCAACCCTAAATATTACTGGATCGTTTCACTGACCCTTTATGATTAAAGCAATTAAAGTTGTGGCTTTATTACGAGGGTTATATGCGGGTTTATGCGTGTTAGGTATAAAACTTTGAGTATTAGTTTTTACAATAGATTTCAATAGATAATAATAGATAATAGTACCTGGTGGCGTCACGTTGACATGGTAACAAGTAACCTGATCGCTGGAAAAAAACACATCAGGGAATGTGTGAAAAAGTAATATAGTAGAACATGCATGGATATAACGAACTAGGGACCAGAGAAATCAGTTCGTTATATACGTGTTCGCTCGGAGACGTCCGCCATCATGGATAAAACAAAACACAATACACGTAATTGCAGCAATGACTTGTTCGTTGTATCCGTTTGTTCGCTATATCCGTGCTCGTTATATCCGTGTTCTACTGTATATTGTTGTTGATGTTAATACAATTATCCGACAATGATATTGTAATACACGATTCGCGTATTTCCATAGGTGTCTCAGGCGTACAACATTATTTATGTATATGTAAAAGAAATAATTACTGTCCATTCATTTTCACCGAGTTATTCATAGCAAGGGTCAAGTAGCAAATTGCATGCGCCTGATTTGGCATGCAATCTTATTGGGATTTGTGAAACTTTTTAATTATCACAAAGGCCTATAGTGTATAAGTACTAGATTTGTATTAGAACAGATACAGCACGCAAGCAGAACAGATCATCTATCTTCCTATCGATACACAGTCATTATATTATTTCTACCACTTATGATTAATCACGATATTTCTCCTCCGAATAATGTTACATTTAGATAGTGAAACATAACATGTATCACACACACGCACATGCACGTAAACGTACAAAATGAGTAATACCTTTGCTAAAGTACGTGTATGCTATTCGTAGTTAATAACGCAAAGTGATTCAGTTGAAATGGGGACTACGCTCGAGCGAATTTGCATTCCCACCAAGTTCATTTTTGTCGTTAATTCCCCTTTTATGCCTGCGAACTCAATTGTTTTATGATAACCAAGCAGTTTAACAATTAATGATTGCCTTAATTACACAGAAACTATGCCTCAGTTTAACATACGGCACTAATTACACACGTCGAGACAAAGACCAGAAATAGGCACCTGATTAATTCCCCCTCCCAACACATCCCAGTTACATACAATTACATGGCGTTCTACCTGTGTGGCTGTCCTGACGTTGTCTGGATGCAGACCTTTTCGTTACCGGTCGCTGTAGGTGTTACCTGAACACTGCCTTGGTTTAGGTCGGGCGCTGTCGTGCTGGCTACAGGTTGTGTTATGCTCACATGTAAGCCATTGCTAACGGGACCAGGAGTCAACGTTTCATGAGCACTATAAAAAAAAAATGTTTCAAATCAACTCGTGTTTCTGAAATCAAACGTTATACAATGATAATGTGACAAACACATTTACAATTTCATATATTTGCATTTGTTTCAAGTAGAAGAGTGAAAGAGAAGGGTAAATCATCACTGCGGAGGGCATAAAATACGTTTTTAAAATACGAATAATTGGAACAGAACCCGAGTGAGTGAGTACGGTTTAACGCCGCTTTTAGCAATATTCCAGCAATATCACGGCGGGGGACACCAGGCATGGACTCCACACATTGTACCCATGTCGAGAATCGAACCCGGGTCTTCAGCGTGACCATCGAACGCTTTAACCACCTGGCTACCCGGCCGCCCCGAATAGAACCTGGGTCTTCAGCGTGACCAGCGACCGCTTTAGTCCACACATTACACACTCTACATCACATATGTACATTGAAGTTGAAGACTTGTACAAATACTGTGTTCCTACCCTGGGCCCCTGGTAAATACCGGGATGGAACATGTTTCTCCCACGTGACACTGTAGTGTAGCACCATTGTGTAATGTTGGTTCTGACACCTGGGCCTGTAGCGAGACAATTATGAACACTTAGAACCTCGTCATCAAATCATACATCATCCATAAAAAGTTAAAATGTATAACATTTTTAATGTAACCAATAGTGTTAAAAGCATGTGGATACACCTAGATTAAAGAATGGCAAGGAAGGTTATGTTTCATACTTTATATTATTTCCTTCTAAAGTAGACACGATTTATAGACAACTACTTCTTTAATACTGTAAAGGCGACGTTTCGGTATAGATCCTTATACCGTTGTCAAGCTAGACATCATCATGGGCCTTTACAGTATTAAAGAAGTTGTTATCCATAAATTGTGTCTACTTTGTCACCCGTCAACTTCTAAGTAATGCCTATCAAACAATTTATCTCTTTCCAGTTACTGTCATTGTTCACCATCTTCTTGATTCTGTTGTTTTTTGAGTGTTCAGCATTTTAATTGTTAATACATTCATTTCCGCACGATTGGATGTGTATAGGGCACACATTACAATATTTAATATGATGATATGATCTTTGTTTTGATAATATACTTACTTCTGGTGTGTGAGAAAGAGCTGAAAACAAAACAAAACAAAGACAACATTAATAACATCATATTCACTTATACGTTCTATATTATGTTCTTTGATCAAAACTAGTTCAAATGCTATTATTATTTGTTTTGTTTTGTTTTGTTTGGTCTTACCTGTTTCACAGTCGTGCCCTGTGTAGCCTACCGGACAATGACATTGGTGGGACGTCACATGCCTAACGCAATCGCCACCGTTCTGGCATGGGTGTGAGTGGCATGGGTTAGCTGTGGGCAATACAATCAGTGATAACAAAACATGGGGTCTATCTTACTACACAATCTGCGTTACAGTACCCGTTAATCTGATCCAGTAATTAATGGTGCAGTAACCAAAATCTATGTTGATCAACACTACATTTTATGTTTAATCAGTTCGCCAAGAAGTTAAAAAAAATGAAACATTTGTTATGTGACTCACTTTGTTGACATGTATCTCCTGTGAAATCTTCTGTACACACGCACTGGTAACCGAGAGACTGCTGTGGTTGATTTGCACAACCACCTCCGTTGATACAAGGGTTGGGGTCGCACTCGTCTGTAAAGATTTCTGCCTCAGGAAAAACTTCAAACGAGCGGGTGCAATTTACGTATATTCAATCATTGTCATGAAGACTGTTTGTATTTTCCTTGATGTTTTGTTTTATCATATGAATACAAGGATAATTTCCATGTGTACCATCCTTCTCGGAACAAACTTCAGCTTGTCATTACTACATGGATTTTGTAAGTAACTGCTGCACAGAAATGGAATGATGTTCCAATTGCCCTTAAAACAGCCTTATCACTTGATAGTTTCAAGTCAAGACTTCAAACATTTTTGTTTGAGAACTCAGTCTTTTAACTCTAGTGTACAATGAGTTTTGTTATTGGTTTGGGCATGTTTAGTTGTGTGGAACTTTGAGCATGATAAGAATTCTTCTTCTCATTGTCATTATCATTATATAATATTAATATGGAAACTACTATGGTCACTCGACTGAAAAAAATCCTTAAAATGCCATACCTTTTGGTATAACGTTCACTTTGTAACATCGTTTCTCGCCCTGATAGCTGTAATCAAATATTTGAAATTAACATCGAAAGAATCCACGACAGAATGTGCGAGCGTCAGCCGGTTTTCACAATCGTTTTTGGTGCAAAGGTGCAGTTAGACCTATAATGTGATAATGTGGTTAAAATTACCTCCATATATAATCTTTATTTTAATTGTTTTTGAAGATTTAAGATAAAAACTTAAGGCTTATTTTTTTTTTCATTTGATGTCAATGTTCTTAAACTGTGCTGTCATTGTATAAACAATTGTCCTACCTGACTTGGAGACACACGTGACTATCTCCCCCTGGTGGCGGGGTGAATAAAACATCTGTTTGACACTCTCCGTCCTTAGAATTAACAGGGAATGGCATTGCTGATGTGCTGCCAGATGTCAGAACGCTGAGGATAAAATTAGTTTAAGTATCAAATCTGGAGTTTATACAATTCGCTTGGATAAGTATGCTTATCAGAATATCCTCAAGAAGAGACAGCTGAGCAACTTCTGGTACTGATATATATAATAATACCTTTTAACATGTAAAACTAGATACCAACGCATTTTCTTTTTAACATTGGAATAGAAATCGGATATGTTATCTTGGAGCCAGCTGGTCAGTTTTTTTACAGCATGAGCAAAATATCCCAGCCATCATACCTGCCCGGTCCATTTTAGGTCTCTTACTATAAGCATAAGGCCTAATAAGTACAGTGAACCTACATTGTACGCTGCCCGGAAACCTCAATTATGAGTGGCGATTCATTACGATCCGTATCTGGAGAAAGCACAAGTTTAAAAGATGTCTTGAAATATTCGCAAAATATGACAGTCTCACCAATTTCCAGAAGGATGATCTTTAGAGTGGAAGATGGCGTGGCATGGCTTGTCGACGTAACAGTTGACAATGCTGCCATCTGGTAGTGAAGGCTCCAAAAATGCAGCAGTCTGTATATATAAAAAGGTGTCCGTGCTGACATATTGATCTCATGCTCGAACAATGATATCCTCCTCATTCAGTAAATCATGTGTTTGCCCTTCTCCTTTATACGCTACTCGTTTTAAAGTGTTGTCCTATCTAAAGTTAACATAATGTTTTTATTACACAATCGTTTGAGCTTTTTTAGCTTCATCCCATCAACACTTTTGTAGCAGAACTGACATATTCTACTGGCAAGTGGCACGAGTTTTCTTCCATCTTATAAAATCATCTAGATGAAGTATTCTTAACAAATTATATAGACGAAATTTTTCTTGAGAGGCATCCTTTTATGATCTGGAACATGTTTAATCAATTATAAGAAATATACAAATATATCGTTTTTTATCATTTATAGAGATTCGATATCATGCAAATTAAATTTCCTTACTGACATCAAAACATGGACTTCAAACATTTCATTTAGACAATTTATACTTACGAGTGCCGGCTGTTTTGACTGTGCTATGAAAGAAACAAATGGGGAGGCTTTTATTTCGAAAAGTAATGCACGGAATTTAAAACGTTTCATTTCAACATTAATACGTTAACTTTCAGAGCGTTATTTATCATAACTATAACAATATGCATTGTTTATTACAGTACCTGGTCCTGGTGGCTTGGTGTGTATCAAGTAACAGATTCTGTCAGCATTCACACTGAAGTTGAAATATATGTTACCGTTAGTAAAGATGGACTATCTATCAAGGTAATGCTTGTCTTAGAAACTTGTATAAACTTTTAATGTTGCAGTTGAAATCATGACGTGTTAAGACAGCCTCCGTGGTGGTAGAGCGTCAGGCCGGAGAACGGAAGGTCCGGGGTACGATCCCAGGCCGCGTCATACCAAAAGACGTTAAAAGATGGTAGTTGTTGTTACCCTGCTTGGCGCTCGACACTAAAGGGCTTAAACAGGGACTGGTCGGCTCGGAGTCAGTATACTGTGTCTGAGTGGGTAAACCTCGGCATGGTATCTCAGTGGGCTAGTACTATAAAATCGGCATTAGTCCGGACTAGTACACGCACGTACGTCCCTATAAATGTGCAATAATCTTGGACGCGACGTTAAACCAAAATTCATCTCACCTATCAAGTTAAGTCCCTTACCCAGTCCCGGCATCGACGCATACGCTTTGTTCTCCAGGGTTAGTTGGTGTCACCGTCAAATGAGATGTAAGCGTCTTTTGCAGCCCTGTGCTTTTGTCGGGTGTTGGAGTGTCCACAATGGCGGTTAATCCCGGTGATTTCGGACCGAGGGTAACTGGTGGAATGGTTCTGCAAACCATAGACATAATACATTCACAGATGACAAACAGGATACAATGGCATGTCATTGCTAGATACATTGACATCATTACAGTTTAATGCCTTCCTTTTGCGGGTGGCGCGGATGGCCAAGTGATCTAAGGCATCCTATATCACTCTGCATCCCTCAGATGTGTAAAGATCTACGTCGGTTCGAATCTCAGAATCATCGGGAATGTGATTCTTGGTCTATCAGAAACATGTCCCTGCTCGTGGATTTTGACGTTTTCAAAGCGTTTGGCCTGCATCACTTTAGAACCTCCATCCACAAAATATTTAACTGAGACGCGTTTAAATCAAAATCACCCACCAAACTGGCCTTTTTCGGTGGTATTTACATACCACTCTTCAAAAAAAAGAAACGTACAGATAGTATGTAGTTCATTGAACCTGACCACACAAAACATCAGGCATATAAATTAGATATATGTTAGTGGCCTGATATTCGACAAACGGTGCGTCAAAACGCAGCCATTGCCGATTTGCAAGGTCTTAAACGGCATTGTTTTCACACTTGTTCAAATATGTCATGGAGGAAAACAGTAAACAAAATGCACATGCAAGTTATTGCATTCGAAACTCGTGGTAGTGGCTATAAAAGGCAAAACCAATAAATTGTCATTCAATTCTCAACAAGTTCGAAAGTGCCGAGACTCAGCACTGCCGATCGGAACATCGCAGTCTTCGGTTGCGCGCCCACGTCACCACGTCCACCACAGCACCATTTGTCGCCTTTGTGGCCGATACACACAGTTCAATTCCACTGCAGACCGTCCGAGAACCGACCAAGAGTTTCCACCCATGCGCAGGATCGCTACATGCGACTGTTCCACCTACACCTACTGTCAGGAACTATCTTCGCGAGGCTGGAATCAGACTCAGAAGGCCAGTTATTGTCCCTGTTTTGCCCCACATTGTATACGTTAATTCGACAATTTCGGTGGCGGTAGTGTCATAGTGTTGGGGGCCGTATCCTACACCACGAGATCTGACTTGGTTTGAGGTTTAGGAAATTTGACAGAAAATCGCTACATGTATCAAATTCCTCAACCTCAAATCCTTCCAATCATTGACCGCCAGAGGGAGCTGTTTCAACAGGACAACACTCCACCGCACACAGCACGTGTTACGGTAGACAACCTTCATAACGCCAACATCATCGATTTGCCCTGGCCTTATATGGCATGACAATGAACATTTTTCAATGCCTTTGTACAGCGATAACATGTGACTATCGAGCTCCAAAACTTCATATTTGTATCTTTGATATTAGATTAAATATATCGACTTTATTAGATAAAATAAATTTACTAAAAAAGAGTGTATATCGTTTAATGAAGAAAGGTTTCTAAATAACTGGGCAAATTGACATAAGTCATTTCAAAAGGGGCACCGATTCTTGAAGTTACAAGTATATAACATATAACATTAGGTATGAACAGACATTTCAGGTATCAAGCGTGTTAATTGATTAATTATTATGTATGTGTGCTACACACCCAGAGGGAGGTTGACGAATGAAGAGTGGAACAGGACATGGTACACCGACCGTACACTGGATACCCCCACCATTCACCAGGGTTGGAGTTATAAAGGGTGACTGAAACATGTTACAAACGTCAGTGATTTAAGACAAAGATATTGACAATGTACACCTAAGTATAAATGTACACACAAATCCTATATATAGAAAGGTCTGTTAAGAAAGGTTGGTTATAACGAACTACTTTTAATCAAAAACCATTAGTTGTATTGATCTCCTACATTCCAAACTTGGTGTTTCAAGAAGTATTGGTTTGGCAACATTATACACTGTACATGACGCAGCTGGAATAATTAAAGTATGTTGTCATGTACAACAGTAACCGAATTCAACATGTGAAGAAGTTGTGTTTACAAATATAAGTCACGGGTGGCCGAGTCGTGTAAGGGGCCGCTATTCGCTGTGCAGAGTTGTGGCCCTTGGGCACGCCAGAAACCTATGTTTGTGTGTTCGAATCCCGGTTCGCCCCGATTATGTTTCTTGGTTTGTCAGCACCATACCCGTGCTCGTGGGTTTCACCAAAGTGGTAAAACCTGCATCACTTGGGGCTTACCTCCCACATAAAGCTGACACGCCATGATATAACTGGAATACTGTTAAAAGCGGCGTTAAACACAACTCACTCACTATTTTGCAGTCACAACAGTGTTATTAATATACGAGTGAATGTTATCTCACTTCTTTATGTCCATTGTCTTTATTTATTGGTGTTCCGCCAGTTGATTTCTTATCTGTAAAAATAACCATATACATAACATTCATCACGTTCGTCAGTGAAAATAACTTTACTACATATGATCATCCAAAGATGCACCCTCAACCAATTTCTAGACGAATAATAAACATTTTATAATTTTGCAGCTTTCGGCATGACTTATTGGTGTTCGACTAAAATAGTTCCAAGAAATTGCTTCGCATATTATTTGTATTTATCTGGCACTTGTTTTGTTTCTTTGGTAGCATGATTTGATTTGATGGAAATTTCTCGTTATTTCAATTATTTGTTAACTCAAATGACGTACGAGTTTCTTCTCGTTACTTCTTACAGTTATGATTATTATGTCGATTTTTCCTCTCGTTATTTCCAGTTTTCATTAAAAAATAGAAATTTAGAGGTTTTTTATCGTTACTTCAATTATTTTCTTGAAATTTCGAGGGTTTTTTCTTCGTGGCTTTGACTATATTCTCGTAATTTCGAGTATTGTCCACTGCAAGTTTGTATAAAATATCAACATGTTTAATTTTTCAACATGTTTAATACTTCAAATTACGAGAAAATAATTAAAATAACGAAAAGATAATCGAAATTATATATAATAATCAAAGAAGTAACGAGAAGAAAAATGGAAATTTCGAGTTATTAAAATAAATTTGAGATAACTGGGAAATAACTGATCGAGAAAAAACTTGATATTTAGAAAGAAATGATTGAAAAAAAAAACGAGAAAATAATCGAACTAACAAAAAGAAACCTCGAAATTTTGAGAAAATAGTTGAAATAACGAGAAATTTTATATCAAAAAATAATTATGCAAACAAACTGGAACCATTAGCTTTTGAAGGAAACTAATCATTATCAGTCCTGGTTACACGAAGGGTAAGAAAATCTAAAAGGGTACAAAGACATTGTCTGTTTGTTGTTTAACGCCGCACTCAGAAATATTTCAGCTATATGACGGCGGTTTGTAATTGATCGAGTCTTGATCAGAAACTCAAGTGTTTTACATCATGAGCATCGATCTACGCAAGTGAGATACGATGATATGCATCAACCAAGTCACCGAGCCTGACCACTCGATCCCGTCAGTCGCCTCGACAAGCAAAGTGATTCATGAACACATGCTCATGATATGTGGAAAGGGTTTTGTCGCATTTATTAAGTATGTTTCTTTAATGATATTATATGTTGTTCACTGTTATCACCTGTTTGGCAGAGAGGGTCACCATACCCCAGTGGACATCGACACACTGCTTTACTCTGTTCCACCACGCATACTCCCTGGTTGGCGCACACATGACTGGAGCAAAGCGGGTCAGCTGGGGAAATATGATCACACAGTAAACAACAGCTCTCGTATCCACATTGACAGAAAGTGGTAAATAATAGTAAATAATGCTTTGATACCATCCCTGGTATCATCACTATTTGATGGTGATTCATAAGCACATGTTCATGATATAGTCGGAATCATACAATCGACTCTGCTTTTTTCTTTCCTTAGTGGCTTCTTTTTTCTTTAAATGATACAGTACCAGATGTGTTGCAAAATCCTAAACACACTGACAGAAGATACAAAAGTGGCTTACAAGCAGTGCATTGGATAGGAACATGTAGAACACAATGTAAAGGGAATGTTTCAGCATTAACAAAACAATATAAACGTGCCATATATAGCAGGCGATAATAGAACTTAACTCACGGTTTTCACATTGTTGGCCAGAATGTCCCTTGTTGCACTCGCACTTAACGTCTCCCACCAGGTCAATGCATATACCAGCTCCAGAACATGAGTCGGGTTTGCAATCATTTATATCTGTTTTGAGTTTGAGAAACAAAACGTAAATGTTAAATGAACATAAGTTATTCTTGTGTACAAATTTTCAATTAAGTTGATTCAAATTGCTTCTGATTTACTTACAGTGACGGGGATACGGGTGAACTAAACGTATATACTCGTATAATGCACCACAATTCACTGTTCTCAGGCGAACCAGAAAGCTGTGTTCTTGGGCTGCACTCTAAGACCTAAGACTTATATATACGCTATTTCATACGCCACAGTGCTAAACAGCTATGGTCTGGCTACAATCACCTACACTATATGTTACAATAAAACATATTCATGTATCATTGCTGAAGGAGAGTCTTAATAGTTTCAATCTAACACATGGATCCATAGAAATGTGATCACGACAGAAAAGCTGCCAAAAACGCATACTGTATGTATTGTTGCAAAATATTTGCTAGATATAAACTTTCGAATTCTTATACTTACTTAATTCACAGTTAGTTCCAGTGAATTCCGAAGTGCAAATACAGAAGTAAAAATTTAGGTAGAGGTGTCTGGTGGAACAGGTTCCGCCGTGTTGGCATGGATTGCTCAGGCACTCGTCCACATCTGATGAATATTGCGCCAGTTAGAACACAAGGGATGGTGTAGATCTTATGTAATGATGCCGATACATTCATTATGGCTATTGTGTACATGCGTACTATGACCTTAATATAAGTGCACACAATTACATATTATACACAATTGATAAGCGCTGAATAAAAACATCATCTGGGAAAATTTGCATTAACGATATATAATGCATTTATTGTTCCAGGGCTAAAAATGTAACAGACAATATTCATATCAAATCATATTAATGAGATGAAAGTGGTGGTATATCTGAAATTCCATTGCTGAGCGGAAATTAACTGTTACAAGTTATTACTAATTACCTGTATCACAAAATTCGCCAGTGTATCCGACTGTGCAAATACATTTGAAGGTTGAGCCGTTGCTATTACAGTGGCCGGAATTACACGGAGCTGACTTGCAGGGATCTACAAAAAGGTAAGTTAATCAAACCTCCCATAGATGACATATGAATCCTACCATTCCATGCAGCTCATATGGCATAGCGTTTTATACCCTACTTTTTTGTTAAACAATAATATTGAATATGATGACAAGTTACAAATAACAAAAGTTGTTTTTATTATGTTACATAAAGACAATTTCCTTCAAACGTAGAATATACAGATGTTTTATTGTTTTCATAACACTGTCGTCACAGTGCTTCTGAAGCACAATAACCAAAATATATGATGAAGAATTCAGATTTTGCCTCCCTAAATACAGTGAGATCAGTATCAACAGAGTATCAACATAAACTGACCATCGATTTCCATTGTGACCCCAAGGCATTTCTTCTCAGACGTTGTCCTGTAAAGTATTTATATTTTGTTTATATATAATGGAATGTAAATATTGCATTCTCTTGCGTACAATATGACCGTGGAGAACCAATGACTTGAGATAAAAAAAACAACCCATTATGTTGTCTATAACTATTAAATAGATTTATGTTTCTCCTTACCCTTGGTCGTCATACGCCTGGAAACATATTCTTTGTCCGCCAACCTGATCCGATGTTATTGTTACATCAGTCTCAAACATTTCTTGTGTATTCTTGGTCACTATGACAGGCGACGAAATTTGCGTATTCTTGAAAGTCGACGTTAAATATTTCACAGATTGTATTCGTCCTCTGCAAAGTGCAACGTTTTATACCATGAACTATTAAGATTAGTCTCTATATATGACATTCGGTATTTGATTAGATATGTTGTGACTAACACACGCATGACACAGAAATACTTCTGACTGCTGTGGAAATCCGGATTATGTGTATATGAGTATATGGTACTATTAGTGTAATGCTTAAGTCAATTTTTCATAGCATTATCACTTGTAGGAGGACTGCCTCCGTGGTCTAGTGTTAGACCTTCCGCCCGATCCCCGGCCGCGTAATACCAAAATACGTTAAAAGAATGTACTTGTTGTTAAACTTCCTGGCGCTTTTGAGGCCAAAACAAGGATTAGTCGGTTTGGAGTGAGTATACTGAGTGGAGTGTTCATGTTAAACTTCGGCATGGTATCTCAGTGGCCTAGCACTATAAAATTGCATTGGTCCGGACGAGTACCAGCAGCCACATACACACGCACAGGTGCATGCACATCGCATTATGAATGCAATAATCTTAAACGTTAGTATTCAAATTACAATGGCGTCGTGATTCATTTACAACGACGTTAGGTAAAATAAGGGCATCCGCAAATTACAGTTTGTAAAATCTAAAAGTAAACAAATACCATGCAGCCAAGCGTGTAACAAGAAATCCCACTTTCTGTAACGTACGTGTAAACGTGCATACGATTGGATTTCATATACCGTCGTAATGGTTTATGCTAATTTAGACGGATTTAGACACATGCCCGATTTCCATGATATCATTAAAAAGATGATAGTCCGGCAGTCCTGTCGTTTGTTATCAAAATATCCATTTCTTGAAAGTAAAACTCTTATAATTGTTTCGAAAATAGTTTCTGTTCATATTTAACTTGAAACATATCATGTATTGAGTAACTTCATAGTTTGGTTTTAGAATATATAAACGTTACAAACTACATGTATATACAAATGTGAAAACGTAAAAGACAAAAGATATTGATTGTTTACATTAGCCGCATAATTTTTATCTTTATCAAACCAATCATCTTACCCAGCGCGTCTAGTTGTAGAGTAAATAGGGAAGGAACATGTTGAGTTCTGTAGGCACCGTATTACAATATCAGTGGGGAATAATGTAAAGAAGGGTCGAGTCTGTAAAGAAAGAAAAAGACATTTCTACAATCACTGGAAACACCATTTCCACAATATGACGTTTCATAGGTTCACAGCAATTCTACCACAAATAATTGTATATCCAGCATGCTAAAAATATTTATTTTCATTGGGCACATCCAGAAACAAACATCTCATTGCACAGAAAACATCTGATATGCACACGTCTTTGCACGGCAGCAAATTGGACCTACGTCCTTTTTAAGTCATTGTAAACAATGGTGTTGTGAAGCAAACATAGTTATTGATATAACAATAGTGCATCAATACATCTCTTGATTTGATTATTATATTTTTCAGATTATACTTGTGTTGAGTTCCTCAGGAGTGCCGGAAACACCAAAGTGGTTAAAATTCTATGTTCTGCATCACTTCGGACTTTCTGACAGGCCTTGATACAACTGAAACACTGTTCAAATCGGCGTTGAACCATACTCACTCACTCGTGTGTTTCAAGGGGCTGAACTGACTCCCTGCTCCTGAATATCATATTGTCGGGCCCTTAGGCCCTTAGAACTAGTGATTAGGTGAGTGATTAGGTGAGTGAGTGAGTGAGTGATTAGGTGAGTGAGTGAGTGAGTGAGTGAGTGGGTGTGGTTTTACGCCGCTTTTAGCAATATTCCAGCAATATCACGGCGGGGGACACCAGAAAATTGGCTTCACAAATTGTACCCATGTCGGGAATCGAACCCGGGTCTTCGGCGTGACGAGCGAACGCTTTAACTTCTAGGCTATCCGACTGGCCCAAATGACCAAGAACTACTTAATGGGACTCTATATACTTACCAACGTACCAACATCAGGAGTTGTGAAGTTAAGGTCTATACGAAACAGAGAAACATTATATGTGAATACAAACGTGAACACAGATGTACGATAGTTAATATTAGACTGTGACATTATATATACAATTGAGATTGTCTTGTCCACGAAGATGTATGTGTTTTTTATATTAATTCACAACTCATCGTCTTACTGTTTCAGGTTGAGAAAGATATCTACTATCTACAGACGATATTTCACCTCTGACAATGATGTTGTAATTCCTATCAAGTCCGTCATTTCTGAAAAATATAAAGAATGCGATTGCTGAATAACAACATGCATATAAAAATATATAGAATGCATCCACATTTAACACTTATTCAGTTATATGTTAAAGGGTTTTTTTTAATTATCGGGGAATGTCAAATCTACTTCAAATCGAAGAAGCATCAGAAGAAGTTGGCCGACTTGATATCATTCGACCGACTAATCCATATTCTTTGTTATTCTTTTACCTCAGAGTCTGTGAACTTTTTATAGTTTTTTCACTTTATTGTTTAATGCCACAATCCGCAACATGCCATGTGAATGACGGTGGCCTGTAAATTGTCAAGTCTTGACTAGACAAACCCAGGATTGGAATCGTGAGAAACCACCCAAGCCTTCCAAGAGCAGTACAGGTTGGTGGGGACTTATTAAAACTCGGAATTCCCATGGGGTCTACAAAGCAACCAACTAAATAACTAACATCCAAGGTAACATCTTTGTAATGCTTTCTCCTCAGGATGTCTGAGGATACCACATGACGATTCTCATTGTGAGCAAAATCGACAATTTGAAAAATGAACAATCGGATGAGGATCCATCACGATACGACGAACCGGTCACAGTTCCATCACTTACTATGGGATCCATTCTAATTTATTCCACCTTATGAACGTATTGACCAACAAACTACATTTATCAAGTTCAGTCTCTGAGTGGGTCACAAATAGATCATTTTGGGTACGCAAATAATAATAGCCCATTTGTATATATCCATGCAAAGTGCATGCTCAAAGCGCATAACAATAAGTCATTTGGAGACAGAAAGTCGAAAGAGACAGGATTTGAGTTGTGAGCAGAAAGAAGGCAGTTCACTGCAGTCACGGAGGTGTTCCAGGCATTGGCCGTTGAGTATGCAAAGGAACTGATTGAAAAGGCGTAGGCCACACCTGATTGACACTCACATTGACATGATCACACATGGCACACTGGGAAATGCATCCGACAACATTTTTGTCACTAATGCGTCAAATTTGGGAATGTCCTCCACAAGTCTACCAAAGAGCTTTTTGAAAGCTTTACTCAGTCCTTGAATGTTGTAACCCCCTTACCAAACAACGTTTGAGCAAGAGTCGTTTTACGCTCTTTAAAATCCTCAGGTTCAAGTACCCATTTCGACGTCGACCGTCGAGAAAGATCAAACAGGAAGACCACAACGTATAGACAATCAAGTTGACATGGCCTCAACACGCTGGTGTGTATGCGAATGCACAGGCAGAGAGGGCATCACATTAGGTCTCAGATTCCGTAATTTTGACTGATTATGATTTAAAATATTTGTGTCGAAAGTTCTTCCCCTATTACAGAGCGACATTCTTAAAGAAAGTAAGATGATGTGACAAACTCTCAAACTCTTTTTTTCTTTAGAATGCATGACGTATTTGTTCATGTTCTCTTCAAAATAGAAACAATATCCCTATACTTATCCCTATCCGCGAATAGCTAAAAGATTGTTGATGCGCCGTTAAGCAATAATTACTCACTCACTCAGTTTTACATATCCCACAGTCTGTCAAAAGCAGCATGCGTTACTTTGAAGACAGCGACCAATTTCGCTTTGAGATGATCCTGCACGCACTCATTCAAGTGCTCTAGTGGTGTAAGGTGCCATTTTAAAGAGAAAACTACAGTGGAATAAACGACTAACAGAACGACTAAAGCAGAATAATTCTTACCCCAAGTTATCCGTTACCAATGCACTGAGGACATAGGTGCCAACATCTGCTATCTCTGGACGCCATTTCACTAGTGCGTATTTGATGCCATCACTTGTGCGACTGGTGTCATATTGCAGTGGGGGTATAGGAAATGATCTCCTTGGAATTGATCTCAAATTGAAGAAAGAAATCTCACTGGAATAAGAAACAAACCTCTTTATTAAAAAAAATAATCGTTCGGTTACGTCGTCAGATGACACGCGAGATCCGAAAACTAGATTCATAAGTATAGTGCCCCCAAAAGACATAGTGAGAATCACACTACGTACCTTTTGGTCGTATCGTATGGCTTAGCATAGAGAGGTATTTCCAGTGTTGAACCAGCATAAACGTAGAACACATGTTGACTACTCTTTGTGGGGTCCACAAATTCAGGCGCCTCTATGATTTTCAGAGTCTGTATCATGAACTGAAATCATGAATCAGAACAAAATGTTATGATGTCGTCCACAGTCAACTGCCTGTTAAACTAAACTAACGATGAGTTGCTTACTTGAACCGTTATATCACTGAGAGACTGTGATCCAACTGGTATAACTGGACGAGGCTCCCCCTTGAGGCTTATAGGTTTGGAGTTATAGTCACTGATCTTAACAGGTAGCGCGCCCCATCCTCCATCAAAGAACTGATCGGATTCATAGGCACTGATTTCTATGCTGCAGTCCTGAAAAATAATAATAATCAAAATACTACCATCTGAGACTACCAAAATTCAAAATGGAAAGCCGCTGCATTAGTACACTTCTGAACAAAAGGAAGTATACATCGACTTGAACTGTTTATAAAAAGAAAACGACAAAATGTACACATTTCATTTGAAAAGTATTTTGAAGTTAAATCATATAAATCAATGTCACTGGATGACTTAAAAGAAGCAATCGAACATATCGAGGATCATAACTGACACTTGTAACGGAAAATAGGAATTCTTCTTCCGTAGCATGTCGATAAAGGCATCAATGAGTAGCTTTCTAATGTGCCTACAGTTTACAACAACATGATGTGGTCTGATGGTCAGGAGGTAGTTTACAACTTTGCACCTCATTTATCCATTATTAATTAAAGTGTCCATTGACTAAAGTGACAGTCTGGGAAATGGATAAAAATAGAGAACAACGCCATTGTCATTTTTATATTGATATATTTATCTATCATTTTAGCTTTGGGTACAAAATGTTCAGTGAATGATCAATATGAACTTCTGAATGGCAATATGTAATATTTAAATTCACAATATTTCTTATCATTGTGTCATAGTCGCAGTCAAATTCACAGACATGTAAGTTATCAGAGTCAAAGTTTGCAAACTATTTTGCTAATTTAATTAAACGTCCAGCAGCGTCTAGGCGCTGTAATGAAGTCTTTCCCCCAGTCTGTTAAGCATGGCGGGCACGGGTGGCCCAGTCGCCGCGATTCGCTGTGTGTCCCTTGGGTGTGCCAGAAACCTTTCATTGTGGGTTCGAATCCCGGTTCGCCCAGATTATGTTTCTAGGTTTGTCAGCACCATACCCGTGCACGTGGGCTCACTTTGGGCTCTCCTCCCACATTAAGCTGACATGCCGCGATATAACTGGAATATTGTTAAAAGCGGCGTTAAACCCAACTCACTCACTCACTGTTAAGCATGTCATCAGAAGTAAAAATTGATAATGAGAGAATGAGATTAAGATTTGTTTGTGCTCTGAAGTTTCACACTCAGATGATAAGCCTCAACAGTGCAATCAAGATATAAAGGCTCCAGCATCTTCAGCATCTTCTCATGATTATGCTGATGTTAAGTAAAAATATATATAATTATATTGATGTATCTACTCAGAATAAGGATCTTATTCGTTATGATACCCCTCTGTATAATGAGAGTGTATATTTTTAATATAAGTTTTGCACTTCATGTAATTGTTTATACTTTCATCGATCAGGGATGTTATTTCTAAGAGGGGACAAAATTATATCCCATTTTGTTTACACTACTTTCTGTTGGCACAATGGGATGCAGGCACAATGAGGCCTGACCCATCAACATCGTGTGTGACCTCCTCGGGCGTCCAGACTCGCCTGTACACGTCGCCTCACCGATGACCTAAGCCATAAATGGATATGGGGTCCCACTCCTCCAATAACGCTGCTTTACGTTGTTCAGTACGTTTGAAAGTGTTTTAACTGTCGCCGAGAAGTCGGTGAGAAGTTAGGTGAGTGTGACGGTCAGTGCCACACGGGTACGTTATTAATATCCTGGATTGTTCGAGCAGCGTTGGGCCTGACATTGTCTTGTTTGACAAGTTTCAATTGTGACTGGGAAAGGGAAGGACAACCATCTGCAGAATGACATCCCTGTGACGCTGGGCGTTCAAATGTTCACGGATGGTGACAAGAACGGAATCCTAGAACCAATCGTTCACCTCTCTGTCCATACACCCGCATCCGACCATCAGGATGGAACGAGTTGAATTGCCCTTATTGCTAACCAGTATCAATTACATCGATGTCAACAATTTGTTTTTAAATATAAGTTTGCATTCATGACTGAATTGTACATATGTCTATTGACTTGTTCTAGTCGCTATATGGCTGAAATAATGCCGATTCGACGTTAAATTTTAACTCACTCGCCGCCAACGTCGCACAGCTCGAGACTACTTAGATCTAAATTGCCGATGTTGACGTGTCACGACCATTCTGCTGTGGGGTTCCTGCAGTGTGTAATGATGGTAACAATGTGAGTCTACTGATGTGGCGTCCAAGTCCCGCCAAGGCCGTTGATGGCACCACCGGGAAGCGCCAACGGCAGATGTACCGTGAGCAGATTATAGAAAACCAGATGATACAGTTATTCAGACGTTCATATGAACTAAAAAGTACGCATCTTCTCCTTGTCTCCAGGGATATGTATGTTGAAGAAAATGTACTCTGAAATGTATCTCATGACCACATTCAGTTACCTTATTTATGGTCGTGTTACGTGGGTCCGGGAGACCACCAGCTGTTATGAACGTTGCCAACTGACATTGAACAAAATCCCCATCCTTGTCCATGGTGGAGAGTTTGATGACGGTTACGCTATTCAAGAGAATCCTGAAAGACATAGATTTATAATCAGACATTTATGCGTTTCAAAACTTTCAAAAATCAATGTATGATAAATGATGTATCTTTCAATAAACTTCAATACACAGAACATAACACCGTTTTTAGTGTTAATGGTGATATGAGTTCACGATGTGTGAGTACTTTAAGGTATGCACATATCGATGACTTGAAAGCATTACATACTCTTAAAAAAAGTAGGAAACACTCGAAAATAACTTCACATATCCAAATGGTAAGAGACCAAATAGTAATAGTTGTATAATAGTTGTATAATAATAATGAACGAATTGGTAACACATTCTTGAACCAAAGATCTTGAACGAAGACGGGGGTAGAATTGGAAACTTCAAAATTGACGTTTTTGGATCAGTAGTGCTTAACACCGCCACGATTTGTCAAACATTGCCCCATAATGGTGAGGGAGGTTGTCCCACCCTCCTGCCTGGTTAAGTTCAGTCAACGCTGTCGGTGGCCTATCACATTGACGCACACGACTCCTTATCATGGCCCAACCATGTTCAATGGGGAAAGGTCTGGGCTCATTGCTGGACATATCTATGAATGTTGTGCTGTTGGAGGTGAGCGTTGGCAATTCGTGCACGGTGAGCACGGATGTTGTCGTCCTGTGAGACAAAACGTCGACCCACACGCCTTGCAAACGGGGACAACAAAGGGTGTCAGTATATTGTCCTAATGATAGTCTCCAGTGACCATTCCTTGCACAAAATGGAGCGAGGTTCGCTCAGTCATAGTGATGCCACCCCAAAACCATAACCGCCAAATCTGCCATGAGGTCTCAGGTTGACATTGGCTTGATGTTCTTTTCGACGTCGCCAGACAGGACCACACCAGGCAAAGTGAATCGGGACTAATCTCCTCTGAAAACATGACACGTGACCAGCAAGAAGACGATTTTTTATAGTCTGACCCGTAACTAGTAATTCGGTAGCCTGATGAAAGTTTGCAGCAATAGGATTCGCCGTTTAAGCTCGATTTCGCAGTGCCTAGGTCAATCTATCCTGTACTCTTGTTGTTGACCTGGGACACCCTGAAGGGGGTCCATCGGCAATTGTCAATGGGTTTGTTGGTACCTGTTGCATTGTCTGCTCATCACAGACTGAAATCTTGAACGTATTGGCCACTGCACGCAGACCTCTGCTAATTTCCAGCATGCCAATAACACATAGAGGCTCCGTTTGTTGTAGATGAAATCAAGCATGATGATCAGATGATTGACAGAATTAATGGTCCACAGAAATTAATCGACCTTCCGTGAAAGTGTCAAAATCAGGAATGGCACCCTGCGCACATGTGTGACGCTACTGCGTGAGCACGTGCAAACTAAAGGGTGTGTTGTGGTGTTTAGTTTCACAGACAAAACGTTTTGACGTCAACACTTATCTTTTTTCTCATACTTTGAAATAACATTAATTTTCTATTACGTGATCCCCTACTTTTTGAAAGAATATAGTACGAACATTGTAATATGGACCATGAGAGATTATGGGAGCAATTGTCATGCCATCGAAGAGCGCATTTCATATTTGGAAAAAGACCGATCAGTTATACTTAATGAAGCACACTATATTAGTATTGGTTTACTTGTATGTTGGCTTAAACATCGCAACAGGGCTGTTGTTCGGTTGCCCTGTATCACTGCGTTCATGTGCATTAATCTTGACTTGAAGGTGAAATCTTGTGTCGCCAGTGTAACCATAGTCAAAGTCTTTCCAGGAGTAACCGTGCAGCCTGTTGATATATTAAGTTGGATCAGAACCATGCATTTTTTCAATGACATTACAATAATTTTTATTATATACTTTAGTGTGAAAGACTGAGTTTTCTGAAGTTGAAAAAATGATATTTGCATTGCAGTGAACATTACGCTTGACTTTTCACTGCAGTGAACATAACACTTGATGTTTTCACTGCAGTGAACATAACACTTGATATTCTCACTGCAGTGAACACAACATAACCTCCCCTTAAATTGTCTCCTTTATCGTAAGTGTCCAGTCCGTACACAAACTGTTGATGTCTTTTTTACGTTAGTTCTACATTGACAAGGCAAAATAATGACAGTTGGTCATTTATGGAGTTAACATCACTTCTTGCCGCTTGTTATTCTTTCGAAGCTGTTTCGTTATAAACTGTTAATTTCTCATTTAACTCGTCAATCGAGACTGTTCGTTATGCTTCCAACAGAGGTCACGTAGTTTTCCGGAATATTTCTTGTTTAAGATGATTTTATATATAATCATATCTAAATGTATGACAAAGAATTTTCGTCCCCCCCCCCCCCCCCCTAAATATTTTTTGAAACTTTTGATAACTTGTACCGTCCCTATGCGTTAGGTAGGGAGAATTTACATTTGAAGGTTTTCCATTTGTAATGAAATAATTTTAATTTTCGGTAGAAAACTACACAAAAATATATAATAAATTGGATATTTCATGTGTCTCGTGAAATATCATGTTTCTCTCGTCACTTGACGGGGGAAAAGGGAGACATTTTCACGAGTGGCGTTTTCTCGATGAGAGAAACATGAAATTTCACTCGACACATGACATATCAGTAGTATAGAACGGGTCCGCAGGAACCTTTTTTGGTTGAGGGAGGTTGAGTGAAAATAGGGAAGGTGATTGGTTGATCCAAGTCACGTGATCGGATAGGATGACTCATGCATCAACAGCACGTCACAGGTGAGGGGGAATGAAAGGTGAGTGTTTATAAGACAGAAAAGAATTCATAAGAAAACAAAAGTAAAAGGTTATGAATAGGGCTAAATGTATAGCGTGCTGCCTTGAATAGACAGACCGTACCCGTCAGCCCAGTTTGAATTGAGCGCGCTTGACAACTGACGTGGCCTCGTCGTTTAACCCGCGCTCGCGAGAGCGTGCGATCTGGTTTGATGAATGCAGGGTGTGTCTTGAAAGTACGACCATACCCCAATAGAGACGGGTTATGTCAACACGATATACACCGTGTAATGTAGGGAAAAAAATGTACGGATCAAATTCATCTTGTACGGTCTACACGTTGTACACCATGAACGTTAGACAACCTGTATGGAAAAAAATACATAGAGATAAAATAGATAAGACTACACAATCAGCAAGCTAGCAGTGTCGTTTAATTACATTTAGCGCGCAAGAACGAGGTAGTCACGTCACCCTGCATTGACTATAACGCTGAAGGCAGCCGGATTTCGAATCACCCCGCGCTGCGTACTATTGTGAACCATTTGTATAGAGGGCGTTCACTTATTCAACCCTGTCCCGACTTGCATAGTTGATGTTTCAACGCTAGCGTTTCCATTTAACGCGATGATAAATAAACCGTGCGGTTTGAGTTTTAACCCTGTAACATGATGTGCACAGTTTTACTTCAGAACGTGCTATTTTGACAATAGATAGTTAGAACCATGTCTATGTTCAATATAAAAAAAAAAAAACAAAAAAACTGATGAGTACATGTAGCAGTGTCACGGCACGAAGCTAGGTTTGTTGGGAAAGTGATGGAAGCCATCTATAAGACATTTCATGTTTACAATACTCACCCTTAATTCGAAGAGAGAACAGAGTTTATCATGGAAAAATGTTTGACCAGGAAAATGTTTCATTGGAAAAATATGTCGAAGCAGGTTTATTCATATCTATAATGACATTACTTTCTCCTATAGACTCGCGTGTTTAGACATGTTTGAACACGTCTACCACGTCACGTGTGCATCACGTGACTAGGCCCGCAATATATGAAACAGATTTGAACCAAAAGTGAATCATTTACAGCGCAGAGGCCTTCCGTACCACACTGAATGCTTTTCACTTTGCTCGGTGTTATCGCTTATTACCTAGAAGATCACAGCACTTTCCTTGAGTCATGGCAACGTGCAGTACAAGTCCATCTACGGGAACCACAAAGCAAGCAGTGGGTTCATCAGAAGAACATAGAGAGAGTATGTTTCATATCGGCAGTAGTCGCTACATCAAGGCTACCCGTTGGAGTGGAGAGTGGAAAATAGACATTCGTCAATACGAATGGAGTGCTGAAGGCATACTGTATCCCACCAAGGCAGGTATTTGTTTATCTCTCGATCAATGGGCGCAGCTGAAGGTTTTTCAAAAGACTGTGTCAGACTCGTTAAGTCAAATCCTGAACAAGGAAGATTGCTCTCTCTGTCTACCTCTAGGGTGTAACGTTTTCCTAACCATGAACTCGCCAAACAAAGTCGTGGATATACGGCAGTGGTGGCTACCCGATGGCGAACGGGAAGTAAAACCGACGCGCAAAGGCATGGCTCTTAAGCAAGAAGAATGGCGTCAGCTGCTCAAAGTCAGGACGCTACTGGATGACTGTATGGCATACAATCCACGCAGTATGTGTACGTTATAATGAACTATGACTGTGCAGACTATACGTCGAGTGCATCGTGATATCATTTTCTAAATATAACAGATATAAAAAGAAAGTACACCACGCATACTGTTTCATTCAGGCATGAGACTTCCTTACGAGTCGCATCCTTCCCTGCATGCTAGCCGAGAAAGAAAACTTCCATCCTATATAGAATGTCGAGTGACAGAATGACTTTCTTCACCTGGAAGTACGTGCAACGCGAACCCGATCGGATTCACGAAACCGTCGTTATACAGTCGTCTAGATGGTTTCAACATCGGGAACATTGTATACAAGATGCCGAGATGAAAGTCCCCAACGAGGATAAGAAGTTAAAACGAATCATCACTAAGAAGATGAAAGCTATCGTCGTAGACGAAGTGGAATCGGTTGAAGTCACTGACTACACGTTGTCGTTACTGACGCTATGCTATACTGTGGAACTGTGTAAAATTATCAAACGACTCGCCGTCCAACTGTGTTTCGGCTGCATGTTTGAACAAACTGACAGTCAATACCATACTTGTCAAGACTTGTCTGACCAACACAAAATACACCAATACATAAATACAGCCTTAGACGAGGTGAATGACGATCGTGTGATTGATCAATGGATTCGATTGATTCACGAAGATCCAAGCTTAAGCAGCGTGTCTTCCCACGCTATCTGTCAGTATCGGTGTAAGGACCATCTGGACACTCACTTCAAAACGGGTGACTGGTTAAAAGACATACAGGACCGTGTATGGAAAATGTTGTATTTAGAAAGAGCATTCCGGTGAACGGTATGCTGTTGTATATAATCCGAAGTAGCATCTCAATAGCTGTACACTCATGTTTGCCTTGTATGTAATAAATAATAATAGTATTGAACAATGCATGTGTCTGTTTATCATTGCTGTGTATATAAAGAGAGTGTGCGCGGATGGGGCGGTCGCAGTTGAGTTTACCTCGGTAAACAGAAACATGTCTGGTAAGTCACGTGTAACACCGTCGTCGTCGTCTCGTCAGAAAGAGTTAGAGAGCTATTACTTTAATCCCAAGTCCCCGGGAGCGTATTACGGTACCTCCAAATTTCAACAAAGTTTAAAAAGACGTGGGAAAACGGTTAGCGTGTCCAAGGTAAAAACCGAATTGAACAAGCACGATGCTTACACGCTTCATAAGACGGTGAAACGCAAATTTCAACGTCTCAGAGTACTCGTCAACCGAATAGATCAGCAGTGGGATGTCGATCTGATGGACATGAGTCGCTACGTTAAAGTGAACGATGGTATACGTTACGTGCTGATAGCCATTGACATTTTGTCGCGCTATCTATGGGTAGCCCCTTTAAAAAACAAGAAACCCGAGTCCACTGTCGAGGCATTCAAAGACATTTGGTCGCACGGTCGCAAGCCACAAACCATCAGAGTGGACAAAGGTACGGAATTTAAAGGGGCATTCCAGGATTTTATAGAGCGCCAGTCGATCAAACTGTTCGTCACTCAGAACGAAGACATTAAAGCGAATTACGCCGAGAGAGTCATTCGAACGTTGAGGTCACTCATAGCGAGGTATCTGACACACAAGAACACCGAGCGCTATGTGGACGTGCTGTCCGATCTAGTGTACAATTACAATTACACCGTACACAGAAGTTTAGGCGAGTGGGCTCCTGCAGATGTGAATGAGCGAAATGAAGTCAAAGTATGGAATCATTTATACACGAAACCATCACCGTACATGACACACAAGATCCGTCCTTTTCAATATAAAATAGGGGATATCGTGAGAATCAATTATTTGAGAAAACCTTTCGCTAAGGAACACAACTTGAGATGGACGGAAGAGTTATTTAAAGTAGCAGCCCGTTATCGACGACAGGGTATTCCTTTATACACGCTGAAAGATTTTCACGACCAGTTCTTAAAGGGACGCTTTTACGAAGAAGAATTACAGCGTGTCGATAAAGATCTAGATGCCGCATGGGATATCGAAAAAGTGTTAAAGAAAAAGAAAGATAAAGGGAAATTGTACTATTTAGTCAGGTGGGCAGGCTGGCCATCCAGTTTCGATTCCTGGGTAGAAGCAAGCGAAGTGAAGGACAAGTAAAATGGATAAATACATCGTGTTTAACAGTGCAGACTCCCGGGAGTATTATCCGGACAACACGCCTTACCGTTTCCGGGTGAAACTGTCTCAACATTTGAAACTGGAGGGCATGTGGATGGTGGCTCTGTTAGAAATGAAACTAGGCCGAGTCGAGTTGAAAGATATCAATAATACCACCATTGACGTGTTGTGTAATCTGTGCGACAGTTCACACGTGGGTGAGAATTATCTACCTTTATTGAGACGAGTTGATCTG